AGTTAAACCTGAGTTTCTGATCCTCTTGATTAACCTGAAGACAGGAGCAACACAATGAAGGGTGTGAGTCATGAGACAAAGGGGCACAAAAAGTATGGGAGGTGGGACAATGTGGTACAGGAAGCAGGAGACTCTGACCCCCCTGTCCCCCTCTATAGTGTGCTAAACAACAGAAACAAATACGGTGAGCTGGAATACACAATGTCAATGTAAAATTTGATTATAAATGTTTTGGGGGGTTAAACATAAATGAAATGAAAAAGATAGTCACATTAGTACAACTGAACTTGGTTGAAATCTTCTTTCAAATGACCAGCATTAATTAGATTATGTGGCACAGTTCATAGACATGATGAAGTAAAAAAAGCAAGGTAAAGAGAGTTTATTGTGAGATTGAGTATATCTTTGTGCTCTACATAGCAATGGAATTGAATTTTGTGGTTTTAGCTTGAGAGTATATTTCCTCACACTTTTGGACAATACATTTGTTTAAATACAATAGTTGTTAGAATTAAGTTATTAATGGTCCACACTTCAAATCTGTGGAAACAAGCCAGGTAAATTATGGCTGACATAGAAAAAATGTGCACCAATATACTCATAAACTTTCCAGTGTAAGTATTGAGGAACAATCAACTTGTTATTTTTAAGTGCTGTTTTTATGATGATTTGGGTCTTTGTAAACTGGCAAGTTTTGGAAGTTTGAAATTTAAAGTGTAACTAAAATCTTAAAAAAGCTTGAAATTTACTTTGTACTCTGTTATTCCTTCAGATGTTTGAAGATTTGGGTACTGATGTGATAAGGCAGCGTTTGAGGGTTACAATGCCTGTATTTTTGCTCATGGTCAGATGGGGGCCAGTAAATCCTACAGTATGATGTGACAGGAGGTAACAGAACACAATGAACTATTTTTTTACATCAAAGACCTCTGGGACTATCATTAATTTTGGTGTCCATAATAGCAATCTTTCATCACGCATTCTGATTCCACAGGCACCCTTTGATTATTGTTTGTTTGTTTATACTACTAGGGTGTAGGGTTTTATATGATGTAGCAGTTCCTTTAACGAAATTCTTGTGTGAAGTAAGTAGCCTTTCCATCCAAATATAGGGAAAGAAAATTTGATCAAAGCAACTGGCTTGAAAAAAAAAATGTTGCTCACACTTTTACAATGCTCCTCGTTATGTTAACACCTTCACATTTCAAAGACCCTTAAATTCAGTCTTCAAGTTGATCATAGCACTAATCTGAAACATTTGAAGTCCATTTCGATTTAGTTAATGTCGAAACAGCTGTATAAGCTAATGATTTGATAAACTTTGCTGACAATGTGATTACTTCTCAAATGCCAAATGCAGATTATGGTATAAGTAGCTTATTTTTCCTGAATATTTTTAGTTAGTGACATAGTGGTGATATGGATATACTTATAAGTCTCTGCAGACAAAGTGTCTGCATTCTATTTTTGGTGAGAGACATTTTTATATATTAATTTATTTTGTTATATACATTTTTTCCCCTTTTTTTTTATAATGCTGTAAATGAACATTTTTTTCAAGTCATGGGTACATGTTTCTGTGGGAATTTCCATGTTAACAGTTTGCTTTGTCACTCACAAACTCTTTGTGATTCTTGCTGCTCCTTGATATGTTTAGTGCATGGACAATTAAAAGACCCTTCAAATTTGGTCCTTAAGCTGATCATTATAGCACTAATCTGAAACAATTGAAGTCCATTTCAATTTAGTAAATGTCGAAACATCCATGTAAAGACAATAACCATTGATTGATGCAATCACAATCCAGGACTTCGGACTTTGGACTTCTTCAGAAGGATAGATCTAGAGTTCAGAGCCGACTAATTACGAGGAGTACATGCCAATTTGCATATCCCAAAGTGCCCACAACAACTGGTTTTTATGCTATTGCGTATCCATGAGTCAAAAATCACATTTTGACTTGCAAATGACAATACATGTAAAAAGTGATCTCATTTATAAACTACAATCAAAGAAATAGCAGAAAAAGAAGCCTGAAAAATAAGGCTGTGACATGATTGGAACACCTGCTTCTGAGAATTACTAGTTGGTTGATACTATCAACTAAGATAATAAGCCACATAGTAACTCTTATAAGTGATGAAGACATAATTTCTCCTTACAATATTGATACAATATCAAGCTGGCAGGTGAGGAGAATGAGGAAAATATAATTATGCACATTAATTTTTCCAGTTGAACTACAATTTTGATATTCCCTGGTTGATGGAGCAGTATCCTACTGATAAAAGGTCAAGATCAGATGTATTTTTACATTGAACTGTCAAATTGCTAAAAATCAGATATGTTTTTTTTGAGTGATGAATTGATATAGAACTATTATCTAAAGCTTTTTGGCTGGTTCATGTAGAATGAAAATTTATCTGCCATCATAAACTCTGCTTGGTTATGAAAGTTCATATGGGAATACTATAGAGGTCCACAGAGGTAATTTTTGAGGGGGAAGGGCTTTGGTGTTTTGATGTATGTTCTTGTGTATGAACACTGTAGTTCAAAGGATTGTTATTACCCGCTTAGTATGCAATTTTATAAATAATAGTCGTTCCTTATTAATAGTTGATGACCTAGCATGGAATAATTTAGGGTTTTATGTGTATTTTGGGGCTACAAAAAATTCATAAAAAGAGATTTGTTAACAATTGAATTGTGTTTTCAGATCCAAACCTTTATTAATAATTGTGCATGGAAATCAGAAAGAGGCAAAGGCTCAACTTCATCCATATCCAAATGTTAGACTGTTTGCTCTAAGTTTGATGTTTGTGCAGTCACTAGTATCAAGATATGTCCAGAAGTGCATACAGTAACCAAAATGGTGCAAATTTGTCAAAAGTTTGTCAATTTTGTCAAGTTTAGTTCTCATGATTTTTTTTTCAACAAAATGATGCAATTGTTGTACAAAGAGGGCTTAACCCTTTAACTCTCATGGGTGACCAACACAGAATTTCTCCTTACAATATCAATACAATATTAAGCAGACAAGTGATGAGAAACAAGAAAAACATTAATGATGGGATTAGTAGTTGATCCAACACCAAATTCTCAAAACTAACATCACAAGAACTATATGGCAGACAGTAAGGAGAATTATTAATGAGATCTTGGGAGTTAAAGGATTAAGAGTTGTGATCAGCACAGCAAATCTCTTTGCCATGGATTGGGACCAGAAAACACTAGGGTACATGAAAGTTATATGTTGTTAATTCATATTATTAAAAAAGGTGCATTCCCCTTGAATATGACATCATATAACTAGAACACTGTAAATGAAGAGCAGACTTGTTGAACATTTCCTTCTGGTTGGTAATCAGAATTTCTTCCTTGTGGTCTTTTTGTGTGAACTATATCATATATTGGATTGAGAGGATTAATACCTTGAAAATAAATTAAAGTGGAACTGACTGTGTTAATTTATAAATAAAATGAACAAAAATCATGGTCGGTAAAATCCAAATTGAAAAGACATGTTCCCATGCAGAAGATTCATGAGTGTAATGTTTGGTGCAATAACTGCATTCATTTGGTTCTTGAGGAAATTTTCCCCTTACAAGCCAATTTCCCTTCTTCTGGCACAACATGGCCTCCTGCATTCAATTGTTTCTTTTTCAGGGTTTGGATGAGTCCAGTGTTTCCTAAACTTTCCAAGTTATCTGGTGAAGAATCTACAAACTATTCACCAACTAATTTTCAAGAGGATTTATTGGTAAGGAAATTGACAAACTAAGGTTAATAATAGTTTGGCATGTGGATTTTATTTTTGATCATGGAGTATTTACATGTCAGATCAGGTCATGTGTGCATTTTTCTTTGTACAGAGACTGCATCTACAGTAAGTTTTTCACTCTGTTGTAGTCAGGTAGAGAGGGAATGTGGGGTGCAGCCCCTTTTTTGTTTTAGCTCAGACCTGGAAGGGTCTGAATGGGAGAAAAACTCTTTAAGATCAAGGAAGGGTCAAAAAATACAATTTTTTGTCAGGGGAAAGTAAAATTTTCAGGACAAGTACAGGGATGGTTAACATGTATACAGCTGGTCAATTTCATACCGTTTTGTATTTGTTTGGTCTGTGAGAGTTTTAGATATATTTTTTGACAGGGAAAAGAAAGCAACAAACAGGGGGTTTTACCTAGAGAGATCAAATTTCTTCTGAAAGCTAAGCTAGATAGCTTTCCAAATTTTGAACACCTAACTGAAGAAGGAAGGCCAGTGGGGGGTGGGAGGGGGAGGAAGGTCCTGATCCTGTTTCACATTTACTCTAAACAAATTTGAAAGGAATAACATCAAGTCTTCCCTTACCTTGCCTTCAGTAAAATTCATGTGTACAGTCACATATTAATTTTGAGCTTGATCTCTTTGCAACCCTCTACTGAAGAGATGCACTGTACAAGGAAAGTACCTTGAGGTTCTTTAAATTCAGTGGATCCCCAATGATGTGAACTTCATCTTAATTTGTCTAAAAAAACCTGTTACAGGAATATTTGGCAGCATATGGGGGTAGTGCAGTAGATGAATGGAAGAAACATATTCAGGAACATGATATGTCATCTGCAAGGTATATTGTTCATTAAATATTTTTTCCTATTTGATCATTTGTTTTTCCATTCCATCAGGAAGTTATTGAGTTGTCATTGCCTCCTTATGATATTTTCTTCTGACATAATTTGTTGTTTTGATTTCTTTAGTTGTGGTTGAGACATTCAATTGAAATGCACTCTGTTGGTATTAATATAGGGGAGACTTTTGATTAATTTTAGGGTTCGCCTAATAGCCTCTGTTCCTGGGAGACACACTGGAGTCAATAAAACCAAATGGGGCCATCTTAAACTTCGTAAGGTGATCATGAATTATTGGTATAAATTAAGAAGTCTAAAATTTGGAATTTGTTTGAGTTGTTAGCAAATATCACCCTTTAGCAAAGTTAGGTGCCTGTCTAAAAGAGCATTAAAGTTTCACTCAATGGAATTGAACAAATTTTGAATTCATCTACTGTAGCAATACCTTAAGAATAAGATAATTGTCTTTGAAACTTAGGTTCTTCACCAGCATGGACCTAGCTCTGATGACATCAGCTCCAAGTGGCCTGTGATTGGTCAGTTTTCCAGCATAGGTTCTCTTGGGAATGACAAGGACCGTTGGCTGTGTTCTGAATGGTTACAAAGCTTGTCCACATGTTCTGGTAACATGATGTCCAGTCCCCCTCTGCATCTGGTTAGTATGTTTCTCAATCTCCATTATGGTTGGAAACTGAACACTGATTTAATTTGCAAGTTTGCAAGTTTTTTGTTCTGGATCAGAATATTGTGGAAATTTTTTTCTTCTTGATTCATCATGTTTTATTGGCAGGTTTTTCCAACAGTGGACAATGTGCGGTGCAGTTTGGAAGGTTACCCAGGTATAAGATATAACTTAAATTGAGTGTATCTGTTGAGGCAGAGTGGGTAAGTGGTTAGAGTGCTGGACTTGTAAACTGATGGCCTGGGTTCAATTCCTTCAACTTCAATTGGAACACACTGGATTTATTATTATCATTATTATTATTGTTAGTTTAATTATTATTATTTTTTTATTATCATTATTATCTTAATCACCAAAAATCTAGGGATGCACATGTGAGTAAATTTAAAGTAATTACTGCAGTTTGTAGAAGCACATAAAGTGTCCACAGTGTTTGAGTTATGTATTTCTTTCTATATATATTTTCTTCTTCTAAACACTTCACAGCATACTCTTAGTGGTTCAAGTTTCATTTCTAAGTATAAATGTGTGATCTCTGATAGTTTTCTTTCTCTGTAGCTGGTGGCTCAATACCATACAGTTCCAAGACAGCTTTGAAACAGCCTTATCTTCCAAGTTTCTTTTGGTAAGTCACCCTTAGTTTGTTTTCAGATTAGATGGGTTTTCATCAACCTTAGCTTCGTCCCAGTTCACATGGCATGAAATCCACTAGTGTGGCATTGCAATTTTACCCTTCACCACCCATACCCTCCCTGAATTTGAGGAAAATCTTCAAAACTTTAATTATGGAGTCTTTCATCTAGCAGGTGGCTTTTTATCAGTATCCACCACTGTGTGGGAGATTAATTTCAATTGTTCTGTCAGGAAACCCAGGCAGGGAATGTTTCTAGTCCTTTCAATTTGGAGTAGAGCACATCAGTCACTCCCCTCAATCTGCTTGACAAAATGGCTATTTTTCTCTGTTTCTTTTTTCAATTGGACCATACTGGGGTGTAGGCTAATAATCAAAAGCCTTAGATCTATTAAAATGTTACATCCAGGAAATCTCTGCTTTACCCAAGTAGCTAACTCTGTTGTGTTAGCATAGCTCTTCTTACATTCTTGACAGATCTGATGGATTTTTGCTTTTCTTGCTTTTGGTTTTTTCAGCTCTTGGAAGTCTCATTCCTGTGGTAGAAGTCGCGCCTCTCCTCACATTAAAACATACACCAGGGTATCCCCAGATTGGAGCCGAATGAGCTGGTTTCTTGTGACAAGGTGTTAAAAACTGAGTCCTCTCTGCAATTTATCTTTATTTAGTTATGCTGCTCTAGAAAATTTAGAAGGTGGAACTTCCACACATCTTTATCTTTGGGGCTGTTTAAAGTTTGTTCAAAGATTATTTCAGTATAACAGCAGAATCTTTTCAGGTTTGCCTTCGCTGTCGTCTAAGGGCATTACTGATATGATTAAAAGAATCCAAAAATTGTCTGTTCTCCTTTCAAAACCCCTTGGGTTTACCCTCATGGTGTTTATAGTCTATCTAATTTGGCTAGAACAAGAGCAAACTTTGGATTTCCCCTGTCTATCTGTGGGCTATTTCTGATTGGCCAAAACAGAATGTCAAGCCAGTTATTTTGAAAAGGCAATGTTTTGAAAATGAAAGATGGTTGGAGTCTTAAAAAGGATAGATGTTGTCTTGAAATTTATGCAAAGTTTTTGCATTTTTTCTCTTCCTCATTTACATTTAATTATTTTCAGTGCAAATTTGTCTAAAGCAGCCTGGGGAACTTTGGAAAAAAATGGTCAACAACTTATGATTCGCTCGTATGAGATTGGAGTTTTGTTTCTACCCAAAGACCAGGTATTTTGTTTAGTTATATCTCCAGCGTTTCAGTTGGACAAATGAAAGAAAATTCTTTCCTGTGACTGTACCCTTTTTGATCCAGATTCCATCTATGACTCAATAGTGAACTGTCATTTTATCAACAGGATCCTGAAAGCAAATACTTTCATGTGAAAGGAAAACAGGAAAGTAATGAAAAGTGGTCAAGTTATAGTGTACAGCTTCCATTTGATGTCCCACCTTTGCCATACACCAAAGATGGTAAGATTCCTTGCTTGTGTTCAGGCAATTTAGCATAAAGGTATCCTCTTTTCAGTTCACATCATGAATTTCCAAATTTGTTTGAAAGTAAAAGTTCTTCCTTGTTATTTTTTGAGTGTGAATAATTCATAGCAACTTTCTCATTGTGAATTATGGTTGTGGGACTGGTCATTATTTATCCTTGGCAGACTTAGGGGGGCAGGGAGGGTCAGGGGAGCTGGGGGGGCAGGGGGGGCAGGGGGGTTCGAGGATTTTTCTTGTGTCACAATAAAATTTACCTGATCCCCAACAAGGCTCTGTAATATTCTTATGATCCCCCTCCACCCTTTAACTCCCATGAGTGACCAAAACAGAATTTCTCCTTACAGTATCAATACAATATCAAGCAGACAAGTGGTGAGAATAAAGAAATATATCAATTTGGGGATAATTAGTTGATCCAATACTAAATTCTCTGAACTAACATGATAAGAACTGTATGGTTGACAGTAAGGAGAATTACAAATTTGATCTGGGTGTTAAAGGGTTAATTGGCAGTCAGTTTTTTTATGGTCAAGCCTTTATACTCTGTTGGTGACGGCAGATCTCCTCTCCTTTCCCCCTGAAAACCAGGAGATCCCTGGGCACATGTATAGAGTCAGGTACTTAAAATCAGTGGTTCATCTATGAAAGTCTGGTATTTCATGTCATGTTTGTGTTTTGTCAAAACAGAATCTCCTTGGATGTGGGATGTCAAATACAACACACCTGATGGTCATGGTAGAATATGGTCACCATCATAATCACTGCAGTCAGGGAATCACTGGGTTAAAATGGACACAGAGGATGTCAGGGGGAGGGCAAAGGCAAAGGCCACACCTCTAAAAGAAATGAAACTCAGATTTTGTTGACACTCACTTTGAAGAAAATGTTAATTTTTGAAATACTCATGTCTTAAAAATCATGTTTTGATCAGAATTTCAGGCTTGAGTCATGCAAACCAAAATAAAAATAATCCTCACAGAGCCTGTTTCAGGTGTTCAGTTAACATCTTTGACTCCTAAGAGTGACCAGCATCCAGTTTCTCCTCACAATACCACCCCTGAATCAAAAAGTTAGGTCACTAGAATAAAAGGAAATGATCACCAAGTTAAGAAGCTCACTTGATTCTTAGATAAATTCTCCTTGTTGCTGCCTGAGGAAATGTATGGAGATCAGTATGGAGAATATACATACTGATGTTAGGGTGGAAAGGGTTAAATATCAAAGACAAAGAGTAATTATACTACAACAGTGACAGCCTCCTGCTCAGCAAGTCTCTGAAAGATCAATTATTGCAGACAAATTTATCATGTGATTGTTATTATCATCTATTTATTAATATATAATGCTTTTAAATATAAGTGATAACAAAAAAGTACTTCATCTCAATCTGCCAGGCTTAAGATATGAGTAGAAAACAAATAAGTTTACCATTATACTAGTTTTTCCTATTGACTCGGACTGTTTCCTTTTGACTAAAACTTTGTTTGGCTTTTTTACGGCAGTCACTTGAAACTACACATGTCCTTGCTTAGATAACCTAAATCTTTTCAAAGGGGAAACTGATAACTGTAGAATATGTGTATTCGCAAAACTTTGTTGTAAAAAATGTTGCTGTGTAAACAATCATCATAATTTCCCACGTGGGAAAGAATCAGAGGAAAAAGGTTAAAAATTTGTAAAAAAGTCTGCAAACTTGCAGAAACTCTTGCTTTCATTTCAGCTTATATCGATAATATCTAGTTTTGTTTTGCCTTACTCGGTAGTTTTCTTAGATTGAAACTTTTAAATATTTACATGTGTTTAACACCTGAGGTTAAAGTAGAGACATACGCAGAAAAATCGTCAAGAAGTAAACCATAATCTTCGCGGGCCACAGGTATCTTGTTTGGTCCGAGGTAATTAACAATTGGCGCAGATCGCGAGTTTGTAACATGGGATAATTTCCATAAGAAAAATTAAAAAGTATCACAAATTATATTGATAAAAACTCAGAAATTTTCTTATTGATAATATGCCTTATTCTCAGCTTAAACAAAAGCGAAGCACTACAATTAAATCAGGCCTTAGTTTCAATTCATTAAGACATCCTTACGGAATTGACCCAGTTAAGTTACCCACGAGTAAAGTTCACAGATTATTAAGCATTTTCTCAATGTCCTCGTTGCGTGGAGTTACTCTACCGGTCTCGAGGGCTTGGAAGTTAGAGTGTTCATTTTATGGCGCCTGTTCCAGTTCTTCTTGATCCTTTACTTCCGTTGGTGATACTTGTTCTTCTTGTGATCTGAAATTAAAGAGAAATTACTGTCATTGAGCCGAACAAGTCACTTGGAACCGCGTATGAAGTAAATGCATGCTCTCTTCTCTTGAAAGCTTTTTTTATACGCTGAGAATGCACGAGTAAAACACATCTGATAACTCGAGTTACTAAATTTAGCTTACTTTGAAATGCCGGCTCCTTCTCAGTGGAGAGGAGAGAGGACGACGCCGCCAATAAAACACCGCCTCATTAACCTATTATTTTCATTGTCTTTTTTTTCGTTCTTTTGTGTGCGTACTCTAATTATAATGTTTTACGTCAACTGTGTCTTCTACACCAACTTCTAAGAGCAAAACTGTCTCGTAACCACCATCCTTTAGAGAGGGTTTTAGTCGACCTTCTTGCTCAGTTTAGTAAAAGTATTTCACATGAAGGTGGAATGATTGAAGTCCTATTTATAAATTGCTACTCACGATTCATTGTTGATTTCTTTAAAATCGATTGTGACGTCATCACCAATGAGTACAAACGGAGCCCAGAACCGCGGGGCATTAAAGTCTTCTGATTCTCGCAGACATTTCATCGCCCGGTTGAGTGACACGCTGGCGCTGTTTCCATCCTTCAGATGTTGGTAAAAGCTTCTCATAAACTCCATGGTGGCCTCGTCATCAATTGACCAGAGTGCGACCAGAACAGAACGAGCACCAGCACCGAGGAAAGCCCGTGCAATGCCGACCACACCCTCACTAGACACCTTGCCTTGAGCACTGTGACAACAACTTAACACAACAAGCTTTGCACGTAACTTTGCTGCTTGCACATCGGAAATTGTTAGCCTGAAATCTTGTTCTTCTGGTCTGACGTATTTTCGTTCTGGATTTGGAGCCAATGCAATTTCCCCAGTCTCGATTTTTCCGTGCGCAGCAATGTGCACCAAAGCAACCGAACCGATTCTCTTTAGCACCTCAGCCTTGGTTGCCTCTTTTCCTGTGAGTGGGTGGATACCAAGCATATTTCCGATCATCTCCACTTCCTTTTTGGCGGAGGGCAAGGGCAAAAATCTATTCTCTCCGAGCAAGGTGGTAAAGTCGTCTAGACATGGATCTCCTACGAGCAACGCCCCACTCTTGTTGTGATATTCTTTGGGAGAAGCGTTGATCAGTTTCATACACATCAATGACGGAAGAATGCGTATCCTCATGGACTCACTGAGGTACTTTGATTCGGAATCCAAAAATGCAGCAAAAGGGGCGAGGCACAGTGGACCATCAGGAACGACAACCAACTCGCCATCTTCGATCAAATCTGAAATAGGACTTATGATGCACTCATGAAAGAGACGCAGAGGATTCTCGTCAGACTGTAATGGGTTTCCTGTTTCCTCACCTCTTTCCTCGGCGGGTGGCAATTCTTGTTCGGTACTTGACCCGTCTAATGTGCGGTTTTCGCAGATTACCCTGAATCTTCCTCGAATTTCCTCGTAAGTGTTCTTCCTTAAGCAATTCAAATAGTCGGTCGCATTTCCACGGAGATATTTCACTTCTTTCTGTGTAAACCGTATATTCCCGTCTTTCCCGATTACCCACTGGTTAACTGCGTTTCCTAATAGTGCAACAAAAAGCGTCGGACCAGAGATATCGGTGACCATTTCGGAGATCCCTGGTTTAGCCTGAACTGATCCAGAAACTGCCAGTTGGGATCCATATCGTAGTTTGATGAGATCCAACAAGGCCTCGGCTCGTCCTTGGTCCGCAGCACACAATGCCTCGTCGAATTTTGACAGCTTAAGCAAAGTTCTGCAGAGTGACTGATAAATGTCTTGACGTGCATTGCGGAAGATTATTTTCAACGCATCGTCAGCTTGCAGAACTCTCAACTCATTGAAAAGTTTAGTACTGCGTTGATAATAATCAACCGCTTGATGCAAGTCTCCAGAGCTTTCATAAGTACGACCTAAATTGGCTAAATAATTTCCCACGATTATTCTCTGCCCCGATTTCTGAACCATATTAAGACATTTCTTGTTGTACTCGATGGCTCGTTCAAAGTCACCCTGTTTACGAAGAACTTCCACAAAACTGGCGTAGACCATTGCCTCGATTTCCTGGTCTCTCAGTTCTTTGGCCATGGTAAGCGCTTTCTCAAGATACTCTGTTGCCTGGTTAAAATCATCCCGTCGAGCATTAACAGTTCCAATAAGGACATAGGCTTCAGCCTCGTTTTTCCTGTCCCCTATGCGTTTAGCGATATCAAGGTAATCCTGGAAAAACTGCATGGCTTGAAACAATTTACCCATTGACATATAACTTTTACCAACAACTTTTAAAGCGTTTGACCTAACTAGCGGTTTTCTAGCAATACTTAGACATTTGATGGCGTTCTCTATGGCATGATTAAAATCACCCAAGTCGTGATAAGCCTCACCAAGCAGGAGAAAGGCACACTCCTCCTCTGTCCTGTCTTCCGGTTCTTTAGCAATACTAAGATGTTGCCTGAGGTACTCTATGGCTCGATTGAAATCACCCAGCCTCTGATAAGCCGAGCTAAGATTGTTATAGACCACTCCCTCGCGTGCCTTATCTCCCAGCTCTCTAACAATATTAAGATCTTTCCTGAGGTACTCTATGGCTTGATTGAAGTCACCCAGCTCATAACTAGCAAAGAAAAGATGGTTGTAGGCACTTCCCTCGCCTGCCCTGTCTCCCAGTTCTTTGGCAATACTAAGATGATGTTTACAGTTCACTAGGGCTTGATTGAAATCACCCATCTCTTGATAGGCGGAGCCAAGTTTGCAGTAGGCACTTCCTTCGCCTGCCCTGTCTCCCAGTTCCTTAGCAATACTAAGATGTTGTTTGTGGTACTCTATGGCTTGATTGAAATCACCCATCTTGTGATAAGCCGAGCCAAGATTGTTGTAGGCACTTCCCTCGCCTGCCCTGTCTCCCAGTTCTTTAGCAATACTAAGATGTTGTTTGTGGTACTCTATGGCTTGATTGAATTCACCCATCTTGTTATAAGCGGAGCCGAGATTGTTGTAGGCACTTCCCTCGCCTGCCCTGTCTCCCAGTTCCTTAGCAATACTAAGATGTTGTTTGTGGTACTCTATGGCTTGATTGAAATCACCCATCTTGTGATAAGCCGAGCCAAGATTTTTGTAGGCATTTCCCTCGCCTGCCCTGTCTCCTAGTTCTTTAGCAATACTAAGATGTTGTTTGTGGTACTCTATGGCTTGATTGAATTCACCCATCTCGTTATAAGCCGAGCCAAGATTGTTGTAGGCACTTCCCTCGTCTGCCCTGTCTCCCAGTTCTTTAGCAATACTAAGATGTTGTTTGTGGTACTCTATGGCTTGATTGAAATCACCCATCTTGTGATAAGCTGAGCCAAGATTGTGGTCGGCACTTCCCTCGCCTGCCCTGTCTCCCAGTTCTTTAGCAATATTAAGATGTTGCCTGAGGTACTCTATGGCTTGATTGAAGTCGCCCAGCTCATAAGTAGCCAAGCCAAGATTGTTGTAGGCACGTCCCTCGCCTGCCCTGTCTCCCAGTTCTTTAGCAATACTAAGATGTTGTTTGTGGTACTCTATGGCTTGATTGAAATCACCCAGCTTCTGATAAACGGAGCCAAGATTGTGGCAGGCATGTCCTTCGTCTGCCCTGTCTCTCAGTTGTTTAGCAATGTTAAGATGTCGCCTGAGGTACTCTATGGCTTGACTGAGACTCGTTGTCGCGAAAAGATGGTTGTAAGCATGTCCCTCACCTGCTTTGTCTCCCAGTTGTTTAGCAATACTAAGATGTTGTTTGTGGTACTCTATGGCTTGATTGAAATAACCCACCATTTGATAAGCCGAACCAAGATTGTGGTAGGTACGGTACTCGTCTGCCCTATCTCCAAGTTCCTTAGCAATACTGAGATAGTGTTTGTGATACTTTATGGCCTGATTGGAATCACCCAGCTTGTCATAAGCCGAGCCAAGATTGTTGTAGGCACTTCCCTCGTCTGCCCTGTCTCCCAGTTCTTTAGCAATACTAAGATGTTGTTTGTGGTACTCTATGGCTTGATTGAAATCACCCATCTTGTGATAAGCTGAGCCAAGATTGTTGTAGGCACTTCCCTCGCCTGCCCTGTCTCCCAGTTCCTTAGCAATACTAAGATGTTGTTTGTGGTACTCTATGGCTTGAGTAAAATCACCCATATTGTAATAAGCGAAGCCAAGATTGTTGTACGCACTTCCCTCGCTTGCCCTGTCTCCTAGTTCTTTAGCAATACTAAGATGTTGTTTGTGGTACTCTATGGCTTGATTGAAATCACCCATCTCGTGATAAGCCGAGCCAAGATTGTTGTAGGCACGGTACTCGTCTGCCCTGTCTCCCAGTTCCTTAGCAATACTAAGATGTTGTTTGTGGTACTCTATGGCTTGATTGAAATCACCCATCTTGTGATAAGCTGAGCCAAGATTTTGGTTGGCACTTCCCTCGCCTGCCCTGTCTCCCAGTTCTTTAGCAATATTAAGATGTTGCCTGAGGTACTCTATGGCTTGATTGAAGTCACCCAGCTCCTGACAAGCCAAGCCAAGAATATTGTAGGCCCGTACCTCGCCTGCCCTGTCTCCCAGTTCTTTAGCAATACTAAGATGTTGTTTGCTGTACTCTATGGCTTGATTGAAATCACCCAGCTTGTGATAAACGGAGCCAAGATTGTGGCAGGCATGTCCTTCGTCTGCCCTGTCTCTCAGTTGTTTAGCAATGTTAAGATGGTGCCTGAGATACTCTATGGCTTGATTGAGGTCACCCAACTCGTAACTAGTCGACACAAGATGGTTGTAGGCACGTCCCTCACCTGCTTTGTCTCCCAGTTGTTTAGCAATACTAAGATGTTGTTTGTGGTACTCTATGGCTTGATTGAAATCACCCAGCTTGTCATAAGCCGAGCCAAGATTGTGGTAGGCATTTCCCTCGCCTGCCCTGTCTCCCAGTTCCTTAGCAATACTAAGATGTTGTTTGTGGTACTTTATGGCTTGATTGAAATCACCCAGCTTGTAATAAGCCGAGCCAAGATTGTTGTAGGCACTTCCCTCGCCTGCCCTGTCTCCCAGTTCTTTAGCAATACTAAGATGTTGTTTGTGGTACTCTATGGCTTGATTGAAATCACCCATCTTGTGATAAGCTGAGCCAAGATTGTGGTCGGCATTTCCCTCGCCTGCCCTGTCTCCCAGTTCTTTAGCAATACTAAGATGTTGTTTGTGGTACTCTATGGCTTGACTGAAATCACCCATCTTGTAATAAGCTGAGCCAAGATTGTGGTCGGCACTTCCCTCGCCTGCCCTGTCTCCCAGTTCTTTAGCAATATTAAGATGTTGCCTGAGGTACTCTATGGCTTGATTGAAGTCGCCCAGCTCATAAGTAGCCAAGCCAAGATTGTTGTAGGCACTTCCCTCGCCTGCCCTGTCTCCCAGTTCTTTAGCAATACTAAGATGTTGTTTGTGGTACTCTATGGCTTGATTGAAATCACCCAGCTTGTGATAAGCCGAGCCAAGATTGTTGTAGGCACTTCCCTCGCCTGCCCTGTCTCCCAGTTCTTTAGCAATACTAAGATGTTGTTTGTGGTACTCTATGGCTTGAGTGAAATCACCCATCTTGTAATAAGCGAAGCCAAGATTGTTGTAGGCACTTCCCTCGCCTGCCCTGTCTCCCAGTTCCTTAGCAATACTAAGATGTTGTTTGTGGTACTCTATGGCTTGATTGAAATCACCCATCTTGTGATAAGCTGAGCCAAGATTGTTGTAGGCACTTCCCTCGCCTGCCCTGTCTCCCAGTTCTTTAGCAATACTAAGATGTTGTTTGCTGTACTCTATGGCTTGATTGAAATCACCCATCTTGTGATAAGTGAAGCCAAGATTGTGGTTTTCACAGTACTCGCGTGCCCTGTCTCCCAGTTCTTTAGCAATACTAAGATCTTGTTTGTAGTACTCTATGGCTTGATTGAAATTACCCATCCCACAATAAGCAAAGCCAAGATGGTTGTAGGCACTTCCCTCGCCTGCCCTGTCTCCCAGTTCTTTAGCAATACTAAGATGTTGTTTCTGGTACTCTATGGCTTGATTGAAGTCACCCAGCTTATAACTAGCAAAGAAAAGATGGTCGTAGGCACTTCCCTCGCCTGCCCTGTCTCCCAGTTCTTTAGCAATACTAAGATGTTGTTTGTGGTACTCTATGGCTTGATTGAAATCACCCATCTTGTGATAAGCTGAGCCAAGATTGTGGTCGGCACTTCCCTCGCCTGCCCTGTCTCCCAGTTCTTTAGCAATATTAAGATGTTGCCTGAAGTACTCTATGGAATGATTGAAGTCGCCCAGCTCATAAGTAGCCAAGCCAAGATTGTTGTAGGCACTTCCCTCGTCTGCCCTGTCTCCCAGTTCTTTAGCAATACTAAGATGTTGTTTGTGGTACTCTATGGCTTGATTGAAATTACCCATCTCACAATAAGCAAAGCCAAGATTGTTGTAGGCACTTCCCTCGCCTGCCCTGTCTCCCAGTTGTTTAGCAATACTAAGATGTTGTTTGTGGTACTCTATGGCTTGATTGAAATCACCCAGCTTCTCATAAGCCGAGCCAAGATTGTGGTAGGCATTTCCCTCGTCTGCCCTGTCTCCCAGTTCTTTGGCAATATTAAGATGTTGCCTGAGGTACTCTATGGCTTGATTGAAGTCACCCAGCTCATAACTAGCCGAGGCAAGATGGTGGTAGGCACGTCCCTCGTCTGCTTTGTCTCCCAGTTCTCTAGCAATACTAAGATGTTGTTTGTGGTACTCTATGGCTTGATTGAAATCGCCCATCTCGCGATAAGCGAAGCCAAGATTGTTGTACGCACTTCCCTCGCTTGCCCTGTCTCCTAGTTCTTTAGCAATACTAAGATGTTGTTTGTGGTACTCTATGGCTTGATTGAAATCACCCATCTTGTGATAAGCTGAGCCAAGATTGTGGTCGGCACTTCCCTCGCCTGCCCTGTCTCCCAGTTCTTTAGCAATATTAAGATGTTGCCTGAGGTACTCTATGGCTTGATTGAAGTCGCCCAGCTTATAAGTAGCCCAGCCAAGATTGTAGTAGGCACTTCCCTGGCCTGCCCTGTTTCCCAGTTCTTTAGCAATACTAAGATGTTGTTTGTGGTACTCTATGGCTTGATTGAAATCACCCATCTTGTGATAAGCTGAGCCAAGATTTTTGTACGCATTTCCCTCGCTTGCCCTGTCTCCTAGTTCTTTAGCAATACTAAGATGTTGTTTGTGGTACTCTATGGCTTGATTGAAATCACCCATCTTGTAATAAGCGAAGCCAAGATTGTTGTAGGCACTTCCCTCGCCTGCCCTGTCTCCCAGTTCTTTAGCAATATTAAGATGTTGCCTGAGGTACTCTATGGCTTGATTGAAGTCACCCAACTCGTCATAAGCCGAGCCAAGATTGTTGTAGGCACTTCCCTCGCCTGCCCTGTCTCCCAGTTCTTTAGCAATACTAAGATGTTGTTTGTGGTACTCTATGGCTTGATTAAAATCACCCAGCTTGTGATAAACCATGCCAAGATTGTTGTAGGCACTTCCCTCGCCTGCCCTGTCTCCCAGTTCTTTAGCAATACTAAGATGTTGCCTGTGGTACTCTATGGCTTGACTGAAATCACCCAGCTTCTGATAAGCGAAGCCAAGATTGTTGTAGGCACTTCCCTCGCCTGCCCTGTCTCCCAGTTCCTTAGCAATACTAAGATGTTGTTTGTGGTACTCTATGGCTTGATTGAAATCACCCAAGCTTGTAAGTAGCTTATAAGAAGCCAAGATGGTTGTAGGCACATCCTTCGCGTGCCCTGTCTCCCAGTTCTTTAGCAATACTAAGATGTTGTTTGTGGTACTCTATGGCTTGATTGAAATCACCCAGCTTGTCATAAGCCGAGCCAAGATTGTGGTAGGCACGGTACTCGTCTGCCCTATCTCCCAGTTCCTTAGCAATACTGAGATGGTGTTTGTGGTACTTTATGGCCTGATTGAAATCACCCAGCTCGTCATAAGCCGAGCCAAGATTGTGGTAGGTACTTCCCTCGTCTGCGCTGTCTCCTAGTTCTTTTGCCTTGTGGAGGTCTTGCTTCATGATCTCAATTGCTTTCTTCATCTTAGGTTTCAAAAGTGTAAAGACAAAAGCGAAGAAATTGCGTAATTGTTTCGGTTGTAATGTTTGTTTGTCTCGAAATGTGGTAATAAATAAAAAGTCTCGTTGTAGAGGTTTAAGTCGACAAACAGAACTCTTGATCACCCCCTATTCTTTGGAACCTGTATTAAGGGGTCACCATTCCCGTGGGTGACCGCTTAATACACGTTTGACTGTAGTATTATTAATCATCAGCAATGCACGACTGATCTTTTTCTCTTTGACATTTCTTCTCACTGACATTGTCCTCAATGTCATCACCGCTAACACCCCAACATCTAGTGCACTGATGTTACATTTAACATGATGCTAAGAAGGAGAATGCGAAAAAATTTACTAGACCATAGACTTACATTTCCGGACTTTAAACATTCGTGGAAAGACCTGTCTCTCAGTCGCCGCAGGGTATCGTTCCTTTCAATCTTCACACATCCGCAGTTAAAGATGCAAATATAATGCCAAAAATAACTATACTGCTATAGAACTGTATTGGGGATCCGCAAATTCTTAATAACAGTCTTTTTAAACAGCGGAAGCTCTACCGGTCAGGAAATAAGGCTCTCAGATTTCTTGTTTTCTATGTAATCGGTAAAAAAGAAAAACAAAAAAAATTAAAGTTTATTCCGTAAACTTGGAAAGCCTTTTTCATTTGAACACTTGTTGAAGAAGCAAGATGCTTTCAATATTCCGATAGGCTTCCAAATGGTGTTTATGTGCCATAATTCTGAACACTGACGATTTTAACTTACATAGTTGACATACTAAGAGAGATCAAGTTCTTTGTATTTTAGATTTGTCAAAAGGATACTGCTAATCCTTGGACACTCCATCTGAGAGCTTCTTCAGGCTTATTCAGCTCAAGACTGGCGCTTGCTCCTATTCAAAATAACACAGCTAACATTATTAGATCGTATCTATGCGGAAGAGGTTTTTCTAAAACAGTTTTCCTTTGCCGAGGTAAAAAATAAATTGTTGTAATTTTTCTCCTCGTTGGTTTTTGGAAACTTATCAAATTGTGAAAGAGTTGTGCGATGTTTGCAAAAATTTAAGTAAACGTTACGGTGATTCCCTTAATTCTCTGTAAAAAATAAAAATGTATCCTGAGCACTTTGCTTCGAAAGATGAGTATCAGCGAGCTGTCAATCATAGCAGAAGGGTGCCTATGGGCGTGGTACTCTCGACTTTAGGGAGAGGACTGGCAATGAGATCTTAGCAGTCTTAGTTTTAAAATCTTCTCATTTCAATTTCTTGCTCTGAAATCGAAATTTGGAGATACAGAGTAAAAGTATCTGCCAAAAAAACAGCGCCTAATGCCACTTTCACCAGTCATGTGAGACCCCACTCAGTAACGTGCAGTCCAGACCGTGGAGTGCGAGGTAGTTTTCCGCTCAAAAAAATAAGAAAAAAAAATACCTCTAATAATTGCCTTCAGATATGTTGGTTGCAATCGATAGGCAGCTGTTGCATCTCTCAGTGACTCCTGGTAGTTGCCTACAAGAGAATTGTAATCTGATAGCAGAACATCCAGTCGAACCTGTATTAAGCGACACCGTAAGCGGTCACCCTGTTAGGGGTCGGATGTCAAAGTCCTCTAATTCCCCCTTAGTAATCCTTTAACTCCCAAGATCTCATTAGTAATTCTCCTTACTGTCTGCCATATGGTTCTTGTGATGTTAGTTCTGAGCATCTGGTATTGGATCAACCAATTACAATAATACCCTAACTGATATTTTCTTCATTCTCATCACTTGTCTGCTTGATATTGTATTGACATTGTAAGGAGAAATTCTGTCTTGGTCACTCATGGGAGTTAAAGGGTTAAGTAGTCGTGGTCACTTTTGAGTTAGACCCAACGACCTGTCCTCATTGTCTTCCACCTGCAGAAACCGAGCGGTCACTTTAAGCGAAAAGTTCCACTCAAAGTTCTACTCAAATAAAACTAAGAATAATCTTTCAAGTAAAATTCAATCTGTATATCTCCCGAAATCAATTTTGGTGGTATTTTTGAGCGAGTTTTTGTACATTAAATGGTAAATTATGGCATAAAATGGTATTTTTTATCGTTTTTTATATCACCCCCCATTCTTTGGAGGCTGTGTTAAGCGGTCATCCGCCATTCTCTGTGGGTGACCGCTAATTACAGCTTTGACTGTAGTTATAAAAAACTGAACATAAAGAAGAAAAAAGGGCGTAGGTCGGTAATCGTATTAAACGGCTGATTTTATAAGCGACGGAATATTTCACACACAGAAGGAATTATATCTGGGAAATCTAAGAAACACAACAAATGATGTGTCACAAACATGTGCTATACTCTTCCAAAAATTCGTTTCCAAAACTCAAATGATCGGTTTATTTGAGTGGAAATTATGTTGCTTTCAGTATTATGTAGTCGATCTGGGTATCTGAGTCAGCAAGAAAAAGCGAAAAAACAATAGAAATGTTAAGCAGAGAAAAGATTATAAATATCAGCGGTGGTGAGGACAACGAAATCTGACTCAAGTTCCATGGGAGTATTACAAGATAAAGATGCCGTGAACAGATTCTAAACACAAACATGCCTACATGAACTACCTCACGGACTCAGTGAGGCCAACTGCCAAGTGGAGAAACGAAGTACGCTAAAAAGATTAAAGCCTTCATAATTCTCACCTAATTTGAAATGTACTGTCGCCCTGTTGTTGTACAGTTTGGCCTTCAATTCTTTGTTTCCGCATTTCACTTTAATTCCTTCCGTGTAAAAGTGAGAGGCGTTGAGAAAATCTCCTTTTAAGCAAACCTCGTTACCTTCATTCTTGTAAACTTCAACTATCGCTGAAACAAAACAATTTAAGCAACATGCATTAAATTGAAAACTACTACCGCTTGTGGCCAAGGTATTTGAAAACAAAAGGGCCGGGATAAAATAAGTTTATCTTCTTTATCTTCACAAACTGTCTTTCAAAAAGGCTCTGGTACATGAGGTGGTAGACCTCCTGTTGAATATATTGCCAAAGAACAAATCTCGTCACTTCAGACTGTTTTCATTACGAAGTGCCCGCATCACAGAAAGAAATCTTACCCGAAATAACTTCAAAGAGAAGGAAAAAAAGCTAAAGAAAACAAATCAAGCAGAACGTACCCAGGTTATAACACAGGAAACATGATTACGAAGAGTCGTCTTGAAAAGAAAGCCGCACTAAGCTCACCTGTCAAAGTGTCGTCATCAAAATCAAGAGTTACTATTTCTTCTTCTTCTTCTTCTTTTTCTTCAGCGGGTAATGTGACGTCATCTAAAGCTTTGCTTGAACCCTCCGCCATGAATGCTGGGAGTTTACATCTCACCGGATGTACGGCTCCTTTACGGTTCCTGTACAACAATAATATACACACCAACTTACGGTCTCAACACTGGAAAATCTGATTTGACTTTGACTTTTTGTACTAAATTTCTTTTCTTTTGCAGCAAAAAAAAAAGGTGTTTTTTCTGTAGCTGTGGTGGAAATGTTCGCCTCTGACCACAGGAAGTCATGATCGTGCACAGAGGGACACCATTAAAAATTCCCCATGAAACTATGTAACGATGTCTTTTGTGATCGTTTTATTCTTGTGTAATATTCTCCTGATCGAAAATATATCCGGCTTGTCTTCTTCAGAGCTCTCGTCTGGGTTCGTCACGCAACACCATATTTTCTTACTTGCATGACGAGCTCAAGCACAGCTGTGAAGAAAACTTTTGACCAACCACCAGCCACATAAAGTCCACCAAACTACTGATCCCTGAGCGACTGATCCACTGAATCAGATCCGTCTCATTTGGTCTTTTACTGCCAGTTCATCGAGTCATGAGGTCTTATTTCTTGGGAAATTATTGTTTGTCCATTCAGCAATTACTCATATTTTTGCTTTTAACTGCCACCGCTTCCATAGCTCCCTCGAGATCTTTGTTTTGTCAACACAAAACACTAACTTTGAGTGTCATATTGGTTTACAGTCTCTAGTTCGTGATTTATTGACAAACATGAACAATCTTTGGGTGTAGAATTAACTCAAAATTCTTGACAACGTCTCGTGCATTATTTGAACGTTTCGCTCATTCTATATCTGTCATCACATAGTGGATTTTTCTTGTTACTTTTAAGTTAAACCACTCACATCAGTGTCTAATTGTTCACAAGATAGCTGGAGAATGAATAAAATGTTAAGGTTGATAGTGGGGCTATCACTATCCTTTGTTTAATAGGAAACGTGTCTATCAAAAAATTGAAATAAGTTCTTTAGACGCATTTAACAAATTCGCACAAAAGTTCTCACGGTGACTGAATCTGTCAGGTGTGAGCAAGGAAGAAAATTATCAGTCTAAAGGTGTATTTTTTTATCAAAGCCGATGACATAAAGGTTACTCACGACGAGTTAAAAAAACAGCGGTTTACATTTGTTTTCACATGGTCTTCGATCGTTTGCCATATGATTCTGAGAAACTGAAATTTTCCTTCTCGAGATGTAACGTTTGATGACAACAGCGAGCGCCCTCAATCTCACGAATGATAGTTGCTAAAGGTGATATTTTCTATCATTGTAAAACTGGTCATGAAACTTGAAAAATTCACGCTCCGACTGGGTTTGAACGCGTGCCTGCTAGATTACGTTTGGCGCTATTTACAAGTTGGTTTCCATACAGGTTTCAATTTTTTTTGGCTCACAATCTACTTTAGCGCGGTGATCAATTCTTCAAATATCATCCACAGAGGAGTATGATTTTATTCATATAGTTTTTGAGACTAAAAATTGAAAATGCCTCTAAAAAGGGCAATAACAACCGATTCCTTTCTTACATGGATGGTAGTTACCATCAACAAGAGTAATTGACGTGTCGTGTGGCACGATTAATTATTAGTACTTACTTTCAGGAGACGCTTGTTCGACAAAGATGATGCCTTAAAGTTTATGGGCTGTGTGATAGAATAACCTGGAAACAGATAAATTGGAAAACAAAAATGATTGGTATAGAAACAATGATTTCTCAAAATGTTGACATGTTGCACAACCGAAGTCGTTACCACCCGATTTCATTCGAAATACTTGTTAAAACCCCTGCATTATTTTGATCAGTAGGAATGACTAAACAGGTGTCGTCTTCGATGCCTCTAAAAAGGGCAATTCCAACCGATTCCTCTCTTACGTGGATGGTCGTTTCCGTCAGCAACTTACAATAATTGACGTGTCGATGAGTGTGGCACGATTAATTATCAGTACTTACTTTGAGGAGACGCTTTTTCTACAAAGATGATGCCTTCAAGTTTTTGGGCTGTGTGATAGAATAACCTGAAAACAGATAAATTGGAAAACAAAAAATTATTAGTATAAGAACAATGATTTCTCAAAATGTTGATATGTTCCACGAACGAAGCCACCACCCGATTTCATTCACACATTCCATAATTTGTGTAGAAAGTATAATTTTGTAAAAAACTGTTGATGACAAGTAAAACATTGAAAAACAATTATTGCCAGCTAACCTTAAGCCAAAAACTAAACGCCAAAGCCAAGATCAGCCAATGAAGTCAAATATCGATATCAAGTAGATGTTTGTTTGCAAATAATCGTGACGAGGCATAAAACGTCTTTGAATACCAGAGATGTTATTTAAAGACTTTGACGGGAGACAAGTTTCATTTTCTAACGCGATTTACTGGTTTGGCTAAGTCGAAAATGAGAAATAACGTCAGAAATGCCTGAAAAACGTTGAATGATCTACTTATTTCGGGTGTATGAGCACTGATTTTTTTTCAACCATCTATTAAACTTTTTCGAAATACTTGTTAAAACCCCTGTATTATTTTGATCAGTAGGTATGATTAAACTGGTGTTGTCCTCGAAGAGAAGTTTGTCGGAATCTAACGTTTCATCAAAATTTTATGGCAGTGATAAACAAGACATATTTCAACTAGCTATTTTCGCACGCGGACATAGTTTCGTACCTCTAAACCTTAAAATCTCATTGGTAGTCTAAATAACGGTGTATCAAAACTGTAAAGAGAACTTACATGATGATCAGTCACGACGTGGAAAATTTCACTTTTGTTTCTGATTTTGAATGGCTCTTTTTATTCCAAAACTTTTGTCAACGATACAAGGTTAAAATGCTGTCAGTTAATTTTTTGTTTTTTTTTGTTTGAAATATAACCATCGGTTATTTGTGAGCCAGTTACTACGTTAGCTTTTAGAATGCAGCTAAATTTATCAGCGTCACCGAAATCCACACAGGTATGTGATCAACGGGAAAAAAAGAACAAAAGAAATAACATGAAAAAACTACAACATATCAATGTTCGTGGTCATTCGCGGCTCATTCACGATAGGTTCGATCAAAGAGAACAGTCAGGTAATCTGGGATCGAATGACATCAAAGTGGTCAGTGGAGTGTGCGCAGGCTCGCGTGTGTAGAAATCGAGACTGATGGAGACTGTGTAACAATAGTTATGATTCGGAATAAATTGTTCACAGTATTTTGCAAGCTTTGATTTATAACGATCAAGATATTTGAAATGACTAAAGGGAAAGGAGATAATACAATGAACATGGCTTCGGTCAAGGCAGCAGTAAGAGTGGGGCCTCTCAATAAAAGGTAAGTCAAAATGAAGCAATTGATTCGGCCGTTCTAATAGAACGCTGGTTAAAAATTCTCGGTGATCGATGTCTGGGGTTTAAATATCCGTTAAATGTATCTGTTGGGAAATAAGTCTGTCGCTGTTGACAATACTTGTTGAAAACTGCGGCTTATTTTTTAGGAATAAAGACTACAATTCAACCCTAATAGTGAAATTTCATGTTTTCTCGTCGCTGTACGTAGGAGGTTATTTTACTGCAGTTGTGGTTGTTCCAAATTATTCGACGAAGAAATTGAATTTCAGCTTCTTTGATTTCAGAGCGAAGACAAAGATTTTACATACGATTTCTCTTACTGGTCTGCAGATAGTTCAGACCGTCACTTCGCTTCACAGGAACAGGTAAAAATATTCTATTCGTCCAATTCATAATATAATTGGAACCCGATCGGGCCGAAGGAAGTTTAAGTGCGAAGTCCTTCGAACGTCATTCTGCATACATAATGAAATATTGAAAGATATTCACGTACATTTTCGATGAAATCGTCATCTTTTCGAAGTTTCTTTTCAAGTTAGACCGTAGCTAAGTGGTTGTTCATTTTTTATATTTGACCTCCAGTTGTTTGTTGCGCTAAATTACTTTATGGTTGTTCAGTTTTATTTGTGTGATTTTTGGATGTCTTACTGTTTTGCAAGTCAAATTAATTAAGAGAGAATGAAGCAATAGTTTTTCTTTTTTCCAAGGGTATCTTGACGGTTTATATTTATAGTAGTCAGTAAATGAACTTAAATAAAATAAATAGTAAAGAAAAGATGAATTTTATACAGTTTAAAATATGTTAAAATGTAATAATTTTTCACTTATAATCAAAAAGAAACCCAAGAGTAAATAAATTTACGTACACATCAAGGCGATTCATTCTTTCTCTAAAATCTGATATCTTTGATACAAAAAAATAATTGAGTATGTCGCTGTTGACTATACTTATTGAAAACTGTGACTAAATTTAGACCTTAAGACTTAGATTTCAATCTAACAGACTTCCTTACTTTGCATATCAGTGTGCTAAACAACAGAAACAAATTTGGTGAGCTGAAATTCACAATGTCAATGTAAAATCTGATTATAAATGTTTTATGGGGTTAAACATTGATCCAACGAAAAAGAAGTGGTATAGCTGAACTTTATTAGTATCTTCTTTAAAATGACCAGCATTAATTAGATTATGTGACATAGTTCATAGACAGACAGAATTCAATAAAAAAAAAAGTGAAGTCAAGAGAGTTAAATATGAAATTGAGTTTATTTCTGTACTGTACAAAGCAACAGAATTGAATTTTGTGGTTTTAGCTTGAGAGTATATTTACCCACACTTTTGATTAACGGGATAATACATTTGTTTCAATAGAATAGTTGTTAGAATAGTTGTTAATGGTCCACACTCCAAATCTTTGGAAACAAGGTATTAATTATAGCTAAAATAGAAATATTTGCTTAAATTTACAAGTAAACTTTCCAGTATGAGTATTGAGGAGCAACCAACTTGTTAATTTTACGTGATGTTTTTATGAGGATTTAGCTCTTTGAAAACTTTAGAAGTTTGAAATTTTAAGGGTAAAGTATTTTGGTGATATGATAGATATTACATAACTTAGTCACAAAAATCTTAAAAAAGCTTGAAGTTTACTTACTCTGTTATTCCTTCAGGTGTTTGAAGATTTGGGTACAGACGTGATACAGGCAGCGTTTGAAGGTTACAATGCCTGTATTTTTGCTTATGGTCAGACAGGGGCTGGTAAATCTTACAGTATGATGGGACAGGAGGTAACAAAACACAATTAACTATTTTTTTACATTGAAGACCACTGGGACCATCATTAATTTGGTGTCCATAATAGCACTCTTTCATTATGCATTCTGATTGTCTAGGTGAGAGTTGATCCAACAAGGACTGTTGTTTGTGATTTTGACTGATGTTTTGATAACCTCAGTAAGTCATTATCTGAGTAGCTCTGTTATTGTTTTTGGCTAAGGTTGTTGAAAACTTAGTCTCTAGTACTGACAATAGTCCTTAAGATTGCATATACTTTCATGCAAATGATCAGACTACATATTAACAAAATGTTACTCTCTGGTTCAAACCATTTACTGTTCAAAGTAATAACAATAATCTGCCATTATCATGGTAGATGTTAAAGGTGAGCCAGTTTTTTATTGTTTAGTGTAATGTATAACATTTTTAAACTGCAATGTCTTTTTTTAAGATAGAGCAGTTCCTTTAACTCGTTGTTCACATGTACAAATGCTTCCAGTAGATTTCTTAACTTTGTGCAACATGGAGGTCAAAATTCTGCTACAGGGAGAGTTGTTTCCATACAGTTCTCAAAAGTTTTGGTGAGAGATTCACAAGTCATGTGAATTAAAAAAATTGCATTTTGACTTGCAAATGACAATACATGTTAGTAAGAAAATGATCTCATTTGTGAACTACAATCAAAGAAATAGCAGAAAAAGAAGCCTGAAAAGTAAGGCTGTGACATGATTGAAACACCTGCTTCTCAGATACTAGTCCATTGATACTCTTAACAAAGATAATAAGCCACATATTAACTCTTAAACCCTTATGAGTGACCAAGGCAGAATTTCTCCGTAGAATATCAATGTAATATCAAGTTGGCAAGTGATGACAATGAAGAAAATATCAATTAGGGGATTTGCTTGTTGATCCAATACCAAATTCTCCATTCTATGCAATTATTGTATAGGAAACAGTGAAGAGAATTGCCAATGAGACTTTGGAAGTGAAAGTTAAATGATGTCATTGTTAAATCAATGTTTAATTGAACTATGGCAATTGATTTTTGATAATATTATTTTTTTGTAGACTGCACCAGGATTGATACCAAGAATATGTCAGGTACTCTTAAGATTTTTGATAAGTTGAAAATTCAAAAAAATTTGAAAATAACTGTACTTCAACTCTGCTTTTTAACATTGAGGTACAATTAGATTTCATATCCTTATAAATTGAATGGTCATTTACAAGTAATTAATATCCTATTTAATTTATACAATATGTATTTCATTGAAATGGCTATTTATTTTTTGGTGATATATTTGGTGTCTGTGACAATTTATTATATTCATTATTTTATTACTGGTATTTATATGTTAATTTGAGGCAAGGGATTAATTCTTCATCCATTATTAATTATTAATTAATTAATCATTATTATTAATTATAAGTGTAAATTACATGAATTTATTTAACAGGGTCTGTACGCTCGCATGGAATCAAGTGGCGATGACAAGACTGAATTTAGGACTGAAGTTAGGTAAGTGTTTCCATGTTTTTGTTGTGGTCATCAAACTTACAATTCTTCTGTGTTATTTTTTGAGAAAATATCATTCGTCAAGTCCAATGAATATTTTCTTTGTTTGTTAGTTACCTGGAGATTTACAATGAAAGAGTTGGTGATCTCCTTCGACCGGCTAAAGGAAGAGAGAAATTCAATCTCAAAGTGAGAGAGCATCCAAAGGAAGGTCCATATGTACAAGGTATGTTTATTAAAGGACTGAATTTACTTTAGAGAATAAACCCAAATGTCTGTTATGAGTATGGTGGTAAAACTGGTCTGTTTACCTATCATGCTTTAAATAGAACAAGAAAGATAGGAAAGAAAAAAAGGAAGCTGGTGCATGTAATTTTTGAGCTTGGTAGTGGATTAAAGAAAGATGTCTTTGTATGATGATGATTGCACTTTGGTAGTAATAAGCACAAGTAAATTCTTCAAAGGCAACAAAATTGCATGAGCCCATAGGGTGAGAGCAACTTGTGGTCTTTGAAAAATTTATAATTTATATTTATTTATATTTTCTTGCACCAGAAATCATCTCGTTACTTGTTGATAATTTATGTAAAAAAAGTATCACACAAAGTCAAGACAGATGAAATTTTGACAGCATGCACATGCTAATTGTAATTTCCACTTGTGTTACAACTTTGCACTTGTGTGACAACTTTGCTCTCATATTACACAAAAAAATGGACTGGTTTTTAGCCAATCAGATTCATGTAATTTGTTGATGTATATTATTGGTCTTGTTATGAGGGTGGGCCAAACTTTAAAAAATCTGAGGCTCCATGAGGAAGTGGCCCCTTGGCCTTTGGATTCCATGCTCTAATGCTCGACCACTGGGCTTCAGAGCACTCTGTGTTGAAAAATGCACCTGCTTTGTTCATACATATGTGACACATCTCCTGCATCATGCAAGGATAAGCACTGTGTGACAGGAAAAATAATGTCTTTCTTTACTACATTTATATGTCAGTCAGTTAGGAGGCTGGTGTCTGAGATCCCAGGTTTAAAAACCAACATGTTTCCAAAGTTTATTCTCATACGAGTAGCATGAAGCAATTGGGGGTATTGTTAATCCTTTAGAATGAGATGGTTGAGTATCACAGGTTCTCCCTTAGAATAATGTCAAGTATTTCGGACATTTTTTGCTCACTCTATGTGCTATACCTATGGCACTATGTGTAAGAGTTACATGTAGTGCTTATCTTAGGGACAAAACGCACTGATCTAATGGATGGCTCACTCCATGTGGGTGTTGTACACACATGCGTTTTGAAAGAGTCATTGGCTCAAAAATATATTTATTATGATATTTTAGATTTGACAAAACATGTTGTGAAAGATTACGAAGGAATAGAAAATCTGATGGAAGAAGGAAACACAAACAGGTAATGGTGATTGTACAACTACTACTACAATAACTACTACTACTACTAATAATAATAGTCTGTAATAAAAATGATAGCACAACACATTCCTTCTTTAAAGTGTTTTCACAGTTTTTCATAAATTGCACATATATTGACTGCATCACTGATTTTAATCAGTCTTGAATAAAAATTTTGATGATTTTTAATTTTATACATCTTGGAATTTGTAACCATCATCATACTGTACAGATGAAATAAAGCTCAACATTAGGACAATATGAATTACCATGTAATTTGGATGAAAGATTTTTTCCTGTGTAAGAAAGGGAAGGAAACCCAAACAGTCTTTGAATGAGAAAAGCTGCTGGGGTTTTTCTCAAAATGCTTGTAAGTAATTGCCTGCTCTGTTCAATAATGATATTAAGATGTTACCAGCAGAGGGCAATTTATTGGTGTGATCAGAGAACTTGTTGATCCTGAATCTTGTTCACATTGCAGGACTGTTGCCTCTACAAACATGAATGATGTCAGTAGTAGATCACATGCAATTTTCACTATTTTATTCACGCAGGTAAGGAAACAAATCAATTGTTAGTTTGATTCCCAGTAGATTAAAATATGATGCTGCAGTTATCAGCCACAGGTACATGTATCCTCCTCAGAAGTGGTGACAGTCATTGACATTATTTTGTATTAATGTATTTTATTATGTCATAATTTTCTGTTTCATTTGGTAGTAATGAAAGATACACATACTTGAGGTCTAGAATTAAAGTTCTGTGAATCAGCAATATTAATGCTTTGCTTTAATTTATTTGAGATGGAATTTTTCATTATTGCTGATATGTTTTTATGATTATATTTCAGGCCAAGTTCTATACTGACATGCCCAGTGAAACTGTTAGTAAAATCCACTTAGTTGACTTGGCTGGCAGGTTAGTATCTGTGAAGATCAAATTCATAATTCTCCTTTTCATCTGCTTCTCATTTCCTTGTAAATAGGCTAAGAAAAAATGCCTTTTATCTAATAAATTTGTCTTTTGTTATAGAGAAACTAATCTTAGTTGTTTGATCGACTGAGTCAAGTAATAATAATAATAATAATAATAATAATAATAATAATAATGCAACAATAAAACTTTATTTAAACACTACAAATATTTAAAGCAAGAGGCTTGTGGGGTCACATTACAACAAAATTAATATAACAATAATATTAATAAATAATAATATATATAAATTTATCTAAAAATATATACAACTTAATAATAATAAAGCATTATAGCAGTCTTTCCTAATCCTTTTACACTAGTAAAAACCATTAGTTTATTGATTTCTATTGTCATTTATCAAATTCAGAACAACTGCCCAACAATGTCTGATGATTAAGTCAAGCAATCCTAATAGTTTGAGTTACTTTGTTGTTGCAGTGAGAGAGCAAACTCCACTGGTGCTACAGGAAGCAGATTAAAAGAGGGAGCTAACATCAACAAATCTCTTGTTACATTGGGAACTGTTATCTCAGCATTAGGTAATAACTATCCTGGGTAACTGGTGTTGTATTGACTTCTTGGGCAAGATACCTTCATTTAACAGTGCTTCTGTCCATCAAGTGATGATTTGTTTTGTTAAGTGGAAGTTCTGGGTCTTGTGTTATTCTTGTAGCTGAAGCAAGTGAGAACTCCATCAGTAAAGATCCCAAGAAGAAACTTTTCATCCCTTACCGCAACTCTGTGTTAACATGGCTACTGAAAGACAGTTTGGGAGGAAATGCCAAGACAATCATGATAGCAGGTTAATATTTTTTTCAGTTATGCCAGTGTTTAACTTGGCAAAAGAGACAAGCTTGTAAATTTTGGTCAAGTTTCTTGTCAGAAACAAGGTTTACGAGCATATCTATTTTGATGATTACTGCTGGTACAAGTTTGCCGATGTTTGATTTTCTTTTTTTTTCATTGCTGTTAAACATTTGATTTAGGAAGAACAAAGATGCTTTTATGCCTTTTACTCCTAAAATCTTATTGTTAGTTCTCCCATCCAGCTGCAATACATTTCGTAGGGAATAAATCAAGAGAATGTGGTGTTAAGTTAAGGCAACAACTTCTCTTTGATGCGTTTGAATATTCTCATTACCAGTTAGCTGGATATTTTATGGGTATCAGAGGGAGAAACAAAATGTTAATCACTTCTGGGAGTTTAAGTGTTATAAATATTAATTTCTCTTTCCTCATAGCCATATCACCAGCTGATGTGAACTATTCAGAGACTCTTAGCACGTTACGTTACGCCAATAGAGCCAAGAACATCATCAATAAACCCACAGTCAATGAGGTTTGTTATTTAACTGAATCAATGATTATGAGTGGAGTTGGCAGGATTTTCAGTGTGTCTGGGGGGTAGGGGTGGGGGATTTCACACCCTAGCATTTTACTGGTTAGTGTGGGTATGCCAGATTGTTTTATCATATACATGTAATAACATTTGTCTGATAAATATCAAGATACCATACACTTTTGTACCCCACCACCCATCTCTATCCACTTCTTTCCCAGCTCTCCCCCACCCAATCCTTGTCTTTAGCCTGGGTTTTATCTGCCGTTATGTTATTATGTCTTGAAAAAAACTAAAACAAAATGTCATCTTAGAGTAAATTGTAAACTGTGTTAAAACTAGCGGAAGGGGAAGTCACACACTCCTTAGGCCACCCCCCTCAGCTAAGTCCACGGTTACGCCTCCAAGCTGCACATGTTTTAGTTGTCCACGAACAGCGAAATGTAAAGGCCAGTTTTGTTTTTATTTTACGGAAGTTTTACTGGAGAAAGATAACTTACTCAATGTAGCGCTTTTATTTTAATGTTGTAAACATAGATCCAAGTGGTCTAAAATATTTGTTCATTATCATTCAGGACCCTAACGTGAGACTGATCAGGGAATTAAGGGCTGAGATAGACAGACTCAAAGTGCTCCTGCAGGCTCACGGACAGGTATGCAAACTACAAGGGATATGTGCCATATTTGGTGGTCAGGTGGAAATATCAAACCGGAATTAATTTCTGTGTAGTAGCTGAGCGGAAATGTTCTTACTTGGAGGGTTTGGGAAACTGTGTGTGCACAAATTACAGTTATTTGAAATTTTCGTTGTTGATGGAAAAGGAATGTAACAAGTGACAAACATGAATCAAGGCCAGGATTTTTCAGTCCTGCATTTCTTCTCTTATATCGTCCCAGGCTTTCAGTTGTTTATTTTTTTTGTTCCTTTTTTTTTCTAATGCAAAGCGCTTGGCTCAAAGATTGTCAAAATATTTAAATTCCCTCAAGGAAATTACCATTATGAATAAATTGGGTTTGGGAGGATAAATGTTTCCCTACTCCGACGACGACAAGAAAGGTGACGAAACGACAACCTGACTCGTGATGACGACCCGACGACGGCACGACACGGCGACGACACGAATACGAAAACGACGACGACGACGAGCGAATAGCTACAAGGACTCGTAACAGTACATTTGATTCATCGTTTCTTTATTATGATGTTAGGACGGAGTTGGCGAGCTTGGTGCGGCAGAGGAGTCGCAAATGACTGAGAGACTGCACGAGAACGAGGCGCGAGTCGAAGAACTCACTAAAAACTGGACCAGCAAATGGCGGGAAACGCAAAAAATTATTGAGGTAAGTAAATAGTCTGAAACAAGTGGGCGCAAATTTTTTCGTCCTTTAAGTAGCTCGATCCGTAAACAAGCTTATGGAGATCTTGTAAGAATTACTGACGAAGTGGTTGTCGTTGTTGTTGTTTTTTTTTATAAACAGGAGCGAGCACTCGGCTTCAGATATGAGGGAGCTGGTATTAAAATGGAGTCAGAGCTTCCTCATTTGGTCTGCATTGATGATGATGTTCTCAGTACAGGAGTAACACTTTACCATTTGAAGGTAAGTGTAATATTCTTATACAAGGCTCTTTTCTATGAAGTGTCGTTATACCAAGATCAAAGTGTTCACGACTTCAAATCAGGAGAAAGAAAAATATTAGAAGGGACCAGTGAGAATGAGGTTTAACTCTAACTCCCACGAGTGACCAAGATAGAATTTCTCCTCACAATATCCATACAATATCAAGCAGACAAGTGATGAGAATAAAGGAAAATATCAGTTAGGGGATTATAAGTTGATCCAATACCAAATTCTTCAAACCAACATCACAAGAACCGTATGGCAGACAGTAAGGAGAATTACTAATGAGATCTTGGGAGTTAAAGTGTTAATTCGGGCATGTGATTGGTTTTATGGATGGCGTAAATTCTTAGTTTAATTACGGCGCGAATTAAAGCAAAACAGAAGTCAATCCCGGGTTTCTTTCGATGCCTAATTGAAGACAGCTTAATTCCTGCCGCCCCTAAAGGAACAGTTTGCAGTTAGCTCTTTTAACATCAACTGGAGATTTTCAAGTTTATTTAAAACGTTGGCTAGAGGAACTGATACATTTAGTAAGGAGATGTAGAAACATAAGTAGCAAAATGTATTGCCGGCATTTTGTTGTCTTGTTCTTTGTACCAGTTCAGCAGTCTGTTTTCTTATTCTTTAATTCATAGGATGGGATGACTTACATCGGAAGAGAGGATGCAAATTTTAATCCTGATATAGGTTGGTCTGGATTTTAATCAGTCAATTTGCGTAGCTGGCGGTTTTCGGAAGCCAGGGGAGCAGTGAATTTGGTAACGGACATTTTCTCCTTCCCAGTCCTCTTGCGGAATGGGAAGACCTTCGCCGCTTAAAATTTTCCTTGATGCAGTTCGTTACGCAAGAAACTTGTAAGCGTGTGAATGAAAAGAGAAAATCGCCAGAGCTAGAGTTTGTTTTCATCCTGAAAGCTCGTTCTTTATGCATAGTCCACAAAGTGTATAAAAGCACATCTGAGAGGTGATCCCAACTGTTTGACTTAACATCAACAACTAACCGTTGAATGGAAATTGTGTAACACAAGATTGGAGAATTTTCTTTTCTATTACATTCAGAGATCGTTGATAGTCTTTCAATGATCATATCAACTTGATTCGCTGTTCTCGAACAACTGTCCACACTTTAGTCTTAACAGTTTTTTTGCCTTGTTTTTGAGAATTCAATACTTGATGATATTTAGGAGAACACGTTTTGAAAATCTAGCAACGTTAACAATAAATATTCTGACAGATATTGATATTAAAACTTTCGTTCTTGTGCTCATCAGTGTTATCAGGACCTGGTGTTGAAGCTGAACATTGTATCATGGAGAGTATTGAAGGAACAGTTATACTTCATCCTATCGCCTCCCTGTGCCAAGTGAATGGGCTTCCTGTGGGCAAGTCACAGCGGATCAGTCAGGGTAGGTGTACTCTGCACCTCCTCGACTTGTATTAACTCTTCACACCCTAACATCAGTTTGTAATTTCTCATTACCGATTCTTTATACATTTCGTAAGGTGCTGACAAGGAGAATTTGTGTACCAATCAAAAGTTTCTTTCGTTGGTGATCATTTCCTTTACTCTCATGACCCTAACGTCTGATTCAGGGTTGATATTGTAGGGAGAAATTTGATGCTGGTCACTCTTAGGGTTTAAAGGGTTAACTCTTCACACCTTAACATCAGTTTGTATATTCTCCATACTGTTCTCTTTACATCTTCTCAAGTGATGACTGGGAGAATTATTGCTTTATTCATTTTGTCTGTTTCTGTTTCCACAGGAGATGTAATTTTACTTGGAAAGACCAACATGTTGCGGTTTAATCATCCTCAGGAAGCTGCGAAATTGAGAAAAAAGCGATACGTGAGTAGTTTTGTTGTTTAAAAGTTTTCAAAAAAGGTGAAGTAGGAAATTATTTTTATCGTTTTCGTGATCTTTGCAGTACGAGTCGATGGAGAATTTAGCGGACCTTAGTTCAGAACCAGAGAGAGAACCTTCTTACATGTTCTATAATGCCGGGTGAGTATCAGATGATCTATGGTTTGATATTTGATATTTACAACACATGAATATTCTCGAACTGATTTAAAGACACCTCTTTAAAGGCAATTACTTTCACGAGATTAAGAAAACTACCTCGAAGAAAAGAAGGAGACCTCCCTTTTGCCCTTCTCACCATTTGCATCAACTTCAAGCTCTCGTTAAAAAGTGAGAGTTACTTGGTAAATTCTTCCATCAGTGTTAATATCTCAAGTATGGACAGATTGAGTTATTCACGAGCTGCCTGATATCTGTGCCCCATAAGGTCTTGATTGTGATAGCGATTTTGCTCTTAACAACTCATTTTTTAAACAAAATTGTAGCTTGGAGCTTGAGCGTCAGTATCGGGAAGAAACTCGGAGAATTGAGGAACAAAGGTAAATAGAGAGCCATGAAATGTTACTGTCGATTTTTAGCTGCTTGGGTTGCTAGAGAATCGTTCTAACTCTTTATTTTATTTTATTCTATTTTTCTCCCATTACACAGACGATGTCTTGAAACTCAACAGAGAGAGGCTGCTGACAAACTAGAGGAAGCAAGGTTTGGTGACATAATTTTACATCTTTGAATCACTCTCGGTTTAACGCATGAGTAGAAGTGGGAGTGGCTTAATTCTGGTCCAGTAGCCATGTCGTTATGTACCCTCATGTCATTGGAAGCGTCAGAATGACTTCGTTATGTAATACGCGTTGCATCTAACTGGAATAATCCGATGATGTGGATTTTTAGAAACTCATTGTGGTACATTTGTTGAATTTGAGCTTTTTTTTTTCTCAGACGTGAACTGGAGTTCCTCCGTTCCCAGCAACAGAGAGCTTCTGAAGTTCGAAGTGCAGAGGAGGTGGAACGAAGAAAGGAACTAGAAGCGAGTCACCAACAGTTAGAACTACAGAAGAAATATCTGGAGGAGATACGAGAAGAACAAGAGCTGGCGCGAAAACGAGCCGAAGATGAAATAAGACAGGTATTTTGAATGAAAATAGGGTAATTTTCAATAGAGTGTTGAAAATAATCTGGAATTGCGCTATGCAATTTGGTTTTATCAACTAAGTTGATAATATAAATTGGCCACCGTAAAGAGTTTGAAAGCTGACGTTTAAAGCGTTAAGCCCTTCGTCAGAGCGAAGGAATTGCTCTAGTTTTGCTTCACTTCGAGCTGTGATTGGTCCCGAAAACTCGTCCCACCCTCTCAACCAATCAGTTGCAAAGAACTAGCTGGGACTTTGTAATTACGTTTTCCCTTGCATCAGTCAGTTTCTTCGTTTTTATTTTGAATTCTTATTTGCGCCTTGAGACATTTGTCTTTGTTCTGATCTCTCTGTTGCGCGACTGAACCAGGTGAAGGAAAGGATCCGTCAAGAACAAGAGGAAGAAAGGCAGCGGCTGGAGGCTGAGATGCAGCGCCTGGTGGCCCTTGAAGAAGATCACAGGAAGAAGGTTCATATCAAAGAGCAAGAGATGGGAAGAATCAAGGAGGACCTGGAGAAAAAGTGGGACCAAGAACGACGACAGGTAAACAGCGAGAACTGATACGAAGAGTGAAAAGAAAGAAAAAAAAGTCAGAGATTTGTAAATTGTGCAATAGTGTGCGGGTATGACAAATAACATTATTTTATAACAAGGAAATATCAAGGGGATGTAACTTTTGGTTAAATTGCTGTGGGAATGTGGTGAAGAGATTTTCGGATGATAGTAGTAGGCTGGGAACGCCTTTGAAAAGAACTAATATGGCTGACCGGTAAAAGAGAAAGCGGCATTTTTTCAAGTTGGACGTGAAAGCCTTATCTTTTATTGGCCAATAATTTGCAAGTTATCTTAGATTCATTAAGTAATCTTATGAAACTAGAATTTTGAAAGATCTTTTCCAGACAGATATGTACTTTTTTCCTCATTCATCTGCTGAAAAAAAATAATTTTTATTTACTCTAATTTAAATTTTGTTGTTAGGTTGAAATGCAGAGGGAAGAGGTGGCAAAACTTCAGCAGGAAATTGAAGCTAAATCACAAGAACTGGAAGCAGCTGAACGGGAAGCAAGGGCTGCTGCACAGCGTAACAGCGTCGCATCTTCATCTGGAACTCTTAGTCCCTCTGCTAGCAGTGACGCCTTGCAAGGGTCCGCAGAAGGAAGTGAGGAAGCAGCTGAAGCAGCTGCCGAAACAAAAGCAGAAGCGGCTGCTGAAGCAGCTGCTCGGGCGGAGCCTGACGAAAAGTCACAACTTGAGGTACTTCGTGAACGACTTAGGCAGCTGGAGGTTGATTACGAGGAGCAGCGGAAGGAAGCACAGAGAGAGGTGGCACAGGCTAAAGATTCTGTCAGGCGAGTGGAGCAGGAAACGTTGGAGGGACTCCGCAGCCTCACTACTGGAAAGTCAGCCATTGAAGGGGAGTGGCGGCGGCTGGAAGAGGTTCAGGCCAAGCACAAGAGGGCACAGGAACAGTCTTACGCCAAGATTAGGGACGTACGGGAGATGCTGGAGAACGCGGAAGAGGTGGAGGAAGCTTCTCTCATAGAAAAGGAGAAGATGATCATGGAGAGAAGAGCGGCGAGGATGAAAGTTGAGGAGGCAAGACGGAGGTTGGAAGAATTAGAAAACGAAGATAAGGAAGGTGAGTTGACTGAAGCAGATTTTACCAAAAAGAAAGAACTTCTAGAATTCGAAACACGGGAAGAAATAAAAGATATCAGGGAGGAACGGAAGATCATCAACGAACTGCTGAATAAACATCAAACAGCGCTGCAGAAAGCAACGCTAATGGTGACGGAGACCAAGACTAAGCTTGAAAAACACCTGGAGAGCGAGAAGTTGATCCTGATGCCACTGCGAGAGAAGGTTGAGAGCTTGGTAAGGAATGAACTCGGACCTCTGATCGAATACGAACAGGAGATAGAGAAAAGGTGTGAAGACGTCGATCGCGAGGGTCGAGAACGCAAGAAGCTCATTTACAAGCAAAGGAGGCGGATTGCGTTGCTGGAACGACAGCACAGCCAAGCGCTGCAGCAGGCAGAGAAGGAGACTTTGAACGAAGAAGAGCTGGAGGAGTTGGAGAACGAGAGAGAAGCTGAAAGGAGTTTGATCAGGAAAGAGAAAGTGCGATTGCTTGAGCTCGAGAAGAAGCACAAAGAGCAGCAGGAGGTAGCAGAGCTGACGATAGGAGAAGCTGTACAGGAACTGGAGAAACGGAAGGGTACCGTCAACCAGCTGCTGGAGACCGAGAGGCGGAAACTCGCAGACCTGGAGGCTGTGCATAAGGAGACGCTGGAGCACGTGGAACAAGAATTAGAGCAGCGCTCAGAGATCCTGCACCGAGTCAAGGATAAAGTACAGAAGGATAAACGGCAGCTGGCGAAGCTTGATGTGAGGCAACAACGCTGCGCAGCGAAAGCTGCTGAGGAGTTGTTTCTCATGGCGGACTTGTTGGAAAAGGAAATGAGTGATAAAGGAAAAACAGACGAGCTGTTAAGGATCAAAGAACAGAGGAAAAAACTGCAGGAACTTGACAAACAATTGAGAATGGCGGAGAAGAGGGAAAGAACGTCGCGGGATGATCAAGAAAATCAACAATGCACTCTGCTATAGACATTCCCAACTTTCTCTAAACGTACCTGTGATTTGATGTTCGGGGATATTCCAATCTTGTAGCAGAAAGGTATTTCTGTTAGTTGTTATAGAAAGAGTTATTTTGAAGTAAGTAGGAATCGCAATATATCTAAAATAAATTGTCTCCCCGGGAACAGGGAACCTGCTGAGTTTAGTTTCCCTTTAGTTTCGTGCTTTGAAGCGATCTTTTGTTCTCCCTTACATATTTATAGCTAATGATATTTCGCTTTTGTGTGATGATATTAGAATGTCAAACGAAAGAAAAGGCTTCAACTAATGTTTTTGCAATTATCTTTATTATTCGAAATTAAAAATCTATTCAAGAGCTCGTTTTGATATATTTACCTTTCAGTTTAATCGGTATTTTTTTTGAGATGTTATGTCCAATGTCGTTGAAGTGACTTTTTCCGTAACTGTAGTTCTTGACAAGGTTATTTAAGTATCTTTGAAATAATCTGCAATTGTAAATATTTGAGCCAGTGAAAAGTGAAAGTTGTAAATTAATGAAAGGTAGATTTATTTCGTTAACAATTAGAAGGTGCTAAGGTGAAATCTACTAGACTATTATAGATTAAATTGGTTAATGAAACTAAAGCTTTTCGTGGCAAACATTATTTAATCTAAAGTTAACTTAAATGTCCTTAATCCAAACAAGATTTTATTTATTTCGATGAAATAATTTAAGATTTAGTTTTCCCTTTTTTCAAATTTTCGCGGCGATCAAGGCTGACAATAAATTGTACAAAGTATAAATTTCCCTGTTTATAAGGTATCAATGGTGGAATGGAGATGTAAAAAAAAATGAATGTTTGGATGCAGAACAAAACAGCGACATCTCCGAGGGTATATCCCAGGGATTTGATATCCCTGGGGTTTGGAACGGTTAAGATCCAGAGAAGAAAAATTTCTTAGTTTGTATCCGCTGAAATGTTGATTGTTTGCAGAATTGCAGGATAATGTGCTCTTGGTAATTAAAAAGTCCAAACAATAAAATGTAATGGGATGAAATTTGTGTCTTTTTTTTCTTCTTTACGGTCAGTTTCGTTTAGAAATTGTTCCTTGGTCAGTTACACGTTGCAGACGGGCGGGGAAAGCATTTCGACTCGCGTGTAAGTAAATCCATCCTCGCGAGATGCAGTGGCATCTTAACCCTTAAATCCCAGTAGTGATTAACCTGTAACTTCTCCATAAAATATCCATACATCATCCAGCAAACAAGTGACGAGAATACTCAAACTTATCAGGTAATTGTTATTTTGATTTAACGCTAAATTCTCGTTACTAATTTACAGGGAAATGTTTATAAGCTGGAAGGGAGAATAAATAATCGGATATTGAGAATTAAAGGGTTAACGAGTATGATAACAAACTATCCGATAAAAAAAGGTACACAGAGAGGTACACCGAAAATTTTTTTTCCGATTTGTCGCGAACTTTTTCGCGTCGCTTTGGCCAAAGTCCCTCGGCGCTACAAATAACAAAAGAACTATTGTTTAATACTTGATGTGAGAAGTTGAGCCGGAACAATAGACCATTTCTTGCTACGAATCAAGTTCGAGGTTATCCTCCCAGCTTCTCAGTGTGGGTGGGAAAAGAATCGTGAGAGTAACAGCAACACGTCACTTTCGCGACAATTAGTAATGGTTTCTCACCGATTTTCAGCGAATTTCACGGTTTCTTAGAACAGCGAATTCATAAATCAACTTTTCCAAAACAGCTGCTTACAGCGTCGAGGAAAGTTGAAACATTTGATAAATACACAGGACTATATTATTTGACCACCACATTCGACGTCCTTGCATCATTAATGACAAGTATTCCAAACTGTTGTTTTTCTTACTATTAACATGGGATGAATGTGGTGTGAAAATCTGCGGTTACAACTGTCACGTCCCCACTCGGGCTACAGATCGGAAATGAAAGTTACCTCGATTCCGAACTAAACCGTGCTCTTTTGAGTCAAGGTTTTATGGCACTCCGCCAACGCATTCTTTTATGAGAGAAAGTTTCAATTTTGACGTTTCAGTTTATGCGCAAACCAGCCAACTGGCATATGACTCAATATTAATCCATCTCTTCTCATTACATCACCTCTTGAGCGGTAAATAAACCCACTGAAACTGGAACTCTTCGACCCTACAAAAAGTTTAGCGTGTATACAGATCACTTGATCATACAATCCTTTGATATCCATATCAAAAGAACGCCCCGACGGATTGAAAAACTCGTCCGAAAAATACAGTTGGTAACCTGCGCGGTGGAAAGGCTCAAACCAGGCCTTGTTTGGTTCGTCGGTGGCGACGTACAGGGCAGCGGAGATCTTGAGGAAGTGTTTTTGTGCCATGCTGTTCAACCAGTGAGATGGCGCCATGCTAGCGCTTATTTTGTGATCGGTTCTTCTCACGTGTATGGCGTTATAAGGTTGAGGAAGAATCGATAAAATCTGAAATGCTTTTTGATAGATCTGAGGTGAAAATTTGATGTTATTAAGAATCCACTGCAGCGCTTGTTTTGCGTCTTCTTTGTGGAACAATCGAACATTTGCCTTGTAGCTAGTGTCTTGAGACAAATAGATGATATCGGCACGTTCGTTTTTAAGCTCGCTTAAAATCTGTCGTATTACGGGCTTGCTTGCGTTCATATATCTTTCGATCTCTCTCGGGCACGCTCGAATACTCCTCGAACTATTGTTCGGGACAAATTCGATCTCCCGGGTCGAACTCACGTTTTCCGACGGAATAGCATCCACCCAAAATCCCAAAGCATCAGAATGACAGACATGATGCCATTTGAAATTCGCAAATTCTTCCAAGAACTTTTTGTGGTTTGTCCTCACTTCATGAACATCCAAAACGCTACGCATAAGTTGGAGATCGAGAACCTCAGAGATGGGTACCAGATCTCGCTCAGCCATAAGATTATACACCCAGTTTATTCCCCATCTTTTTTCTAAATTTCTCCAAAACACGAGATTTTTCCGTCTCGAGAAAATCGCCATATCGTGCGATGCCAATGGGTGCACCATCAATGTTCTATTGAGCAACTTAGCCATGATAAGTGCATTTTCGAGGGCAATACGGTGATTATTCCACCCGCCATCCGGCGGTTGATAAGTCAAGTATAAACGCCGAGGAGTCTGAACATGGACTTTTGACACCTCGTTATGCGAATGTTTGTTGTTTTCTCGTATTCCGCGCCTGTGTGAAAGGTTCGATTCAACAGCACTCCTTGTTTGGACAGTTTTCATTGTGTATCGCAGCGGGTATTCCAGTGATAAAAAATAATACTGTGCTGCGACGACAAGCAAAGCTGTTAGGAGATGGAAGAAGACAATTAGATAGAACAAACGGCTCATCTGAAGCGTGTAAAAATCCTCAAGAGGAGAGTGGGGTTCATGCACAGCTGCGGATGAAGTTTGAAATCTTTCTTTTGTTTCTCCATGATTTATCAGATTCCGTACTGATTTCCATGTGAAATTGGATCGGGTATACGATGACGACATATTTGAGATAATTTTCTGTTTTATTTTCTCCACAATACAAACAGGTGGCAGTAGTGTGCAAAACTGTTCACCAGACTAAACTAAACCACAGGATTCATTGAATATCTTATTTGTTGATAGTTTCAAAGTGTCTGTGCATGAGAATGGTTTTCTTTGACAACATTGGAGTAGGTGTCTACAGACAGACGACAAAAGGACTTGGGGCGCTTTCAAAACTTGTAAGAGTGACAGGTGTCTGTTTAGGTATTAACAGGTTTCCGTGTTGCTTTCCCAAGAAACATAACCACTTATCAACGAGTCTCCATTCTCGAAGTGAGTGTGAAAGAATGCTCAATCGTGTGTATGAATTATAGAAACGTCTTCCTGTTTTGTAAAGAAATAATACCAACATCGCAAAAATAATTTTCATTCAATAACTGCTGTTCTAATCTTGACATCACATTATGTTCTATGCTGATTTTGATGAACCAAATTAGACTCATCTCAGATTTTGAGACGCTTTGCATTTTCCTGAAAAGCAGTTCCTCATTGTCCAGTTGTCGACAGAATTTTGCAAGGATTTGGCTTTGAATATCTCGCATTAGAATTTTTTTACCACGGTCATAACTTGAGAGTGATTTGTGAACTTTTCATCTTTTTTTTTAGCATTCACAAAATGGAAAAACACCTCGCGGAACAGGTCTCGTCTTGAATTTCATGATGACTAAACCTTTAGGACGTCAAACGGTGTTCTTTCCAAACACCGGGAAAAATCTCGTGAGATAATCAACTTTAAAAGCATTTACAACTGCATTTACAAAAATGCATTGAAATCGAGAGCTCTTTAAGCCCCGCCCAACAGGATTTAGAACAAACGAAATAGTCCCAGTGAATTACCCCCATATTGGACTCATTTCATCATTAATTGTTTTATTTGGAACTTCACCAAAACGGTTTTTTCCCTCCGGAAAAATTAAGCGTTTTTGAGTGAATAGACCACTGTTTATTTTAGTGGTTTTCTTCTTAGGTAAGAAAAATCACAGAACGAAGGCGCAAAACGAGCAGAAATCGCAAGTTTAATTTTCAAACGTTTACCTGTATGGTAGCAATTCCTTTTTTTTTCCTTTTTAAATGAGTTTATTTTGAAAAGCTTTGTAGAGAAATCTGTCTCCTGTGAAATTATTGTGGATATGTTACAAGCGATCCCAGAAATTCTGCCCCCAGCGTATGAATTATTGGAAAACTGACAAAAAAATCGTGACAGCCGAATGCGAAATACCTACCGCTAACTCATGCACACTGAACACGGCGCCTTAAATCTTGACGGCAGTCCCGGAAATGAAAAGAATAAAACGCCCCTGCCAATTCATGTAGCGCCCATGTAAATGAAACAAAAACCAAGCAGAAATTCCTTTCAAGAAAATCGAGAATTGTCAAAATGCACGTTATCCCAAAATTTATACACCTAAAATGTTCTTGTAAACAACATTGAAATGATTTTACCTTGCAAGAAAGATGTTAATTTTTACTGATTTGAAAACACGAAGTTCATACAAAGTTCATCAGCGTTATTGAAGTATAAAATTATAGCTTAGAGACCCGTAAGATCGATTTTGTGCGACAAGTTTCTGTTTATTTGTCTGAAATATAAATTTTAACGGGCTCCAAGATAGACCAGGTACAACTGTTGTAAAGACTTAAATTCTGTTAATTGGAAGTCAATTTGATTTTCATTAATCGAAATTTAAGCGAACAAACATTCCACCATTTGAAATCAGTGTCTGCTTACTAACTTAGGTTTTTATTACTGACAAATTTATTAGGCAGAAAAGCGTCTGGAGAATCTGGAGAAGAGCGTTTGGAATAGAAAAACTTTGAAGGAGAGAACCCTTACGATTTCATTTAAAAAAGTACATATGTAGGACATGCAATTTTCATAGGTCAAGCATTTTTATTGCCCGGCTTATGAGCAGCACACCTGTGTTGCATTCAAAAGATGTCGCCATGAAGACTAACTTCATTTAACCGCAATCATTAGAGGGTTGAAATCAGGATAATTAGTTTACAATAGGATAATGCTTCGCTGCAATCTGTCGTCAAAAACTTTCAAATGAATTCGTGGCTCCGCTCAAGTCAACGTTTCCAATTTCCAGCGACGCTTTCTCAGTGTATCTGTTTCAAGCCTCACTTACCAACTAAATGATTCTTTTTTGCGTGCAGATGTCGGAAATTGGGACGGCAAGGCTTCTATATAGACAGGAAAATTATATTCCTATTGAACGTTCTAACCACGCGATGACAAGCAGACAAACTGGGCCAGACACCCAGCCGTGAACATGCATTTAGCAAACCGGAAGCTGTTCATGGGCTCTTCGCTATAAAACAAGCAATAAGAGTACATTTCTTTATTCGCAGATTACCTTCCATCGGAGGAAGCAAACACATACGTTACCTTGTAAGTAGAAATTTTATTGTTTGACTTTTCGAAAAGTTCCATCATTTTTATTTTTTCAGGTATCTACTTTTTGTTATGCCCTTTACTACTTATACGTGCTAATCCACTGCTTGAAAAGATACCCGTTTCCTTTTTTTGAGAAAACGTACGCTATATGTTGGAGCTTTCAACTTACGAAAAAAATAATGTAAGAAGCTAAGTTTCCTGTAGCATTTAACTCGGTATTAAAAAGCACTTGTGTATTTTACACAAAATCTTGAGTGTATTTACTCAGGAGAACATCACTTTTTTGGCTAGGTTTTGGATGGGTTTTGTTTCATGTAAGTAATAATTACCACTCACAAAAAAAGAATAGAAAAGGAGTCAGTTCTTATGTGTTAAATAGTAATGCTGGATGTAAAACTTATTTATAGACCGTTAGATCGTGCTGGAATTGTGATTTTATTTGATTTTGCAATATCGCTCCGTGTCGCGGAACGTGGGGGAATTTTACCATCATAGTTTTCAGTTTAATGCTAGCACACAGAACGTTACAAATTTAATTGATTTCTAAATTATTTATCATCATCAACTCACGTGTTCCAGGTGAGGTTTTGTTAGTGAATTTATACCCTCCTTAATAATGATTGACTCCGTGTAATCATCAGCAAACGTCACACAACATGGCTAATCAATTTGGCCAGCGCTTGTATGATTCAATCATTACAATTAGCATCTTAGACATGATCGTTCGATCATCCGACGGGCTGAACAATGTCTACAAAGGGGCGCGTCACTCCTAGTCTTCGGGGCATTGTTTTTCCTTCTAACTACCCCTAAGTAAATGAAGTGTCATTCACTTCGAAAAAACTGCGCATGCGTGAGACCCGATAAAGGTCCTTTGATTAATCTGTGGGTAAGTAAAACACAACGTGTCTGTCATCACAACACTATTTCTTGCCATAATTGAGATGTCTTTGATTATGCCAGAAATAAACCCGTAGAAATCACGTAAAAGAAAGCAGGGTTTCCCACGGCTACTGACGTACTTAATTACAGCGAAAATGATGTTAAAGAAAATCATGAAAACTGAGCTCCTAAGAGTTTCTTCAGACATACTATTTACCCGTGAAAATAAGCTCACTCTCAAGTAATGAGATTGAAGAGCAGGTGAAAAAGCCGCTGTTTTTCATTTATCTATTAACTTTTTTTATGGAGCCTGAAAAAAAAAATTCGGGAAAGAAAATAAAAGGATTAGCGATTAAAAATATATTTTTTTGCTCTTCTTCTTCTTCTTCTTCTTCTTTATTTTGGTAAATTTAATTTGATGATAAGAAATTTAGCAACCTGTCAAAACACGCAGGCGTTCATATAAAATTGGATATATTCCGCATATAACCGAATATAAACGTTTAATTTTTTTTCTCTAATTGCAAGGTTTCCCCTCCAAACCGCATTCGATCTTTTGTAAGGAGGAGCATGGGCCCAATTCCCGGACAGCGGTTACTTCGAATTCGTTAGTCCTGAAAGTTTTGGCCCAAGCTTCCTCCGTATGCTCTCTCGTGTATTTTCATTATCTTAATTTTTTGGAACCGGATATCTGGTCCCAAAAAGTGCCGGATAATCGGGGTCATGGGGATGAGATGAAAGGGACAAAGTTCACTCCGCAAATTTGCCGGTGAGACAACTTACGGGCATTAAGCCAAAATATTTAGAGCTGTTAAACTGACTAAAACGACTGAAGCTTTGATACTTTGAATGTATAAGAGGTTTTTTGTTTCTCCAAGGTGACAGATTGTTGCAAAAGTGTATTTCTTAGCGGTAATCACCAGCCGTCGCTCTGACATACCGATCAAAGATCCGCATTCGGGCGAACCCGATCTCGAGACTGGACTAAAGCAGATGAATCGCGAGTATTGTAACAAAAAATATTTGCAAACATTTTTTAGCACTCTATCTCAGTGGTTACTTTTCACTCAATCATACCGCATTTATGAAACACGTCCGTGTCTGTCCGGGAGGTGAATAACGTTGGTATTTTGATAGTGTCACCTTGCAATGTTCACTGCAGCACCTTGATAACCTGTATCCTTAACAAGTAAACCGCACTTCTTAAAACTGGTTGTGTTTCTTATTCACCACATGAATAAACAGATATTTAATCGCAGGAAGCCAGTTAAAAGAGAAAAAACCGACCACCCGAAAACAACGTCATTCATTCAGCGATCTTCATGGCTTTACCGACAAAACCATTCAAAAAAAAGAAGAAGAAGAACCGAAGAAAAAAAAACAAAAAAGGAAACTGGTTACATCTGGCGCTGTATCAATTTATAACCTTATCTTCTGTCACGTTTTTTGCCTTAAATAAACACCAGGAATTATTTTGCGTGACCTGGTCTGTTTCCTTGATCTGCAGGTTATAACTTTCCTTAAAGTGTCATTTGAACTTTCAGTCAAGTCGTGATCACTTGCAGGAAGAACATCTTTCGTAAGACACAACTCTTTAGCCCTTGGCTCAGACATTTTAACAGCGGTACGTATTGAAATATGGCTGTTTTTTTCGAGAACTTTTATAAATGAGTATAATGTACACATTTTGTGGAACAGATAACGATATTTTACCTCTAGTGCGGACGAAAAAGCACATTCAGTGCTCTCCACAAGCTCGTAAGAAATAATCCGTTAATCTGCGTTGGTGTAAATATTGCATGATTGTTATTGGGGTTGAACAAACAAATTGTAGTAATACTACTGCGGAGAGTCCTTGTGAAAAGAAGTGTGTTTGGATTCGAGTTACATATGGTGTACAGAAATTATATTTGCATGTCCTCTTTACTTACGGAATTCTATGTAACTGCGCGCACTATGTATTTGCTAAGGCAGAACATATCAATGAGCGTTTGTGATTTTAAAGGCGAGATAGTGTTTCGAAACAAATTTGAGTTCAAAGTTTACATTCTTGCTAATTTTGCCCAATGCGTTGGTGTCCCCGCGGACACTCTTAAAAAAATGAACGATTCGTTTTTCGTGCACGAAAATTGCTTTCAAGGGAAAGCTAAGTTTTCCGTACCCCTGGTGGGAACCACAGGATTCAGGTAAATATTCTTACTTTTGGATAAATAAATATAAAACACAACAGAAACTGGAGATTTGACTGACGGATCAGAACACAGGGGTGAATTACTCAAGTGCTTTGCGATTGTGTCTGTACACAGCCTCACTGCAGGCCTCGGGCTTATAACACGAGATAAAAATTTAAAAGTTTCCACAATCCTGCCTTCAATCAAACTGACTCAGTTCAAAAATGTAACGAACCAATTTTGAGTCAGTTAGCTTTTGATTCACTCTACAGGAGAGAAGTATCCAAAAGTACTGTGCTTCGGGCTTAATCCGCTTAATCATCATAAATTTTTCACTGACTTATCTTCGTCGTCGGCCGGGAGTCAAATTCAGTTTCTTTGGCCCTCTTCTCTGAACGAGATCCTTGTATCAGCAGCGTCGCGGTATTTCGTGTAAGGTTCTGTCCTGTACTAAATTACCTTAAACTTGTATGAGATTTGAAAAAATTGCAGTCGTGGAATTTCAAGCTAGGAACAAGAGTTAGGGACAAAGGAAGAGAGAATAAGACAAACAACACGATGGAATAACTCAGGATAAAGGAGATTAATTTAAACCGGATTTCAAATTACGAACATTTTAGGCTAAATTTTTAAAGAATCGCCAGTTGTCTCGTAACATGCATTTCAGGCATTTTTCTCTTTTCTTTGAATCACTGATAAGATTTTTTTTTTCAAGTAGTTTTGATTATCAAATGCAGCTAAAACGTAATCCTTTTATGAACAAATCAGTGGAATTTTGTCCGATTTTCGTGTTAGTTATGAGACATATTCTGGTGTCAATCTAATAAATAACATAACACTTGGGAGCTGACTATATTTCTATTTTGCAGTTTTGTCGTCTAACGAGCCCCATATCTGTCATAATGATTTCTCTGAGGGACCTGTTTTGTTTTCAACTTATAAAGAAAACCACAAAGACTGTGCCAAAGTTGATCTTGTGATCGCTCCAACAGCCTGTAAAATAGGCCGCAGGAAACAATACAGATACAAAAGCTTATTAGAGATCATTTGTACATCGCATTATTCCGTTTTCAATGCCCTGTTTATCATATGAAGAACGTATTTCCTGCTCTAAGAGGATTGAGCCGTAATAACTTAGTTTTGATGGTTTTGGTATGTTAAAATGATAATGAAATCCCGTTTGATATGACAGTGATTCATTTCAATGCGTTACTGTTTTTCAGCTGTAGAGGTGGAGTAGCAAGGCTTTCTCACTGGTGTAGCATCTTTGCGGTGGCATAAAACGGCGGTGTTACTGCGATCTTTCATTATGACGGCGGTGAAAACCTTGATAGCTTTTTGCCTGCTGACCGAAATTGTTCAGGGGAACACACTGTGGTACAATGGCAAAGAATCACTTGCAAAAAACTTGGCCAACTCGCCACGCGTCTACGGATTATCATCACCTAGAAAGGTGTTTATCACAAACACCAGGGGGAAACTAGAGGTTAATGCAGTGCTCGAGAATCTTGAATCAACGATCTCAAAGGCGCACAGAACTTCGCGATCAACAACTGCAAAACATAGGTCGAAACGAGTGATATTTTCAGGGGACGACCGCGTGGAGATACCTCAAAAATTATTGGAAAAATGCCCCTTTAGCGCAGCCGTGAGAATCTCAACGGGTTGCTCCGGAATCCTGGTGTCACCCAAGCACGTTTTGACTTCGGCTCATTGTCTACACAACGGAAGCCATTACGTGGAAGGATACAAAAGCCTAAAGGTTGGTTTCCTGTTAAGAAATGGTACCACAGAATGGCGAGCGATCAGCTCCACTAAGATGTCCAAAATGTGGAAGAATGGAAGTGATCCAAGTGCTACGAAATATGATTACGCCCTTATAAAGCTCCAAAGAAATCATAGTCGATGCTTTCTGCCCATTTCTCCGAGCAGGACTTTCTTGTACGGATCGTACTGCGCACACGAGGCAATTAATTTCTCTGGTTTTGATGAGGACAGGAAAGATGGGACTTTACTATACAGGTTTGTTAATTTTCACCCCTACTTGACTAGTCAAATATTGAACGTCGAGGTTTTAACTGTTTAACCTCCCTTATTAAATTATAATTAATTATAAACCGTAAACCATAAACACTTATACTTATAATAGTGTAAATGTTTATGGTTTATTTTATCGTGATGAAAAAGACAAAAAAATGAAAGTATTATCATTTTTCTAGAGAAGTAGTCATGCCGTTACTTCCGATGTAGACCGCGCCGTTTCAACTTCGCACCATAAAGTCGATTGTTAGGTCGATTACTTACGCGTAAACCTCTGCAGACTTAAGCTTCGTTTCAACAGCTGTGATTGGTGCATTTCCACTTTGTCTTCCCTTAGTAGCCATTGGTGTATGTTCTCCTGCTTTACTTGTTTGTGGACATCCATCCTACTGGAATGCCTTCAGTTCCACTGTCTTTCTTGATATCCAGTGCCAAGGAGAAAACTTTCGTGAATTGCCTCATTCACCTTGCATATGTATTAGAGAGCGCTTTAACCTCCCGCCCACGCAGCACTTCAAGTGACAGATTTATCTTTACGATGAATTGAATCACGGGTTTACTTTTTAAACTTCTGAGCCTGATTTTCTCCAGACATTTTTTTGTCTTACCCTCAGGTCAACATGTGATGTGTGATCTTTCGTGGTCACATACTTGAGGCAGGAACAAGAATAAGACAGAATTTTCCTTCTTCACAGCAGGTGGCTTCGTGCCTCACGGAATCTGGGAGTCACCGTTTCGAACTTTGTCTAAAATACCTAATTAAAACTCCTTTATCCACTAAGACTCCAATTTTTCATTTCTCGGCTTTTACATTTCATTTTTTTTCTCCTTTATATATATAGAAGTTGCCGAGTTCTGACTTATTCCGCTAACCTGCTCTATCACTGCTGTGATGCCCAGAGAGGCTCGTCGGGCGCAGGCGTCTACGAAATTCACAGGCCTAAAAAAGGGAAATATCTACGCTACGTCGTTGGCGTATTTTCAGGGAACCGCGACAAAATTACCAGGAGACCCCCACAGTTTACTTGTAGCGGTCACTCCAGGAGGATCTGGTTCACGCGGTTTTACAGCACGAATTATAACGCCGCCCTGCGTTTCAAGGAGCAAGACGTGTATCACATCTGTACATGGATGCGCAGACTTGGAGGAGAAAACTGCAAAAAGTTCCTCAAGGAAAGAAGGCGAAAAAGGCGTCAGTCGGCTAGGAAGCGCCGAGAAAGAAGTAAGGAGGCATATGCCCGTTGTCAAAGCATGCTTTAGACGTTGTCATAGCAACTGAGAGGCCGTCCGTGACGGCATATAAAACTATAATAGGAATTTATAAAAATCACATCGACCTCTTCTAACCATCAAGGAGTAATTTTGTTCGCTTATAGCATAGCAGGTTCTTTAAATTTGTTTCCCGAGATTGACCGTAAACGTTACTTGCTGCAGGCCATAGCATACATATTTTGACGAATACGATTGTTCTCACGCAGAAAAAGGAAAGTGTCCACTTTTATTTGCAACTTCATTTTTATCAACTAATTCGAAAAAAATGTAATCCCCTCCCCTCCCCCATTTAAAAGCTCTATGTCCAGAGCGAAACTCCTGCCCTGTAGTAAAAGCCCTGGGAACGAAACGAATTTTTTGAGTAATTTGATTTTTGATTAAACGACGTCTCAGCAATGCTAAGAAGGAAAAAAATGTTTTAAAGCACAATGAAATCGCATGATAACCTTGAATTTAATAGCATCAGTGACATGTAAGGTAGCTTTCAACACATCGCGTAGAGTACATCATAATCTAGATATCTTCGTGAACATTTTAATACAAAATAAATGTTGTCAAGTTGTAGAATTGAATGGTTGTTTCTTTAATGGTAACGGAGTGATCCAATTTTCTGCGTTGGAAATAGGAAGGCAGATCCATGACTCCACAGTGAATTTTTCATATGGCCAATTATTACTGAATAGTCAATGTATTGCTAGGTAATACACAACGGATACAACTTTCCTTGCTTTGTAAAGAAACTGACAAGCCTAAGCCCACCCTGCAAACAAATATGCCGCTTATTTTTCTTGTGTATCTATCCAAAGTGGTAGGGTAATTTGACTGGGATTCGCAAACCTTTCATCAAGAAATGATTTTATCATTAACTTATCGGTTGTATAAACTGTTGTACTGCGGCATTAGCGCAACAACATGAAAGAATGCATCATGCATACGTCGGATTTCCATCCTGCTGAGCGATCATGTAAATTTAATCTGTTTTGAAATAACTAATCTATCCCGCGATGAATCAACCTGATATTGGTGATAAATGCATGGATTCAGCGCTGTATCTGAAATTCAATACGCAAGCCGTTTTAAAAATTACGACAAAGAACCGTTTGGGGAAAGAAAGGTGGTGGGAATAGGAGGAGTTTGAGCTCCCACCGAGCGGTCCCCGGGGTCCACCCCTCACGGCATCCCCGTACAGGCCTTGGAGGGGGGGGGGGGAGAAAGAGTAACCCGGGGAACAAGACTGAAGTAAAAACATCATCATGAGCAAGAGAATATCAATTCAGTTAATATTCTTTTGTCATGAGTTGTTACATCTCGTAAACAAATCACTAATCACTGCCAAAATTTCATGCTTAAATATTGGGTTTAATGCATACAATCGCTTAGCTTCGAAGCCCTGTTCAACAAAAGTGATGTAATAAAATTAAGGCAGCTATTTACTTACAAAGTTCAACCTCTTCCATTTAGTATCATTTACTAACAATTGTACTGTCGTAGGCAAATCACTGTTTGTCGAAAAAACCGAAGTTTTCCGATTGTTTTAGTCCAATAATAAATCCCACACGTGCACTTGTGGCTCATCAGACGCGTAACGTTGCCTGGCAGCGTCACTGACCAAATTGAAAACGGGCTCAGCGGTTGATTTACCGACTTAGGGAGCGTTTGGTCCAATTAAAATTAAATTCCATGATTTAGTTTTCAATATACACCATTTCTTCTTTCAGTTTACAATACATTACGATTCTCTTCGATATGTAAATTTTCATTTTGAGGTGCTACTCAATAATCGGGGGTCCGTTCATCTAATTCACTTCAAATGCCGGTTGCCAGTTTAGGCTACAGGACTTATCTACGCTTGCCGCGTTTAAGGTTAAAAAACCGACTGCTGAATGTAGAACTGTAGTAGCCCTGTGAATGTGAGGTGGAATGGGCCGAGTTCATAAGAGTACTCCTAGAGTCCAAGCTACTCACTTCGTCGTCTGTGATGATGTCATACTCGTCCACACCTTTCATTGGATGGGGGAAATTTTCTGATATACTCAACTGAGATATGGTTCTGCGCGCGAGGGTGTCTGTGAAATACTTAAATTCTAGAAAGTTCCTCATCTCGAGCTGATTCACTATACTTTCCCGCCATTTTTTACCCGGGACTCTTTCGCGTCTTCCCGCGCGATTGCTTATCCGGGACCTTGCACATGCGGGTGAGTAAGAGCCTTCGCTTTCAGTCAGCTTTCTTTCGGTTAAAGTTCTCTGCCTTTTTAAGTAAGTGGCTGCCAAATGCGCGATGCTGTCCGATCTCGGACGAGGATATTCCCCAGTTTCATCGCTAGGTGTCCGTTGGTTTCTTATCGCTAGAAAAAGTTCTGATCTCTCAATAGGGTCCACTTCCATATTGACCATGACGTTACATGTTGTTTCGGCCTGTGGTCGCAAGTCTGGGTACTTATTCAAATAGTCAGCTAGTTCTCTGTTGATTCTGACTTTAGCGCGACAACTCTGATTGTCGGTTTGAAGTTGTGAAAACCGTTTCGTTTGAGTATCATTTCGCTGTTGTAACTGCCAGACAATGTTCTCTCTCCACCCACAACTTGTGCTATCATTTTTACCGGCAACTCTCTGCAAAGCAGCAGTCCTTGTTAAAAAGCTATCGCTTTCATCCTCTTCTAGCAATTTGCACTCCGAGATAGGAGTGCTGTGCGCTAAAGCGTCAGCAAAAAACTCCTCTTTAGACGAAGGAATGATCACATAATCATCAAAATTACTTTGCTTTATGGGTGAAACACAGCTTAGTTGTAACTCGGGAGTTGTAGACTCGCTTAAGTCTACACTAATAATGTCATAGTCAGCCACTATATCAGTCTTGGGTTTTACCGCTAGTGCCTCACTAACGCATTTAGTACAAGAGCAGCGGTCTACTTCATCATCTCCATAGTAACCAGAATTGACCAGTTCTTCACTGTACAGGCCACTCTCTGAACTGCTAGCATATGTCTGACTACTTCTGCGTGAACTCTGTGAGAATGAATGCGAGGAATCGATTTTTCTCCGTCGTGTTCTCTTACCACTTCGTGAGTTGCTTGAAATTGTTGAGTCTCCCCAGCTTGAGTCAATGTTTTTGAGAACATGGTGGTATGAATTGACCAAATACATTACAGCCGACTGAAAATAAATGAAAAACAAATCCTCTGTTTGAGTCTCATGTACTGAGGCAAAAAATTAAGATCTAAAACATTTACTATTTTCAGACCCTACAGAAAGAAAAAAAAAGCCTATAAAAATATTGCAAAACAGTTGTAAAACATGAATTGAAAAAAAAAATCAAAACAGCTAATTGTGTTGGCATTAAGCATATCCTGCTGTTACAAAAATGAACATTCACTGAAGTCTGAGAAAACCAGGTACCGAGACAGGAAAAGTACAAATTGTTTAGAGTAAACTTTTCCTACCATAACTTGACACAAATTTCAGTTTGGTTTGCTTTATATGCTTTGTTACAGTAGATAACGATGACATAACCAAAGGGAAAATCAGCTTCTGAGTGCTTAAGAAGTAAAAGCTTACTTCTGTATGCCACCCTCATGAAGGCTAACGACAGGTGTCAGGGCTTGCAATAATTTCCTGGTTAGCGCTGGTCAGGTTGTCCTGTCAGACCTATTTTTGCTTAGACACAACTCACGTGACCACAAAAATATCCTTTAAATCCCTAAAATCTCATCGAACCCCCCCTTCCCTTTTAGAATAAGTGTATTTACCACGCTTTTACTGTATATGCAGCCTGGGACTCAATTCACAAAAAGTAATGAACTTCCCTTGAAATTAAATTCTTATTTACATGCCGAAACAACTAGACAAAATATCAGCCTCTAAAGGAGTTGACAGGCAAAACCTTTATTTGACTGGACATTGTCTATTGACTGGCTGTTATTTCAAGCCCTAGGTAAAGTCACTAGTTGAGCCAAAGGGCCTACAAGGTGACAAAGCTTATCTTAGTCTCAAAAACATGAAGTGACAAGGAGTATTACTACCCTCCCTTCTGGATTGTCTATAGTGGGTTACTCCCCTTTTTTTTAACATTCCCCCTGACAGTTTGCCACCACCTATTCATATTCCTGGGAGTACAGAGGTACTGTGAGAGCAGAGGGGAACACAACAGCCAGGTCTTGAACTAGTACCTCTAAGTCCCAGAGTCCAGTGCCATAACCCTTTGGCTACTGCACCACTAGGAAGGTATAGTACAACCATTCCTATCTTAGCTTCTAACATATGTAGCTACCAACTCCCCCCCCCCCTGTACTTTGAAGTACATTTCCACTTAACTTCACATTTTTTCCTCACACCTGCACTTAAATTTTAAAGCCAGGTATTGCAACCCACAATATATCAATACATAAAAAATATAAAGTGTATGGTAATAGCAATTTGACTGACTTCACTACAGTCCATGTGATTATCATGAGAAGAAATGCTATAGTTTTTTAGCACTCCTATTAAATCACACAGTATAAAAATCAGATTTTTGCTTAAAACAGTATGCTAATACATCAGTTGGTGTCAACACTTTTGTTAAAAACAGCATGCTGATACAGCAAGTGGTTTCAAGACTTTAGCAACTGCTGGAAATTATTAAACTGATGTTTTGATAATGCATTTAAGGTCATGTTGGTCAGTTGCTCTCTGGAGGTGCAGAGAATCAGATAATAATACAAATTATTGTGATTTGTTTAGGAATAGAGTAAAACATTTATTCAACAATTTCTTTTTTCATCGCAAGGTAAGGATGGTTTCTGGTAAAATCAAGCTGTTATTACTGTAGATTGTTCCTTTGATTTTCAAAAGTGAAGAGTTTCTAAGAGCTGGAAACAACATTTATGAGGACTAGAAGACTTGTATAAGAAAATAACCCTGATCAACAAAATTGCAGTAAGAAATAAAAAGAGATCCTAAGGCTCTTTTTAACTGTTACCAAATTTTACTAAAATATCATCAACTAATGGATAAAATTAACCTTGAGATAAAAATAAAACTGATTTGCCACTTGCTTGCAAAACATGTGACATCTAGTTCCCTCTGCAAATAGCATGGAAATCCAACTCGTTATTGGCACCAGACCCATCTAAAAGTCATTTTCAAACAACTTTTGAAGGCGAGGCAGCCCATACAATAAAATATCACTTTATTGGCAGGAAATTTTTACGAGCTCTGGCAGACTATCCTTCTATTTAGACAATAGATAATAAAAAATGACAACAAAGCAATTTTCTTTAACAGCATGCCTCTAGTTCCCGGAAAAAAAAGTGACGAATATTCTTGAAATAGATAAAGTCACAATGCTTCGATCGATTCAGATCCATCTAGTCACAAATAAAAAGTACTCACCCTTAAGCACGAGAAGTAGAGAGGCACTGTTGTTTGATGAAGAGTTTGGTTCGTATTATGCAAAAATTATAAAACAAACGTACTGCACTTTACGACATTCAAATTACTTCTATACCCGGGGGAATTATCTGATAAAGCAAAACATTTCGGAAACCCGGTCTTTGAATTTTGCCCTCAAAAAGCATGCATTTTTTTTACGCCGGAAGAGGGAGTCAACGAAACGTGGTATTTTTCTAATTTATTTATCTGTCGCGACGAGTTTCGTTGGAAGAACAAACACACGTTTATGCACAGTCAACGAGTCTGATTTGAGATGACCTCATTTAAAAGCTTTCCATGAAGTGCCGGATCGCTATCAATAATAGAGGACTTTGTTAAGAATCAATGATTAAAACAGAGAAACAGTTACCTTCGACTTCGATTTAAGGAGCGAAATCATGTTCCGAGGAGAGATAGGGATATCTTGCGCTGTATGTTCACACGATATTATTGTAACATTGTATTAAATTTCGCGTTGAATTTGCCTGTACACATCCTTTTTATTTTGATTTAAGTTATCTATTTCCCTTCATAATAAACTATTGAAGTCTATTTGTGATTATAGTAACAGAGATGAACTTTGTAAACCACGGAAGACTAGCAATTTTCCGCAATCGTTGTAAGTTGATAAACAATTGCAATGTGACTATTCGAATTTGTTTCCCAATCGGACGATTCGACCACGGGATGTGGGCCTTGCCAAATAAATCACCATTTGCATGCCGCAGGCAGAACGGATGAGTTATCTCTTGTAACAACCATTACCTCGTGGTAAGCTTTCCAACTACTGGACACGTACAACAGCAAATCAGTATGGGATTAGACCGATTAAAATATTGCTTTGAGACAAACAATCTCCGCAGTAACCCTGAATTAATTGCAAACAAACGAATTTTACTCACCGTTCATTGACCGTAAAGTTGCGCTGAGTTAGGATCTTTGTTCTTGGTGGATCCTTCATGCATGACAAGTGACTGGATCATCTTTGATAGAATACACCACTCCGGAGATTCCTGAAATTCGCGAAGCTCAGTCTGGTTACTCTGCCAGACGTACCGTCCCAAAACAATTCCCCTGATCACGTGTTAATACGTCACGCAACAACAACCTTTGGACGGGTTCGGAAACCGAAATAGTCGAAATTCCAGTGTTTGCGAAACTTGAAAAGAAGAAAAAAAATTGGAAGTTTTTGTTTCCTCGGCAGTCAGTCAAAGGAACTTTTAATTGTCCATAGGAGATTAAGAAAGTAAGTTTTCAGCTGAATGAATTTTTGGTGTTTTGAGAAATTAAACCTGTTTTATGATTACCTAATGGTACAGCTTCCCATTTTTCCTCCTAAAGTGAAGACTATCGTTTAATGCAAAATAAAACTCCCTCCAAACATAAGTTTCAAATTTACATCTAAGCACAAAAGACCAAGTTCCCATACTTTTACAACTAATTGAAAAGTTTTGATGAAATCTTCTGCAACAAGCCCTTGCAATTTTGCATCAATTGAGTCTTGCGAGTCTCCAAGCTCTTGACCCCTGCAGACTGTCAGAACCCTTCCACAGATATGGTTTTTAAAATAAATATCTTAGAAAGAAGATTTTTAAGGACAGCAAATATCTGGAATAATTAATCTTTGGAGCATGATAATAGACACATCAAATTGAGTGAAGACAAGCTTCATTAATTCAAATCAAAATTCAGCACAGTCCAGCAACTGCTGGTGTCTATTTTCCTCTACTTCAGTGAAAGGATCAAGTTTGAGACATTTGCAGGCCATTGATCCTTAAATCCCTGAGTGACTGACATCTATTCTCTCCTTACAATATCACCTTCAAATCCTACTTAAAAGTTATGAGAATAGGGAAAATGATCATCATGTAAAGATACTATCAATTGTTAAATAAATTGTGCTTGTCAGAAGCAAAGGAAATTTACAGAGAACCATTTATATGAAGAATATGCATACTGATATTAGAGTGTAAAGGGGTTAATGAATATAAGATTTATTTGTCAAGTAGAACAGTCTTCAATTCATACAGAAACAGTAAAGGATTCTGAGCATACATGAGACACAATAATGTTCATGATCCCATTCAGAATAATATTATAAACTCAACAAACTCTTATTTAGCTTTCAACCTTTCACATGTTTCTTTTTTTTCTCTACTTTTTTCCTAAAAAAATAAATGCAATTAGAGCATGGTTGTAACAAATATTTCAATCCACTGCAAACATCATAATAAATTTCAAAAAAATAAATCAACACCAATAAATTGTGCATTTTGTGTACAACATTCTTAGAATCTTCAAAATCCAACATTCTCAAGACAATGTTTAATCTGTATTTCTTTCTCCTCCTGTTTTGAATTTCTTTTTATATTTGTTTGTTTTGTTTTGGTTTTATTTTGTTTTTGTTTGTTTGTTTTTTCTTTTTTTTTCCATTTTAAATTTCATAAATTGGTCTATTTAGCGAGGTGTTCAGTCCATGCTTTGACTTTCTGATCCTCTTCCCTTCACGTCTTCTATTTCTTTCACTAAAAATTCCATTGGTTTCTCCGGTCTCTCAAAGACAAGCTTGGTAATCAAGTCCTATCAAAGGAGACAGCTGAGATTAGACAAATGTCATTTTTTCTGACAGCTCTGACCATTTTTCTGTACACCAGCACCACACGTTTGGGATAGTTACAGGTAAGTTTGGTTTTAAGGGATCTTACATAACAGAAAGTATATGTTAGACTCTGTAAGTATAAATCATTGGTTTTCTCGATTACCTCTATGAGTTGTAAAATTTCTGTCTCTTCGAGGTATTTCGTAGCTTTTGCGCGAGGCTCCTCGATTTCTTGTAAATTCTCTCCTATTACGGCTTGTTTCAAGTCACTCAAAAACTTTTTCCCTATATCTCTGCACTCTGTGTAGCTGTATAAATCGTTGCGGTTTGTGGTGAAGAAGTCTTTGACGCTCTCATTTTCACCCACGTCTGAATTTTTCGCCATTTTGATTGTTTTGAAGCCTCGACTTCATGTGAATGGTCTAAAGGAACGCCTGGCATTATTCTGATGGCAAAGGGAAGAAGAAGTCTGAATTTCTGTTTCATTAAATTGTTACATGGTGAAAGTTTACTGCAATGTTGAAATTTCTACTTCTTGTTAATAAGCAAGGACATACACGCGTTTCACAATACTACGAACACTTGGATCTGGAAGAAAGAACGAATATGGAAGCTGAGATAACGCGAAAATGTTTGGCAAGGAGTGACGACCAGGTTAAAAAAGCATCTTCTCTTAAGAAACTCAGGAAAAAATATTTTTAATACTCTCTGTACTCATGAGTATGAGTATTTATTTGAATATATTTGATACACCCTTGGTTTCAATTTTTTTGTGATCAAACTTTTATTTTGCTTCGTTTTATCGGGTGATAACTGATGATCAGCGGTCAGGTAAAATTTGAATCCTTATTTTCCTCAACAGTGTCCTTTTATGGAATTCAAGAATTTCAAGGTTGTCTACAGGAGATATGCCTCACTACTCTTCATAGTTGGTGTTGATTCAGATGAGGTAGGTTGCTTTATTCACATTTAACCTTAGTTCAATATTTAGAATTTTTACTGATATATGCAATTAAGTGACCATGCTAATTGTAACCTAGCTGTAATTATTGATTTTTAAGGGAGATTTTATAGATACTGAATTCACTTTGAAATCCTCTCCCTGCATATGCTAACCAAATATATAAGTTCTGATAGTACAAAAATAATAAGGCACTTCAAGTGTAAGAATTAAACCTCTCACCAATCAGTCCAATCACACTGTGTGAACACAAAATACTAAAGCTTTTGCAAAGTTGGGGTCTCCATACATAAACCGAAGTAATGTTCTTTTTGTGGTTGATTTTTACTGATTCACCCCAAATAACCTTTGCTTGTGTCACCTGTTTTTTGTTTCGTAAGGTATTAGCTATAAAGCTTTCTTAATTCTAGGGTAAACTTATTTAATTTTCAATTCAGACTCTAGGAGATAACATTTGAACCAAATTTCTCTTTGCAGAATGAATTGTCAATACTTGAGTTCATTCATAACTTTGTAGAGACTTTGGATCGGTATTTTTCTAATGTGGTGAGTTTCAAGATACTTTTATTTTAGCAGTTTAACCCTTTAACTTCCATGAGTGACCAAGACACAATTTCTCTTTACAATATCAATACAATATCAAGCAGACAAGTGATGAGAATAAAGGAAAATAGAAATTTAGGGAATATAAGTTGATCCAATACCAAATTCTCCAAACCAACATCACCAGAACTGTATGGCAGACAGTAAGGAGAATTACTAATGAGATCTTGGGAGTGAAAGGGTTGAAGTTTTCCCTTCTAGCGAACGTTATATTATTTTAAAGGACATAGCAACAATGACAAAGTACAAAACTGTGATGTTATTAAAACAGCACTAATGATACAGGAAATCTTTGGTCCACACTTCTTAAAATTAAGTGAAGTGTATAACTTAATACATTGGATAATCAAGTCTTTATGAACTGAGTTGATAATGTAAATTGGCCACTGTAGAGAGTTTCATAACCTGATGTTTCAAGCATTATCCCCTTGTGAGAGCAAAGGACAAACACTCCAAACAACTGTAACTCCCTAACTCTTGAAGGGCCAATGCCTGAAACGTCCTTTAGATACTCTTTATGGTGGCCAATTTACATCTCTTTTATTATCAGGTCAATTGATAAAACTATGTTTTCTTGTTATACCCAGCCCTTACCAAAACAGTACTGCAGTATATTTAGAAACTTACCCCCTTTATTTACTTAACCCTTAAACTCCCAAGATCTGATTGTTAATTCTCCTCTCTAGCTGCTACATACATCCTTGTAAATCAGGTATGAGAATTTGGTGTAAGATCAAGATAACAACTTCTACCTGATAAGTTTGGGTATTCTCATTACCTGTTTGCTGGATAATGTAAAGATGTTATAGGGAGAAGTTACATGTTAATCACTTCTAGGAGTTTAAGGGTTAAAGAAGTAACATGAATCTCTCTCTTTGTTTATTTTCAGTGTGAATTGGATGTATCCTTGTTATTAGTGTTTTTAACCCTTTGCACCCGGACATTAGCATGCATATCTATTCTCCATACTGCTCTCTCTACATCTTCTAAGGTGCTGACAAGGAGAATTTGTTTAACAATCAAGAGCTCCTTCAGTCAGTGATCACTTCTGTTATTCTCGTGACCTTAATGTGTGGTTTAGGGGAGTAGGGAGAAATTAAAAGCTAATCACTCTTAGGGGTAAAAACATTTATTTCTATGTAAAGAAGACAAATATACCCAGTGGCTGGTATATCATATTGAAATATCTAATAAAACTAATCCAAAATGCATATTCAATATTAATAATTATTACAATTATTATTCACTATTAATAATTATTATACACCCTTGATTTCCTTAGTTTCCCTTGCTCCTAATACTGTATGTTGTGATAGGCCAATTATTGATCACATGACTTATAATATGTGTGAAATAATCATGATGGATGTTTGATCCTCTCAGGATGAAACATTGATCATGATAAACACGGTCACCATCATTATCATCAGTATCATTATTATCTGTTCTAAACACACAAACAAGGCACTAATGAACTCCTTTGTCTACAGCCAAGACTCTTCTTTGCCTTTTCCTTGATTGTACCTTAAATCTTTAGATTATGTTCAACCTGGATAAAGTACACATGATCTTGGATGAAATGATCATGAATGGAGAGATATTGGAGACAAATAAGAACAGAATACTTGCACCTGTTTCTGTATTAGACAATGCAAACAGCTGATCTGTTGGGATTTGAAGATTTTGCCCTTGGAACCTTTGCAATAAGAGCATCATCTTGTCAATGAAATGATCATAGATCAAGGGATAATGGATAGGTGTCCTGAAAACAAAAACCTGAGAAGCTGTGATCCTGAGTTAGAGCTCTTTATCTCATCATAATTTGATATGAATCATTTACTCAGAACTCAGTGCAGATGTGTGATTATATAAGAGTCACATGGGATACAGTTATAAATATTATTCCGAGAATTGTCTTATATTTGTTCCTTCAGCTGCCTAAATTAGATAACTGAATGCATATGGAAGTACTTATTGTATATTTGTGATAAGTTTTGCTGTTACAGTTCAGTTCTTGGCTTGTTATTAAAACAATTTCTGGACACTTTTTTGTGTATAAAGGTAAGGTGCAACTTATCTTTTTTTAAATTTCTGTTTTCTTGTGAAGTGTCAGCATTGTGTTATTCACTCTCACAGCTGATGCATCATTCAATTTGAATGTGAAGCTTCAACATCCCTCACCTCCCCCAACCTAATGGGCATTTGAACCTTCGAAGACTCAGGTTTGTTCTAATTCCTGCCTTCCAGGGCAAAGACTGTCTTAAGACCCACACCCAATTTTTTTTTGTTAAAGGTTAAGTCAGGGATAATGACTTTCTGCACATTGACCAGTCTTTAAAACCTAGACCTTGTAGACATTTCTTCTGAGCTATTTCCAGGCTAAAGTGAACCATTTATAAACTGGTACCTCTAATCACCTCGATATTTAAAGATATAATACTTGTATTCTGCTGGAAAGACCCAGGGACACTTCCACTTCAAATTTCCCATTCCAGCCAGGCAAGGTTCAAATACCCATGGGCATTGACGAAGGTCAAATGCCCATTAGATTGGTTTGGATTGGTTGCCTGCACATGATGGGGGGGAGGGGAGGGGGGAGGAGTTGAAACTTTTGGAATTTTCGGAATCAATGTAAGTACTTAGAGTTCAAATGTTGTGAATGCATTACAGAATATCTTTCTTCTTTGGATTGTTGAGACAAATATTATGCAAGTCATTTGCTGGTGAACCTGTCTTTTAATAGCTACCACTCCACCATTCCCCAGGGGTGATCACTTGATAGAGGGTCCTAAATAGACTTTTCAAATCCCACATCCTGCTGCAATGAACTTTTTCATCCTGATCTTGTCAAGTCTTGGGGGGAGGGGGCTGGAAAATTTTGGTATTTTTTCCCAAAAAAAAAAGGGTTGGCCTTCCCTTGTGTTTTAATAAAAAAAACTCCTGACCCCCCACCTTTAGGTGACTGACAAAAGTGCAACCCTCCCCTCACTACTACATGGTATGTTCCATGTGAAAGAGACCTCAGAACATTTTTCTTGTGAATGCAAAATGTTTGAATATATAAACATATCTCAAAATTAACTGTGTGCAAGCTGAAGCAAGAGAATGCAAACAATTAGTGTGGGATATTTATGTTTTATAGCTGAAGTTTTATTATGGAGGTTTAAACTTTGAGACTTTGTAAGTCCTTCTCCAGCTACACCAACTCCACAACCCTATCCCAGTTACAGCAAACTTCCCGACTTTCACTACCTGCCAAGTAGGAAAACACCTATGAGTGGCCACAAATCTGAAGATTATCAGCCTGGAGCTAAAATAAAACAGATGTTTCCAGAGGGTAAGCTCAAAGCAGGGACAATAAGGCAATCAAAGAGTTTTCTGAAAAATAAATCGTTTCAGGAAAGGTTGTTGCAGATTAAATTGAGCATCAAACTGACATTGAAATGAGAAAAGATAAGCAGCAGTTAGTCAACAGGAACAAGAAGCTGAAGAAACAATACCTGAGTCTAGTATGTCTCAGTACAGACAGAAAAGGGCACGTATCCTCTGAGAAAACTATGTGCCATGGCGTAATATACATGTAGAAATGTAACCTAGAACCTATCATAAAACATCAAATTAAATCAAATTAGGTGAAAAGAAAAACTTAATCTGTAAGAAAAATGGAAAGCAACATCACAAATATCCTCATTAAAAAATTCAGTAAAAACGTACCTTCCCTTAGTCCGCTGCCTTATTTAAACTGATGGGCAAATTATGGCCTTTACAATATTTATAATGTGCTCTCTGGCATGATTATGGAAAAAGGCAAAGACTTGCTCAAGCATACTCAGTGGAAACATCATTGCGTGACACATCTCAAGGACGTTACAGAACTTCGTAGGCTGGCTGTTCATGTTCTTTTGTTTAAGAGTTAATAATTCTAAAGGTTCTTTGTAGCGATATGGGCCCTGAACCAAAATCCCGCACGAAAAAAGGAAATTCAGATAAGGTGAAACCCTTCTGATCATTTAAATTTTCTCGTGTCTTTAAGTAACTACAGATGATTTTAGTAAAAACTCGTGACCGCTAAGCAGCGTTGTGTGACGTTCTTTAACGCACCTTTAAATCATTGCACCGGTAATAATTTCGAGTACGCTGTACATGCTAATGAAGTGATTCGGAAGTGGCTGGTTATTCTTCGATTGCTATAACTTGTTCTTCGACAATACCATGCCATGCGCTTGTTTTAGGGGTTTGGGAAACGCTTTTTGGATACAGTGGAGATGAAATGTTCCTTCAACGAAACTTGATGACTGCTACCGCGGTTGTGTATATAATAACGTTTCTCTTCGCACTGCCTTTGATGTGCCACAAGCTTGGTTTCTCGTCGTATTTCAGGAGTCCAACGGAAGCGTATGAATTTCTAGAAGCACAAAATGAAGAGCGAATTATGAACGCGAGAAACTTCTTTCGAAATTTTGATGGTAAAGTCGATTACACTCACGATAGTCAAATTGAATTTTCGACTGTTTTGTTAACAGCTTATCGCGGTTCAAACACACATTATCCGCTACAAGTCGCCGCTCGTTTGCTTCCTCAGGTAATTAATGATGAAGGAAAAACTGTTTTCACCGTGTTAAATTTTGATCCACAACTGAATGAAGATGTAGCCTATCTTTCACATTTTGTGAACGTGATCAATGGTTCGGCCTACGGAAACGCCGCCTCGAGATCAAGGGAGAAAGAAGATTACATTATGGGTTTAGAAACAGCTTTGAAACACAATTCAACGTACATTTTAATGCTTGAGGACGATGCACTGCCATCTAATAATCTGCTTAACAACCTACGCTTCGTTTTGAATCATCGGATGCCTGGAAGACTTTTGAAAAGTCGCCGCGATTGGGCTTTTCTGAAACTCTACTACCCTGAGAAATGGCAGGGTTTCGGCTGGCCGCAGGTACCAGAACTTCTACTGGTCGGTTTATTTGGAGGATGTTTAGCTGTTTGGATACAATTAAAAATAGAAAGGCGAAGGAGACATTCTATCTCTTTAACATTCATTTTATGGGCAGTCTATGCTATGTTACTTAGTTATACTGTTGGCAGAGCTCACTGGATAGAATTAAGAAAGCTATCGCCATTCTTGTTTTCTGTTGTCCAAGCGGCCCGATGTTGTACACCAGGCGTGCTATATAATAGATCTCACGCACGTGACCTTGCCAATTTTCTAAATTCGGTTCAATGCAGTGAAAAATATCCATTGGATTTTGCGATCGATGACTTCGCAGACAAATCGAATTTGGAGAGGTATTTAGTAGTTCCAAACATGGTCTCGCATATCGGCGTTCATTCCAGTCTAAGTAACCGGTTGAAAGATTCTGCAGAATTTTTCTTGATGTTTAAGCCATGATTAAATATTTCGAAAGCGTTTTTGGCTGAACAGGCACAAATCCTACCAGCAAATGTATGAGATGAAAGTTGTAAAAGTACAGTCAAATTCTCAATAACAAATATCTCACCTTCTGCAGTGCATCTCTTATTGCATGACGAGCTTTGCGTCGGAAAAAAAAATTTATGCAAATTAGCTGGCTGCACATTCAATGTGCATTCAATTTAAAAGTAACCCTCAGGTATACACTACCCAAGAGGGTATGCAGGAGATTAAAAATAACCCTCAGGTATACACTACCCAAGAGGGTATAGAAGAGATTAAAAATAACCCTCAGGTATACACTACCCAAGAGGGTATAGAAAGGAATTAAAAATAACCCTCAGGTATTTTAAATTACTTTTAATTAATTTTACTAGTTCCCGAATGTCTTTGTCAAGCTCGGCTATTCTTGACTGACATCTTTGCAATTTCCCATGATATTTAGACTGGGGGCATTTCCCGCCTAAAGTGTACGGTCGAGGGCGATTTGATTTACTTCATCAACAACAAGATTATGCTTTGAGACCTCGCGAATCCATCTGCTGGATTTCTCCCTGTCTAATTAGTCCGGCACAGAGACCAAATGAGGATATAACATGCATGTTGTTTGGTTATCTGGCGTTGAACGAACAGCCTTTGTTGGCGCGCTTGAGACCTGCTGGCGGGACAGAACGTATTGTAGTCATCACGCAATCAACGAAACAATTCGTTCTTTGCAAAAGCTTTCGACCTGATTACACATTAACTATTTGTTAGCACATACCAGTACTTTCTGGGGTCGAGATTGGATCCCGTAACTACAAAAAGCTCTGCCGATCGATCGAAGACTTCAGCCTCCATAATAAGATCGCGCCAAGTGATTTCAATGCCAAATTTCTTGTGTTTCGAGCATAGATGCAGTATTAATTATTAGGTGAACCTTTAACTTATAATCAACAGGTTTAAGTAACCGCATAGACACCTACCGACCGCAAACGTTGATGTAATTCTCTACACCGATGACAGAAATGGCGCCTCTTTAGACTGCCTGGAACGGTCTTGAATGGACTAAATGCCTGGTAGATAAAATTTTCCCCTTAAGCACCACCAAATTGTTCCTTGAAACTTCTACAACCACAACACAATGGTACAAAGAGTCATAGACTGCCTTTTATTTCCATATACATTCAAACTCAATCATGCATGACAAGGGGGCACTTAGAGCCAAGTGCGTGACTCGAAATTAACCCTTAAAGGTGACTAATTTCTCCTTACATTATCACCCCTAAAGCACACGTTAAGGTGGCCAGAATAGAGGAAATTATTACCAACTACAGACGCTCTTCATCGACAAACAAACTCTCCTTGCTAGCACCTTAGGAAATTTGCAGAGAACAGTATGGAGAAATTGCATACTGATGCAAGGGTGTGAAGGGCTTAAACTTTAAAACAAATTTTTAAAGACTCGGATGTCTTAGTTTTCGAGTCACCTGTGATAAGGCTAAAAGCTGAGCAGAAGACCGACGTCTTATTGGTCTGTTTTATACGTCTGCGGCTGGTTTAAATAAGTGAGGACGTTCTTGATTAACTGAAATAATCGAATGGCGTGACTAGTCATGCAAGGAGGTGAAGTCGGCGTTTCAAGATACAGCACTTAAACGTAAACCTCCAGCGCGTTTCGGAGCACAGGCTTTAACCTTCGTTAAACGAACCAGTGTGTATGGTTTGTTTTCTTAAGCGAGCAAACTCCTTGCTGAAGGCTGAAAGAAACTTAGCCTGGGTGACAGACTTACTTCCGGTTGACGAAGGTTTTTTTTTCCAAGAGAAACAACCAGCGGACGTACGGCTATCGCATAGGCTAGAAATATCGTTCCCAGTGTCCTTGGTCCCTTTGTTACAGAAGCCCTGGGAACGAGATATGTCCAGAAATGCATGCAGTACCGAGAATGACAAAAATTCGATAAAATCGTCAAACCCGCAAAGCTGATTTTGCTTTGACGAATTGGACTAAAATTCTTCAAAATCGTCAATCCCGCCGAGTTGATTTCGTTTGGACAAATTTAACTAAAATTCGCCAAAATTGTCAAATCCATGCACATTCTTTCGGTTTGATGAACTTTCGTCATATCTGCCATTTTCGTTACTGCGTAAATTTCTGGACATAAGTGGAGAGAGTTATCCAGAAGATTTTCTCGTCAAAAGTTGTATTCCGCTGGCATTTCAGAATTATGTTAAACCAAGAGAGTCACATAACTGGAGTGACTTGTATCACGTAGCTCTGGAGGAGAAATCACGTCCGCCAAAAGCAAGCTAACCCAGCCAAGTGGGCTGTTTTAATGGAACGTGATGTTAATTGTCGGTTTATCAATATATTGAGGCGGCACGTCTGTACAGAAACCGGAAATCTGATAATGTCAATTTTCTTTTGTAATCAAAAGTGTTCTTTGCTCACTTCACTTGGATAAAAGAGGAATGCGGAAAAGCGCTTTTAATAACGTTTTTAATAGAGGTTATTTGAACAGTTCAACTATTGGTTGTCTTAAATGCCTCATTTTTTTTATATGTCATATGAAACGGTATTTCTTTAGCATATATATCAATGAATATTCAGAGCCCATTTTAATTTGACTGGGATAAAATTAATCACAGTATTGATAATGACGGAGATATTCCTCATTTACAAAGACCGTCGAAATTAATATCCTTGTCTTTCGTGCAGGGATTTTTATATAATCAAGCATTCATTCCTTTTCTTTACTGATCTCTCCATTAGATGTATTCTATAAAAACTTGAATCAGTGTATTTTGTTTAGAGTATATTTATGAATAAACACACACGTACACCCATATATATGTTTATGCAGATATTAGAACTAAAAATTTACTTTACATTACTTGGGTGCGGCCACGTCAAGAATATGCCAGTGTGCTATGGTCACCTTACACTAAGAGAATCGAAAGATTACCAGCTTAGAGCAAATTCAGCGCAGGGCCACGAGATTCATTCGCGGCAAGGATTGTTCTGGGCACGAGCGCCTTAGTATATTGAATTTGGTATCTGCAATATCGTAGGGATATCCTTGATTTGATAGTCCTTTTTAAATGTTTTTTTTTTTGTTTGCTCTTGCAACAAACCTTTGAGAAATGTTGACTATCTAATACTTGATGTCCCTTTTAGTCGAACAGGAACTTTTAAGAATTCATTTTTCATGGAGCTTGTCGCTCATGGAATGAACTATCCTTTAACATTAGGGAGTCTAACACCTTGTCAATCTTTCGCAAGAAATTTTTTACTTATTTTTATGTTAAGATCAGAGCTAAATCGTAATTATCTTATTTTTATTATGAGTTTAGAGTAATAAGTCTTTGACATTGATTTTTTTTTAACTAGGTAAATAACTAATCATAGCTTTCACCAAGGCGGCTTATATTAAATCATGTATTCTGTTTTAGGCTGTCTTCAAATTCATTGGATTGACTTGTTCAATGAAATAATTTGGAAATTGTGTTAAAGATTAAAGATATATATATATGTAATATATATATATATATATATATATATATACTATATATATATATATATATATATATATATATATATATATATATATATTACAAAGTGTGAAAAAATAATGAAGTCTATGAGGTGAAAGTTAACTTTGTTTTTGTCAGGAATCTTGTTTATTGAATTCACGGTTAACCTTGTCAGTTTAACTGCAAGCACAGTTTTTTAGTTTTTTGCTCAACACTTGTGTCATTTAGTTTCAACGTTGTAACTCAGGTGCAAAATTAATGAACGAGCCCTATCAATTCTGAGATTAATCAAACTTAAAGTTAATGCCATCACCGCGATGGCGTCTAACTCTCCATCCACTGAATTACATAAGGAACATTTAAGTTAGTGTAATGTAAGAACGTCTCGTACACAGACTGTGACTTCATCACCTTGTCTTGATAATAATCGTACGCGTATCCTTTACGTAAAAAGGTCTCTTCTTGAAGTGGATGTTGTAACATATAGCGATCCTTGACTCGTCGCTCATGCAAAGGTTGAATTAATTTAGATGATAAATAATTTGCGGTTTGAGAATAATGACGCCTATTCAAATTATGTTATTGAAAAAGCATGTATTGCCAAACATAACTAGGATGTCAAGGAATCGTTCCACAACAAGTTGATGTAGTCAAATGGTCTCAGGTTATTCCTCTTTGTTCTTGTATTAAATAATTCCTCCGGTTCGTGTCATTACGGCAGTTTTTTTCTAAGTGCTCACTGAAGTATCTTCGTTATCACCGATTTATTTTAATAATTTACTCAATTAGCCGAGGAATTGATAGCAATTTATGACCAATACATTCCTGGCAATATTTTAAGTGTTGCTAATATCTCTTTGAAGCAAAAACAGTTTTGTGCTTTTTATGAATAATTTTTGGTACTTAAGTGTTTTTTTTTTTTACAAAACATGACAAAACGGAGAGAGAATTTATCGCTAAAACCTATTTGTGCACGTCCCAAAACAAAACGTGACTACAACAAGGGCTTGAGTTGAACAGTCGGGAAATATTCCGATATCCCAACTAAACAGTAAACAATTACAATATATCTCGTTTGCTAGGACGCATTATTCAGAAACTCTATATCCTCAGGATTCAATATCCTTTGTTGTCATAGAAACCCTCAAAACTATGGATTTCAATGTATGCATATGATAGGGTGTTTTTGATAAAGTACTTGTTGTCCAGAACCATCACTTCCCAGAAGCTCAATCCAGAAAAATTACATCATGACATTGTTTGCCTAAACAACCTCGGTCGCTCTTTGGTCAAAAGGTTTGAATTGGTTTAGTGAAAAGGACCGATGTTCCAAGCCCGACGAAAAATTCTTTGAAGACTTGAACTCATTCAATTTTATTATTCGTCATTTTTAAAAGCTTTACGTGAGATGGCGTCAAGTTTGTTGAGAGTAGCCTTACTACTGTTCACATTTTTGTTTAGGAGTTCTGTGGGTCAAATTGGTAAGTAAATTGGTGAGCATTGATGAAATTTTTATGTGTGTTAGAAGAACGGTTGTGATATCTTTGCCTTGAAGAAAAATCATAGATATTAAATACCGTGATGGAACATAGGTTTCACTATCGAGAGATTTCGAGACACGTTAGTCTCAATAACTAGAGGATGAGCACTCAAAGTTCTTCTTTGATTTCGTCGGTTTTACTATATCTAAAATGCTGGTCGAAAAATAATTGCTTTGTGATTGTAGAGAGCAGAAAGAAACAGACAAGACTTGCTTGCGAAACCAGTCACCTTGAAAAGATTTTTAGTAAATTCTGTTCAGGAATTCAACTCCTTTGATCATAGAATCAAATTTCTTAAAAAAATCTATGATTTAGATTTGTGAAAAGTCTCTTTTTAAGCTGCATGTGGTCATGTACATTCTATCTGTGCTGGGAAGTGCTGATATGCTTCTGTTTACCTCTTGGCACGGATCAGTTTACTTCCTATCAAGTTGTTGTCTCGCCCTGAAAAGAAGTTGTTCCACCTAGAACTGGTGTTCAACAGTTAATACTAAGTTTTAATTCCTGAAGGGCTTTGGTGTGTTTTGACCGAGCAAATTAATAAGAAAATTTTATCGGAGGGCGCATGTTGAAATTTCACATAAAAAAATGTTGTTTGAAAACCATCATATTGATGCATTATTTCCCTTCCGCTATATTGCTTTTCGTCAACTTCTTAAAATTGCTTTTGAAGAGTATTTTCAAGTGAAATAATGTACAAGAGTTTTCAACGACTTTGCTTGGAAGGTCGTCAAAGTTTTATCTTCTTAATTAAGATCGTGTCCTGGTGAGAGAATTTTCAGTTTCTCTGCTTTGACGTCTATTGCATGCGTGATGACTTGAATATGATTGGTTTCAGATGAAACGTTTTTTCGTCTAGCATTTGAGATATTGACTCACTGAACTTAATACCGTTGTGTCTCTGGTTTAGTAGACACCTCAATCTTTCAAAAAAATCTCCTTTATAAACAGAAATAGATCATCTGTTTCAAATTGTTCGGGCTTTTAACGCGAAACGGCCTTGACCCTACTTGATCTGGCGACAGCACCACAAACATTCCCTTTAGCTAGAGTACAACTCAAAGAAGGTGGCGATACGTTCATCTATTTCTGAGCTATTTAAATGTCGAAAAAATAAGTCTTTGTGTTAATGAACAGGCGTTAAACTCTTTCGCGGGTCCATCCGAGACAACACACATATTATTAGCCATTATATGTCAGTGTCTTACTCTTTCATTGTAGAAATTTTCTCTATTGCAATCTTCATCATGTAATCAGAGCCATAGCCCAAAAAATATCACCTCTAATTAATTACGGCGACCTTGTTATCCCGGCCACTTTCAATTTTTTACGGAAACAGGGTGACTCTCGAAATTTTAAGAGTGTGTCCACGAGAGCACCTGAAGGTCGTGCTACATGTCATCCTACCGATTTCAATGAAACTTTGCCAGTTTGAAGGATCTACCCCAAACTCAAAACGACAAACTGGTTTCTGTTTTGGTTATTTCCGGGGGGAGATAGACCATCCCCGATTTTCTTGGTTATCACCGAGGAAATCGCTTCAAAATAGGTAAAATGTATGAAGCTCTCACTGCGATGGTATTTAGCCAATTACTCTGAGAGTTTGCACACATATTAATACAGTAAACGTCCGACGCTAGTATCAGTCAATTTGATTGACGGCTTGTCAATCAACAGAGGCAAATAAATGACTGTGTTTTAGACTTTTCGATTCATCCAAATATTTGATAACTTTGAGGTCAATTATCTCCCCTTGCCAGAAAGCTACAACACTAATTTTAATTCCCCTTTATAATCCATCATTTCGTCTCTGAAAATCATCAAAAAAATCTTTGGGCACTAACGTATTTTTGTCTTGGATGCCTTTTAAAATCTGCGACTGTGACAAGTTTCTCTCAACTACACCTGTCACGCAATTCTTTCTCTCAGTGGTCACTTGACCATACAAACCTACATTTTTTAGCTCTTTGTACGAGACGATTGACCAAGAAAGCTAAAAAAAGTGAAAAACTTTCAAGATTTCTCGTAGGAATGGAAAATTCCACGTTTAGAGAGATGCATGTAGGCGAAAATCGATAGGAAAATAGTAGCGTTTCTCTCTTCTGTCGTTTACTACTTTGGAGATTTGCTAAAATCAGCAAATAGGGCTTTTATACAGAACAATAAAATTCATTAGTCTATAATTTGATTGTTTATTATCATTATCGCACAGTTCGCAATAAGGAAACTGTAACAGGAGAGGAGATTTAAAGTCACATGTCGCGTGCTTGTTGACGTACAAGTTCCCGTGAGTAACAACTTTGGCTTTTCGAGACCGTAGATGACGGGAAACTCTGCCCCCCTCATTTGAGAGGAAATATCAATAGACCCATAAAATTCATTAACTGCGCCATGTTTCCAGAAAATAAGACTTGAACATTTTTTTCCACTTTGCACCATCAACAAATTCCACGCAGAAATGGTATTTGTAGCGTGACTGCCTGATAGTTCTTGAGAAGTAAAAATTGTTTATCTGTTTTTTCAAGAAAACACTTCTAGAAAGTTCTTAAACCTTCTGTTGTTTTATTTTTTGACTGCAAATATTGTCTGCATTTGCCATTATTTTCGCTGAATGTCATGGCTCAGCCTAAAATCTTGCAAGAATTGATGTCTCACACATAAAAATTTAATCAGTTTGACTCAGATCAGTTTAAGCAGGCGTTTAGGCGGCTCAGAAAATATGAGATATTAACAAGTTAAAAATAAGCTCAGAGTAAGAAACCAAAAGAGTAACTAAAAGATAACTTTTTTTCAGCCTGCAGCCCTCCTGGAGAGTCTATTAATGCTACTAGTGGTCACATTTCCAGCCCCAATTTTCCCAACAACTATGACGCAAACAGGATTTGTACCTGGAATATCACGGTACCCAGCGGGAAAATCATCAAACTGACCTTCTTGAACTTTACCCTGGTAGCAGGTGAAAACGATGACTGTGCTGGAGCGGCAGCAGATAGTGCCCGAGTCTTTATCACAAACGTTGCCTCTCATGGGGGAAATCCTAACGACTTTAAGATCTGTGGTCAAAAGCTTCCCCCTCCTGTGTACTCCGAGGGAAATTTCATTCAAGTGAGATTTGAATCTCGCACCGGCCCTGTAAACAAAGGGTTCAATGCAACCTTTGAAGCGATAGATGGAGATTCACGTAAGAGCTTTTCTTTTACGGTAATTGATTAACCGGAAGTATAGAAGTGTACTGAGCATGTACCCCTATTAAACTGAGCGAGAATTTTGTTGAGTATATCATGCAAATGATAAAGTAAGCAATCTTTGAACAGCTATAGTCTGCAGAAAAAAAATTGCATATAGTCAAGCCTTTTACGCGAACACAAGCTGCTATATTTCACAATCGTTATATTGATTAAAGTATAAAACCGTCAACATACGGAAAAGAAGCTGTAGGTGGTATTCGAAATCATCCAGTTGACCACAATGGGCTGTAACCCTCATCAAAACTAGAACGGTTTTCGAAGAGAAAGAAGCTTTGTTAAGATTTTTCTCAGTAAATTAAGTTTTTTACAGTAAGTAAGATGCATTTTACTAAAGCTGGCAGTCTTTTTTTAGTGTGCCCAACAGATATGATCCTCAGTGAAACATCAGGTTCTTTCTCCTCTCCCTTTAATCCAAGAAACTATCCATTCAACCAGACATGTAGCTGGAAGATTATAGGGAAACAAGGATACCGTGTTGAGCTGACAATACCAGACTATAATCTTCAACGTTGTGATGGCACTGCTTGCTCGTGTGATTATATGGAAGTTCAGAATAGCTTCAGTGATGAAGTGCTGCCTGGAAAACTATGTGGTACACCAAGGAAAACTCCTGTAAAATTTTATTCATTGCACGAAAGCTTGAGGGTGCTGTTTGTGTCTGATGATGCAAACATGGATTTTGACGGATTTGAGGCAACTTACAAGCTGTTGAACTACAGTCCTCCAAGTAAGTGGAGAGAACAACTTCATGAGATCTCAGGGTTCGCTGAGAGAATATGTTACAAGCAATAAATTCACCCATACAAGTAAAGATAAGGAGCTTAGTTAATAAGAGTGGAAGTTCTCTCTGTTATTAACTCAGGGTGAATGCGAACATCTCTGATAAATAGTGTAAGCAGTGATGTACTGGGGAGCCATGCCAACCTTAATTGAATAAGGTGGTAAGCTTCCAAAGAAATTGTGATGCTCCGTCGTTCGAGGAGTATAACAAGATAATTTGGTTTTATCAACTGAGTTGATAATGTAAATTGGTCACCGTATTGAGTTTCAAATATTCATGTTCTTGCCTTGGGGCTACTCCCTTATAAAAGCCACATTGGAATGTATCAGCCTAAATAGTATGGTTTTGAGCCGTTTTGGTCTGTATAGATTTTGACCATTGGTCACAAGCATTTGATAAGCATTTTGATTGGTTGTTATTTATCACCTATTGGAGAACAGAGGCATAAATGACTTCACCATTTACAACAATTTGTTTCTTCATCTTATATGAAACAATCAGATTCCACGTTGCCGCGCGTCTGTTTAGGAAGAGATACCAGATGATGTCACACTGTGGTCATCAATGACATTTGGCAGCGCTTCGTGTACAACTCTTTTGTTCTTACCATGTACATTTTGACGGCATCCGTGAAAGAAATCATATATCTGTCACGAATCCATGTTTATTCTGGCCTGTTCCAATCGTTTTAGTTAGTAAAACAGAACGAAATAGCCAAGGGCACAATAGTAGCGGCGTAATGAAAAAGAGAGTGAGGTTTGGGTTTGGTCGGGAAATGAAGAAGTTGATTTCACAACATGACCCAGCCCTCCCTCGTTTTTTCACTCCTCTGCCACTCTCGCGCTGTTCAATATGGCACTGCGTTCTACCAACTGAACGCCCGGAACATCCTAGACTTATTCTCCCACACTCACATGCTCCTTTTTCATTGATTACAGTTTGTCCCAAGGAAGCAATTCCTCTCTCAGGCAGCGGGAAAATAAGCAGCACAAACTACCCAAAGAGTAACTACACCGCGTCCAGAAATTGTACCTGGAACATTACCGCGCCAGCTGACAAAATTGTAAAGTTTACTTTTACTGATTTTGTCTTAAGTGAGTGTTCAGCCAATCATTGTTCGGATTTTTGTTCTTATGTGGAGCTTTATGATGGTGGGTCGACAAGTTCGCCTTTGCTGGGGCGATTTTGCCAGGGGTCGTCTTGGAATGAGACTCAGTTGTCGAGTGGAAACCAAATGTTTGTGATGTTCCACCCTGGACAAACAGTTGATCGTGGATTTGAAGCAAAATATGAATCCACAACGACCGGTGGTGAGTACCCTGTGAAGTTTATTCAGAATATCCTCTTTTATAATCATCAAACATTTTTCTTTCGCGAAATTGGTCATGACGCGTTAAGCCTCCGACTATGCCCCGACTTGCATGTTATTGATACTTTTTTATTTTTAAAAGACCGACAGACTTTCGCCGCTCGCCACGATCACGCTGAGTTACTCTCGCCTTCTTTTGAAAGAAAACGTATTTAACATTTCCCTTTCACGACTAAGGCAGATTTCTCTAAGTTCATTGATTTTTCTAAAACTGTGGAGTCTTGGTTAGACTTCGTTTGAATTACCAGTCCCTTAGTTACTAGTATATCTGAAAGTAATTGTGTGTAGTTAACACAAATTAAGGCTCTAGTACCTTGTTATTAAGCTAATATGTCGTGTCTGAAGGTCATCAAAGTATAGTGAAAAACAAGATAAATTTAAATTGATATCTTTTAAGTAATTTTGCATTGGTTATATGACGCGAGCTCTGCTTATGGAATGGTGTCGTTACACTGCACGAGTTAAAGTGAACCCTTACTAAATTTCGGCTTTCTCACTAATTGGTCATCAGCAACGAATAGCAACATTCCATACTCCTGTTACACCATGAAATCATCAGAATGCAATGGTACAACATAATTCCAGTCGATATTTCAATTAATCAGAGCGTTCGTTGTATGTACAATGGTGAAATTACTTTGCAAAGATGGTTAAGAGTCATTCCCAAGTTTCGCACGGTCTGATGGGGAAACTAGGACTAGCAGAATAAATCTCGACTTAAAGTGCGTACTTTCCTCAGGCTTTCAAGCCAGACTTTCACACCGACTCCTTCCTCCGTAAATTTCCGTTGTGCTTGTGTCCCTCATATCTACCATCGGTATAAAAAAAATAGATACTGGCTTCAACTCCGTTTTGGCACAGATAACGGCTCTCTAAAAGATATGACTTAAAAGGGTATAGCCCCCGTCAGGATTAGTTCCACCATGTGTCCTACCAAAGACAAAAAATGAAGTGGCGTTTACGACTTACTGACAATCGCCGAATCTTGAAAAGAGTATTCGTTCTGTAGGTAAAATGTGCTAAATTCTCTGATTGGCAGGCTTGTCCTTCTTTGAGCAAGATTGTCTGGACACGCACAATAATTTTCGATTATTGCATGCAGCTGTTGGGCCTTTAACTTGGAATACAGAACTTGCTGAAGGGGCACGGAACTGGTCCCAGTTTCTTTTACAGAACCGATCTCTTCTTCGTGAGGTCGACGTCTTAGACAGCAAAATTCTTGGAGAAAACCTTGGCTTTGTTTTCACCGCCCCGTCACAACCCATTTGTAGCAATTCAAGGCAAACATCCTGTGTCCTCTGCAGTCAGATTGTGACAGAATGGTATAATGAGATTTCAAACTACAATTTCGACACGGGCGCGGCCATCAACTCATCTGAACCGTACCAGAATTTTACACAGCTGATTTGGAGAAGTACATCTGAGCTGGGTATGGCGGTGGCTTCCGGCAATGGATACCATTATTTTGTAGCTCGGTATAGCCCACGAGGAAATACAGGAAGATTTGTTAGAAATGTGCCACGCCTGAGGCCGACAGGTTTGTGAATTGTCCTCGAATGCGAAGACAAAGTCTTTGCAAAAAACATACATAATTCAAACCAAACACACCACCATTCATGCATTTTAGAGTTTACCGTGTCACTCGTAAACTTGTTTCACTGGTTACTTAGCCTTTTTTGCTCTAAAAGTACTTTTATCCATTGAACTTGTGAAGGAATGACTTGCAAGATGGCATGCAGTATCTCAGGCTTTTTTTTCATTATATGATTTTCACAAGATGTTTTTCACATCTTATTTTAACAGAGCCACCGACTACAACAGCACTTCCATCTACAACCACTGGCAATCCAAATTCAACTTCAGGTAACACAGAGGGTAATAGAGTATTATCATCTGAGTTAATAACGTAAATTGGCCACCGTCAGAGTCAGAGTGAATCATTCGCTCTGGCAAAGGGCCTGGTACTCAGATGCGATTTAGAACTGTACCAATCCACCACCGATCAATGGTGGACAAGACTGCCAGGGACTTAGTAACGAGACACAGGCATGTATTTTAGGAGCTTCTCCAGGTACGGAGAGTCCTACAAACTAAGATGCCCTTTTCAAGGATTCGGGTAAACACGAATGGATCGTTCGCCCAAGAATTAAGGAATTGGAAATGAGAGAGAACCGCATTACGCAGAAACATGTACAAAGGTTTAATTTTCAGTAATACTACCACTTTCCAAGATGAAGCCTGTTAAGCCCTTAGTGTTTTTTCCTTGCGTAGCATTTATCTTCACGTCAATACTGAGTAACAATGGAGATTTTAACTTCATTTTCCACATTCTTCCACGATCTTCTGTAGTGCCATTACCAACAACACCAGCCTGTAGTTTACCAAACCGCAGGACACCCAACCAGGAGGAGGTCAACAATACTATTTCCATAGTCATTTTGAATGTTACTCTCCAAGAGGTTTGTCAAGTTTGTTTCACCTTCCACACCATGTTACCTCCATGAAAAACCTAACCCTTAACCCTTTAAACCCTTCGAGTGATTAGCATCTAATTTCTCCTTACAATATCACCCCTCAACCATGCAGTAAGGTCATGAGAATAAAGAAATTATCAGCAGCTAAAGAAGTTGTTACACAAGTTCTCCTTGTCAGCACCTTAGAGCAATGTATAGAGAGCGGTATGGAGAATACCTTTACTGATGTTAGGGTGTAAAGGGTTGATGGGGACTTAGCTTGCATCGATATTTAACCAGGTCGATCTCTTACAGCTAATGCCTGGAAGATCATTTAACTGGTGAAGACAAGAGAAAGACAGCTTAAGTATCATGGCTTTTGCGTTTCAAAATATATCTCATTCTCTTAAATTTGATGAGATATGTTTTCTTTACGAGACAATTAATGATGGGCGCCATGATTCACAAAGCGCAAACTGTGGTTCTAAATCAAAATTGCATTTCTACGGAGAGTCTTTGGTGTGTGGTGGCGTCTGCTTAGGCGTTTCCCCACAGGGGAGGTTCTTTACTGTATTATTTAATATGGCAAAACGAAATATCAGTCGTTCACTTTGCAAATATCATTGCAGTGGTGCCGAAGAGAAGATGAATTTAGACTACTACTTGCCAATTTTGTCACTGACTTTTGCAATGCTCAGATGGGAATATGTGCCAACCGGTAAGTAAATATGAGTTTTCACCAATCTTAGTTGATTGTCAAGTGAAATTTGATGTGTTCTCTGGTCTCTAGCAAGTTCAAATGCTAACGTTTACTAATATAAAATTAAGGGTAAATATAATAGAGGAATGAGACAGTAAAAGTCAGCAGTGCCTTCAGGTGTCCAATTCGGTCCTGTCTCGACAATCAGTGACATTGATAAATGCGACTGAATTTTGATGGGACAGCGGGAAGCTTAAAATCAATTTTGGAAGAGGGCGAGGTAGTAAAAAGGTGGTGGTGAGGGAAGGGGGGTGTCACCGACACAAACTTACGACAAAGAGTCATGCTCCTCTGTGCAGACCGTTTTCACACCGGCCTCAAAATAATTTGGAACCACTTGCGCCCCCCCCCTCTTTTGCCTCCGATTATGTTTTGCCTTGAAAACCTCGGATATCATTGTCAGTATCTAAGCAACTACACGCCTACTCCTCCGCTGACATAACATTAAACCTAACTTGTTATCAGTCGACTGTTGTTGGGTTGGGGAAGGGGGAAGAGGGAAGGTGTACAGTTGCCCAGATACTGACATTGATCCAAAGCCTCTACACTTATCCGATTACCCCTTTTTTTTCGTTAAGGTGCATTGTAAAATATTCTTTATCATCGCCATTTGCTTTCTGAAATAGAAATCTCTTTTTAATTTCGTATATTCTACCACCAGTTCTTTACCGTCTGACGTGGATCTCATAAACATACTTCCTGGATTTCCCGTTGTAAACAGCCCCCTAGAGCTAAGATTTTACGTACGTCTGAAGGCTGGTGTAAATCAGCACGTTACGATAGACAGAGAAGTCCTTTACGCGATATTCGAAAATTTTGCTCAAAACATAAGCGAAGTTCTGGGAGTAGAATTTACAGGTACGCAAATTCTTGATTCAGATTACATTTTCCGTCATTCATGGCTCTTGTATTAGAATCATCTCTCCACGTTCTTCTTGCTGGACCTTGCGAATCTTGAGGTCAGCGGTTATGGTGCTGACTTAACTGGGTATGTCATGTGTGGGGAATTCTTATCTACACAACACATATTGTGTGGCATACTTTACATACATACGGTAATGTTCATGATAATTTCCCATATATGACGCTGACTTAAGGAATTGCGGGCTCTGAGAGGGGAGGTGTTTTTCTTTGAAAGCACATTTCGAGTTCAAAGCGTCAAAATTTAGGCAATGTGTAAAACTTTGTCCTTATACTGTTGCTGCTCTTGCTTTTGTCATAATTGTTTTTCTTTCTTCCCTCGGTTGTTGTGTACAGCATTATGATATTCTAGGTCATTTCTTGCTTGAACAATTTAAGAAATTTTTAGCCTAAATTATTTTAAGTTGTTCAGATTTAGAGAGACACATTCCATCGTTCAAAGATTTTTTTCATGCTTTATATGCAGCCGATGGAAACTTTACAAACTGGGGTCCTTGGGGTCAATGCAGCACGTCTTGTGGGCCTGGAACTCAGATACGATTCAGGAACTGCACAAATCCACCACCGATCAACAATGGCCAAGATTGCGAGGGACCTAGGAACGAGACACGGCCATGCAACTTGACATCTTGCCCAGGTAAAGGGCGCGTTTAAAAGATAAAGAGGTTTAAAATATGTCCTTGCCGAATGTGTCCTCGTTTATCAGAAGCTATTGCTCGATTATCTTGGGTTTATTCTGACAAAAACTAAGTGTCATGCAATTTTAATGAGCGAATAAGATTTAATATTGATAGTAGGACAATGAAATCATAGTTTTTATGCGTTAACACTAAGAGTTGTTGAGGCCACTGGGGGTTCGAAGTTGCTTTTGTAAAGAAAAAGTTGGTCCATTAGTGCAAACTTGGTTTTACTGATATTATTTTGTTCAACGACCAGTCAATGGTAACTTCAGTGAGTGGGAGAATTGGAGTGCGTGTTCTTTAACGTGCGGTCGAGGAGTACAGATACGTTACAGAAGCTGTACCGATCCTCCTCCGTCTCATGGTGGCCGAGACTGCATTGGGTCCAGGATGGAGACCAGGGAATGTGAACTAACATTTTGTGTGGGTAAGAAGGAATGTTTCAATTGATATCTTCCTTCTATGCAAATACAGGGCCAGTAGATAACTGTTTTTATCTTATTTACCACAAAAGTAAATTGTGCTTTTCCCACGTTTCTATAGACCAATTGGTAGCTAAAATATTTTTAAAAACTAAATTTGAGCAGCCGGAAAGAAAAGATCCTGACCTCCCGTTGTACTTCGGTTAAATTTAATCTGATCTTGACTCTCTTCAGTTGACGGCAACTTCACGGAGTGGTCACCTTGGACTTCCTGCAGCCTGACTTGTGGAAATGGAACCCAGAGTCGTTACAGAAACTGTACCAATCCTCCTCCACAAAACGGAGGAAGAGACTGCGAAGGACCTCGGAACGAGACTCGAGATTGCTTTGATGGACCATGTCCAGGTTGACATGTGAATTTCAGTCATATTTCCTTATAAGTCGAGAACAAAAACCTTTTGCTTGCGACTGATCATTATAATTGGTAACATTTACATTGTTGATTAGGGAAACGAACCTAACAGGTAACTTTCAATTTTGGAAATGAGAGAAAAACAAACCTGTAAAAATTGAGGCTGCGACGGTATTCAAACCACTCTCTCCGGAGAAGCCACACGTCTGGCTTGAGGTATAATCTAGTTGTTTTTTCTAGTCGCCTTAAAACATTCTTCTCCAATTGAAACGGATAGAAAAAAAGAAGGATTGTAACTTGCTACTTCAAGTCAGACTTTTACAGATGATTTCAATTTTTTACAATATAATTCTTGGCCTCTTTCAGTTGATGGAAATTTCACCGAGTGGGGAGACTGGGGCAGATGCAGTAAGACTTGCGGAAATGGTACTCAGATTCGCGTGCGGAACTGTACCAATCCCTCACCGGCTTATGGTGGACAAGATTGCATGGGACCGAGAAATGAATCGAGAGAATGCTACGAAGTACCATGCCCAGGTACATTTCGGACTGAATTCATTTCTACAAATTGTTGCAAGCTCAAGTTGTTGGTGGGACTTTCAGGACGGAGAAAGAAATTAAGGGATTGGAAAACTGAAACTTTTTCGCAATAAGGGAATTTAAATCTGTGAACCAAAAATTATCATTCTGGTAACAATTTCACAATCGCCAGACTTTCAGTCATATAGTCTTAGCTTCCCAATAAATGTTACGAGTTACCTCCGTTATGACGTTTCACTAAGTCTCGCAAGCAAGTCATCGTTACGCTTTCTTGAATTCGGAGGAGTTGAAAACGAGCATACCAGTGCTAAAGATTTCTTATCTCTGCTTCATATTTTAAAGCTGAAATTTTATCGTGCAATGCTTGTGTAATGGCCTGCAGGACTTAAGTTAATTTTTTATGGTTTATCTCGCGAATGATATGAGGTCAGTGTACATCGGGGATCGCAGTCAATTGCAAACGATCTAAATTCCGAGTAGAGCATGAGAAAAACGTTACATGGTTTCTTTTGTTCTGTTTTTAAAGCCATGATGCACAACAAACAAGTCCTCATGTTGAGGATACCACTCCAAAGCATTCATGAATAAATTGATTTGTTCATGTCATTGACTTTTTCAGTTGACGGAAATTACACTGAATGGACAATATGGGGACCCTGCAATGAGACTTGCGGAAATGGATCTCAAACTCGGTACCGGTCCTGCATCAATCCGCCACCATCCAATGGTGGCCGTGACTGCGTGGGTCCGAGTAATGAGACTAGAGACTGTTTCATTGAGCCGTGTGCCTGTAAGTTTCACAAATCTAATTGGCTAGGCTACGGCACTTCCCATGAGGGATATCTGGCCACCGCGCCTCCCACGAGAAGTGTCTGGCTTTTAACCTACCACTGAAAAAAATACTTCTCTGATTCTTGTTTTCTTTCTATTGTGTACCTGCAGCTCGATTGTATCCGTATGGAAGCCTCGTTGGTGACACAAAACTGCCGTCGTTTAATCTGTTCGGATCTTACTGCCAACAGGTTAACATTCCTGGTCAGGGATTGCCATTCTTCGTCAAGCAGCACAACAAAGTTGCTGTAAGTGGTGTGGAACTTTTTTTTCTTTGTTAAGATTTATTTGCTGAGGAAAACTTTACCTTAATATCATATGCTGTTGTCGCTTAGTATGTTAATGTTTAAAAAAAGAAATGCAAACTTCTTCCATTTTGCGTCGTTTTCTAGAGGAGGTCAGCAATGTTCACACATGGCTTTCATAACGCTCCTGAAATATTTCAAGTGGATAAAGAAAGTGAGGCTGGGAGCAAAACTATTCATTATAATTTTTATTCTTACCAACAGATTTGTCGAAATGGATTGTTACGCTTCATTACCCGAACCGTGATCAACTGGCCCGAACTGTTTCCAGGAATCCGAGCCTCTGGTTCTAACAGATTTCAGCGGTATTTTATCTTAGCGCCATTCTGGAGCTCTATCAGTCACTATCCTTTTCAAATCTCCGATACGAGCCAGGCGTCTCAGTTATTCTACCAAATCTACAGTAAGAACATTTTGGGTGATGTATCATCTAACCATGCAAGAGAGATCTTTGACCGAGTCAACAAAGACGTACAGAAATATCAAACAAGTCCCAGCATTCCAAATTTTAACGCGAGCTGGGTGTTGAAGGTGACCTGGGAACGACTGTATCCCAGTACCTATCCAACAGTTAACCTGGTAAGAAGTGTTTCATTCATAAAGTGTAAATGTAATCTTTCTCTGTTACTCGACGTAACTGGCATTGACAAATTCAGATAAACCTGCAAACCTATTTTATAATCACGACAAAACTGCAGTATGTGTCACCCAAGATGCGTTTCTATTCAATAACAATAATTTGATTTCAAAGACAATTCAGGAGTGTTATGGTATTTTGTCATACCCAACTGAATGATTAACCTCCAGATATAAAATCATCCCAGCTGCTGTATTCTTATTTTGCGTTTTCAGACGAACACGTTCCAGCTCGTACTTGCCACCGATGGGCAGCATTCCTTCACTTTGTATAATTATGCAGAAAATGGAATTCAGTGGGCATCCTCCACAGGAAGGTAAGCCAATTTTTTGCTGTCGCCATATGATTCATCTTTTTTCTCCTTTGTACAAAAATCCCAGCTGAGAAAAAAAAAACTCATATCTCCTATATTCTATATAAAATTTCTCGTCTTGTTTAGTTTGTCTGTTTTCCCTTGTTTGCTCCTTGACTATGATGCCTCTCAACATTTCATAAAGTTTTCTGACAGTTTGCTGTCACCCATTTCTACCCCTGAGTAGAGAGAGAAAAGTATCTTGGCGAAACGAAGACTTCTCAACCTGGATTCCAATGCATTGCCCTTCAGGACACCACCAAGTTTCCCGCGTGACCATTGTTTGCTGCCTTGAATCTGATGAAAAAGGTGCATAAAATGTTTGAAATGAATTCGTCTCATTTTTATTTTCAGCCGTTTCTTTTCCCAGAATCAAAGTGGGCTTCCTGTGATGGGATATAACGCAGGAGACCAAGGAAGTCTGCGCTTCTTCAATATACCTGGGTGAGAAAAAGATTTCAGAACCTTTTTTTTTTCAAAACTCGCGAACAGTGTAATGCGTATTTAGAAATTTAGATATGAAAAAGAACAAAGTCATATAAACGTTGGTGAGAAGCACTTTCCGAAGTTTGAGCAATAAAAAGATCAGTGCTTCCTGAAGTGTTTCGAACCCGCAGGATGCCCGTACGTCCGTTTGTACGTCCCCACTTCCGTGCTTTGGTCAGTCAGCCAGTTAGGGTTTCAATCAATCAATCAATCAATCAATTAAAAGAAATGAACTTTGATGGTGTTTTTCTGATGACATCAGGTCAGGTACTGTGGAAGCTGACATGGTAGATGAGCGCCTTGGAAATACAAACCAAAGGGGAGTATGGTTTTTCCGTTTGGATGTGAATCCTGTCCTAGACTTGCCAGCCAAGAAATGTTATACATGGATCCAGCAGCAGGCGAATATCCAAGTGCCTGCGGTACGGCCATGTCCATGCACATTGGACCAAGCTGTAGCAGATAAAAACTTTTACGTGGATTACAACCAAAAGATCGCAGGTCGTAGTAAACTGACGACGTGTGCATACTCGGTGCCTAGTCCAACAAGCCGCTGGGCACAGCAGTGCTGCTACACGGAAATCCCTGGAAGTGGAAACGTTCTTTCCATCGGGCCAACAGAGGGGGGCAATCCGTTTTTAATTGGGATACGCGGCCTTCCGATCATCACAGACTTAGAAGCGCACGGATACTGCTGTAATGCGTCCCTGTGCGCTCGATACTATGAGTTGCGACCCTCAGATACTTGTTCCCGTTACAGCAGCAGGCGAGAAGGTGAGCCTTTTATATTGTCCTTTGCAAGAACGCATTCCGGTTCCACTCATACTACATTGCAAATTTTCACTGCCGAAAACTAAAACTTCATAATGATGGATTCATCGAGTATCAGGTAAGCACAAGCAATTTGGTTGGACAATGAGACTTTTCATCTCTTGGCGTAGATACTGAAGTAGATTATGACGTCGTGAAGCCTAAAGTGCTAACAATTTATCTACCAGATCAAGTAGTTATTTGCAGTTTCATGATGGACTCTTGGCTGGTAAAAAAAACAAACCACATCGTATATTCATTTGTTGTGTTCTCTATATATCTCCACAGCCCTTATATGGGGAGATCCTCATTTTGTCACTCTGGATAACAAAATCTACACATTCAATGGCCTTGGTGAATATACGATGATTACCATTGACAACGTGGGATTTGAGCTGCAGGCACGCACCAAGAAGACCAGCGGTAGGGGATTGGGAACAGTGTTTTCAGCAGCAGCTGCTAAGGAAGCCAACACGGCTGTAGTGGAAGGGCGAATAAATAGCCAAGGTAATCTGATTTGTATTGCTTTTAGTCTTGTAGTCTGATCATTTGCAAAGGTTAATCCTGTAAAGGGACTGCTATTTCAACAGCTTGAGCGGAAGCCGTTATCATATTTTACTTAAAGAGTTGTTCGTCAAACGAGTATTGTAAGTCTGGTTCGTGAGATCTGATTGGCCAACTTTGCTGTGAGGCCATTGGCTGTAAGCTTCAAGGAGCATATATCATTGTGATCGGCCAGTTTCGATCCATCAGTTCTGTCCACTGTGAATTGCTTTTTGCTTGCTGTTGCTGGTCGTGCCGCAATGGGTATCCAGCTAAGTTTATTTTTAACATACTTTAGTAAAAGGAAACAAATTAGCCACACACAACCCCGTTTATGTAATTTCCAAATATGAAGAACATTTCTATAGCAAGTCAACATTATTAATACAATAGGTTTTCCCTTCAAAAAAAAATTAATGAGCTTAAGCTGAAAACTAATGAGGAATAACCAGACCATAGGTTATCAAAACAAATGTCAAAAAGTGTTGGGAAGAGTAAATGATCGAAATGGTTTATGTTTGCTCTATTTATGTCCAAATTCATTTGTACTTTGATTTGAGTTATCGTTTTATGCCTATTTCAGGTGACCTTGAGGTTTTCGCGGCAGGAAACCAGCAAAATATCCAAGCTATTTCAGAGTTTGGAACGCTGATTCAAGACTCAAATATTACGCTGATCAGAGGGACTTCTGACTCAGTCTCAGCTGTCTTTCCATCCGGGATCTCAATCACCTTCTCCCGGGTTTCGGACGCCTTAGCCACCACATTCAATGGGCCGGTCAGGTTTGTGAACCGCACTAAGGGACTCTTGGGGACGTGGAATGATGATCCTTCAGATGATTTCACGACTCCTTACGGCACAGTGCTATCAGCTGATGCGACACCCCAACAAATACACTACGACTTCGGGTTAAAATGTAAGTTCTCCAGGATAAATTTAAAATACGGTGCAACGACGCGCACAGTTCAACTTAGTAAATTTTATATGTAGTTTCCAGGAAATTCGCGTTAAAATGGAGAAAATCAACTCCGATGGTAGCTATTTCTGTGTTCTTTCCGCTCCTGCGAAAAAATTATGCGTCACACCATGATAAGATCGCATGACAAATAACAGGCAGGAGGGGATTGGCTATTAGATAGTTTCTGTTTGTTACAAGATCGGACCCCGGTCATCGTTCTAAAGTTAGAATCCTTGTATGCAATTTGTCCTACAATTGAGAAGAGTATGGATTGACGTTTTTTATGTCTCACATTAACCAACAAAACATAGCCTTGACACCAAGTTGCCAGAAGAACTTGCTTGGTGTTACAGAACCTTACACACTTAAACTGCCTTGATTTAATTACCAGCCTCATCTCCTTCCATATCGGTCAAGAGGAACTGAAAGAACATAACTTATAGATTGTTTATTCACATCACCTGTTTGCCGGATAATGTCTGATTATTATTTTCATGAATTCCATCTTGCAGGGCAAATAAACGCCTCCCAATCGCTGTTTACATACCAAGCTCACGAAAGCCCTGCGACCTTCATAGATCTCAGCTACGTGCCAATGTTCATTGACAACATCACATGGACAAATGATTCCTTCAGACGACAGGCAGAGAGTGTCTGTGGCAACAATATCCTATGTTTATTTGATGCAGCCGTGACTGTTAACTGTTCTTTTGGAATGTCAACAAAAAAGCTGGAGGAAAATAATATTCAAGCAAACAACAGGCTGGGTAAGTAGTGCACCATTTCGGAACAACCAGTCCTTACAAAAGATTGGCCTCATGCATTTGATGAAGAGTGCGTCAGCCTAGGTGGGACATTCAAGATTTCCATACAGTCAAGATTTTGCAAGAACTCCTGCTCTTAGTTTCAAAGTTTAGTCGTTATGATATTTTGTTTATTTCCCCACCTGAAAAACTACCTTGCTCTTGCTCGATTAAGACTTTAACAAGACTTGCTTTTGACAATTCTCTCGTGATTTCATCACAGAAACTTTCCCACCACAAATTGAAGGACCACAAGTTATAAACGCTACTCTGAACGAAACAGTTGAGTTGAACATCACAGCTCGCCACAACATCAGCGACTCGTTTGTGTTTACCGTCAAATTTTTCCCAGACATGGAAGTCGTCTCGAATACCTCGCTGGGTCTGGTCGTTCGATGGCGGCCTACATCCGTAAAGAAGGTATGTAGTGTTCTAAAAATCAAACTTGCGCGTAATCTAGTAGTTTTATGTAAACTCGTTCCTCTTCTAAATGGAACACCACACTAAGAAAAAACAATTAGTTCATGGTTCGATAGCCTATCTAATTTTTCTTTTTTCATCATGGACAGGTAGAGCCTGTGTTTATCGTTACTGACAGCAGTAACTCGTCATCAGAGCTCCGCCCTCTGATTCGACTTTGCCCGTGCCAAAATGGCGGCAATTGTGTGGAGGACGACGATGTTCAGCGGCAGCTGGACAGCGGTGTAAGATTCATCGTTTTATCATGCGCCTGTCCCGCAGGACTCACAGGAAAGTTTTGTGAAAGTGATGTTGACGCTTGCGTAGAGTTCAATGATCCCTGTTTTCCTGGAGTTGTCTGCACTAATGTTCCGTTATCTATCGATAAAAATGGATACACGTGTGGTCCATGTCCAAGCGGTTACCATGGTGATGGAGCTTACTGCATCGGTACGTTTAAAGAAATATTCTTAACTAGCTCTTAACATGTGTTTGTCGCGGAAATACCTCTAAAAATGAAGATTAATTTTCATTTCCTTAATACAAACTTTTTGTGAAACCGTTCGTTTTGAATACATAAAGATCGCTCATGATTCCTCATACACCTAGATCATGCTATTCGACGCCAAAAATATTTAAGACGAAAACAGGATGATCGGAATTATTTTCTACTCGCCACGAAGAGTAAAATTACAATTAACAAACACTCGAGATCGTGTGCTTATCTACTAGTGAACAATTCCGTTGTCAGTTTGTAACTTTTTAAAAATTGCACCAAAATTGGTACTGTAGTCATCATAAAAATACGGCCTTCTTCTTTGAGACCGAGAAGCACGTCTTTCAGTCCTCAACCCGACACTTTTTGTTTCCCTCAACAGATAATGACGAGTGTGTGGATCACGTGAGCAGGTGCAGCCAATCATGCATTAATACTCCGGGTTCATATGTGTGCAAATGCTATCCAGGATATACACTCGACAAAGACGGCGTCAGTTGTAATGGTACGTGACGTCAGTGGGGGAACCTCGGTTTTTGATCAATCGCTCGATTTTAGAACCTTATTTGTTAATGTTCGGTTGTGCAATCGAAACTCTGTATTCTTGCATCTGGACATGCCATATAGGGCTAATTTTGACAGCTTCATCTCCCTCAACAAAACAAAGCTTTAAATTGGCAACTAACTATAACAAATAATGTACCGTCGAGGTTGCTATCGCCCAGGCTCAAGAGACATTTATATAAGATAAAAAATATTATCATTCCATCAGATATCAATGAGTGCATGGAAGCCAATGACTGTATGCAGCGATGTACTAACTATCCCGGTGGGCGGAACTGCTCTTGCTTCGAGGGATTCCAGATCGACCAGGCTGATAATACAGCGTGTATACGTAAGTACCACACATGTGATTTTGGTCCACTGAATAAAGTCGATTTGACTCGTATATACCTTCCTCTTAATCTATAAAGATGAACACCAATCATATAAAGAAAACTTGAAAAAATATCTTAGTTTCTGATTTCTGGTTCCATTTGAATAAAGCTAGGATCTTGTATAACTTACTCTGAATTTTTTTGCTTCCCAGCAATGGCAAGCTGTAATGTTTCGAAAGCAGGCTGCCAGCAGGTTTGTGTGGAGGAACAAGGACAGCCAAAGTGTTCGTGTCACAAGGGTTATCAACTCAAAGAAGACAATCAAACATGCACTGGTAATTGTTTAAACTAACAACATTTCCATTGGAATAGTATCTAGTCCCTAACAAGACCACGAGCTTGATGCTGCTGAAATTCTTAAGGAAATGTTGCTGACCGTCTCAAATTGGCCACTGATTTTTCATCTAAAGACCGTTTTACTTAGGGGTTTTATTTTCTCCATGAAATCAGAAAGTTAGCGACCCTGTGGGGAACGCTTTCAAGATGACAATAGGATTTCATTCCATTGTCAAATCTGTATTAATAAATTATCTCCATTATTTCTTCACCTAATGCATTTTGTCGTTCCAGATATTGATGAGTGTAGCACACATAGACACCGATGTTCACAAAACTGTCACAACAATGTGGGGAGTTACACTTGCTCTTGTGATGCGGGTTACAACCTGGACTCAGACTACATGACGTGCAGTGGTAAATATCCTCTCTTTTGGCGGTGGAGTGAAGGGAGTGGGAGGGGGGAGTGGGGAGTGGGGAAGGAAATGGAAATCCATCTTTCGATCTAAAATCAATGGATTAAGAATCAATCCGTGGATGGCCACTTCTGATCTCTATTTATGTATTTACTTATTTATTCATTTACACATTTCTTCTTCTATTTCCCTACTTATTGAGTTTGCTTGGTAGAAGAATTTGGTAAAACCAATCATAGCTACAGAATATAATACACAATTCTCTGATATATGTTTTTTTTCCTTTTCAGATATCGACGAATGTGGTTTGATAGATGTGGTGTACTGCGCTAATTCCTTGGAGTTTTGTATTAACACCATAGGATCATTCTATTGTGAATGTCAGCAGGGATACCAACGTGTGAACAACACTTGCAGAGGTTGGCCTTTATTTATTATTTTTCGTATTGTAAACCGAGTTTTAAAAATAGAAAATTTGTCTCCCTTTACACTCCATAGAAGCTCTAAGCAGGAAAGGTTACGTTGTACAAAAATTGCCCCACTGAATGGCGAATTGCGCTCTAGCAAATTCATAAAAAGAAAATTTTAAAAGTGACTTGGAATTTTTTTATCGTAAAATACGTTGTGGTTCGTCATTGTGGTAAATAACACTTTCAAAAGAGAAGTAATAATCATTTTTTTCATGATGTGGTCGCTGTGGACGTGGGTCACGACGCTTCAACTGCATAATGCTGGTTATCGACTGAAGAAGACCAGCAGTATGCTGTCGAAATGTCACGATCTGCATACGCAGTGACCACATCGTGAGAGATTATACTTCTGTGGTGGAATTCTTTGATCATATGCTCCCAATGAGTAATTTGCAAACAGTTGCTTAACATATTATCGTTTAAACGACCATTTTATTTCTTTTTTCAGAAATCTATCTAACCACAGGGGAACCACTTTTCACAGAAAGCCCAGCCACGAAACCTAGCACAACTGATCGGGTCCCAGAGGATGCCTCTAATAATGCTGTTGTTATGACAATAAGAAATACAGATATATCGGAGGTAAAGCCAAATCTTTCATCTGGGTGTAATCGTGACTCGTTTTTAGTGCTATTGTCATATAATTGTTTTAAAATTTTTTTAAGGTGCTTCAGGACAAAATTAGTTTAATGAATAAGGAGAAGGCAGAACTTTTCCTTAATTCCTTACTATTTAGAAGTAACTTACCTTTGTACAAATTACAGTGGGAAGATGGAATTTCTCAGTTGTTTGAAGATATCGTTGCCCAGGTTGTGGTCGAGTATTGTCAAGAGAATGAGAACGAAAACTGCCTTCATTCTAAACTGAGTAAAAGGTAAGGCACTGATTGGCCGCAATCGCATGAACGAGGCCGGTGTTCTTTACCTGGCGAAAGAAAGAAGGTTAAATCTTAATGAGTGACTAAATCAAGAATTGATCGTTAAGAAAAGATTACTGATTTCTGTGATTCTGTGTTCTTTAGGAATTCTTCCTTACACAGTTCAAAAGTCTTCATACTACAGTAGACCAAAAGATGATAGAATCTAGATGAATTTTTTTGTTACGAGAAGGAATTACCAACTAAGAACGAATAAGCAACAACACATAATAAAAATGTGCAAAGTATTTGGTGAAAACATGTTAATGGGATTAAAACTTAATATCCCTGAGAATGTGTGAAAAAAAACTGTGGCATTATTTCCTTAATAGTTACTAACATATTTGTTCATTGATTTAATAAACTGCAGGTCGATCACAACAGAAATCCTAGCCACAACTGTTCATGTGTTGAAACATTATCCACAACAAGAGCAAGCTGATTTAGTCATAGCTTTCTACGTCATTCTTCATTCCAAAAATCAAGAAAGCTACCTCATGACCCAGGCTGCACTCTTGCAGGCTCTCAAAACGTCATCAGCCAGACTGTCAGCCAGAATTAATAAAGAAGTTTACAACATCCGGGCATTTGATGCAGATGAAGCAAGTCCGCCCGCTCGTGAGTCCCGGATAATTGCGTCACATATGAAATGGATCATAATTGGTGGTGCATCATTAGCTGCAATCGTTTTTGTGATAATAGGGAGCGTCGTTGCTTGCAGGTAATGCGGCTGTATTTGAGTGTTAGTAATTCTTCCTTCTGTGCTATCCCTGGAGAGATGAAAGGTGACCTGTTTCTTATACAAATATCGACTGGTTGCACAAGGCAGCCTATTGAATATTTAGACGCCAAATTGCTCTTTCGACAAGATTATTTAACTTACAATAGCCACTCTTGGGAAAGAGAGACAATTTTTTTATCACTTCCAGACAAACGATTCATTCTTTGTTTTTTTTTCTTTTTTTATCTCCTGTACTGAACTTATCAGCTCTTATCAGTTCTTAACTTATAATTGAAATCGTAACCTTTTTTTTTTTGTAATTTTACTTTTTGTCTTCTCTAAGACGGAGACGAGCCTCCAGGCAGCTGAATAAACGTGAAAGGAAATCTGAATTCATTCTGCAGCAATGGGCTGGGAGCCACGAGGGCACTGTGTTCGGATTACCAAATCAAGTCACTGAACTGTAGAACTTGTCACAATTTACGATGACAATGCAAGGATTAATGCCAGTTACCTTTTTACACAATTTAGCGTGATTTTACAACAGTAACAACAGTCACTGGTAATTTACAGAGTGATTGTGAAACTAAAATGTGAAACATAAGACATTCATATCTAATCGAAATAAGATAAAACATAGGACTAGACCCTTTGCCTATTTACGTCGGAAAACCTAATTTCTCCCCCAAGCCTCGCTTTCAAGGTACCAACTAGTGAATTTTGATGGGAAAGTGTTACCAAGACACTAAAATAAAAATACTCCTTAAAACAAAGCCGATCGGTAAAGGTTCATGGAGATTTTAAAGCAAACGAAGCTTTGGGGGGGAGGGGGGATTTCTTGAATTGACGTGATCGTGCATAAGAGCTATTGATAGACAAATGTAATCACAGAAATACTTAATTCATCAACAATAAATAAGCCTTAGATGAAAATTAGAACGGAGGCCACCACTAAAACAACGGTATATCTCAATGCATGCATTTCTACAGAGTTGGTTACATACTACGCAACTTTTGTGAATTGTAGTGTACGAATAAATACAATTGAAATTGTCCTTATCCAGAATGAACGCGAAAGTTATGACCAACAATTAAATCAGCAAATCTGTCATTCCAGCCGAAGCAACTCTGTGCTCGGGGAAATCCTGAGATATTGGAAGAGTGTGCATATGCGGGTAAAGTTCTCTCAGGAGCCCAATGGCCCACATAAATTCACCAGGACTTATCCCGCCTTCAATACTATTCAGCAAATGAGAATATTGTTACTTCACCTGTATATGAGATGCTCAGCTATGGCAGGTTACAACAGCAGTCTATCGTCACATTTTTCCAGATTATTCCCTATCATCCATTTACACACCTGAGAGGAGAGGAAGTCATTGTAAGATTTATCTATGCTGTTCAAACGCTCCGTGCATCGCCTCGGCTAGGAGTGGAGCGCAAACTGCCCGGCGCGCAATCCCTCGATGTAGCTAGTCTCTAAGCCGTCACGTCTCTGCTTACCTTCTTATCTTAAAATTCAGGTGACGATGTGAATTTTTTTTTTGGTATTACTTCAAAGGTTCTGATCGTTAGTTATTCATTATGGGAAAGGCTCTCGAAATACAATTTATGATGATCTTTTATCGGAAGAAAGATCTTCAGAACAAGAAAAATCGTTAATAAAAGTATTCAGTTCGAAGACTCATTATCAATAAACATTAACTCAGATTAGTATACGCTACCAAGCGCTCGCAAGTGGCAAGGTGGTTGGCTCATTTTGCCAGATACTCGTTCCTGAAGTACCAGCTACAGCAATTAGATGAAGCGGTAAGATGCCTGTCTTGACCTGAATGGATTGTGACATTTACTGCCAACTGTTTTTTTAGTGTACTGTAAACCTCGTCTGCTGAGGTCAGTTTACCTTATTTGATATTAAATTAATTGGTTAGATGATTACATCGTGGTCACTTACCGCCGGATGCATAGCGACGCCAAAGAATACCGTGAGAACTGAACAATCTCAGTGGTTCACAATAGCATTGTCTTAAGGTTCGTTTTAGCTCGTATGATTTAAGTTTAATGAACGTCTTTTTTTAGCTCTTTAAGTGTTTGTGTTCTGGTTTACGTAGTCAAAAAAATGATTTTAAATTTATTTAAATTAAGACATGACTAGTTTTGTATATTTGCTAGAATGACCCACTATCGAAAAACGGTGAGCAAAAGTATCAACAAGGGAGACTTACCAGTGTAGTGACCATGCAGCGTGGTGACCTTGGGAGCAAATTTTGCAACGTGCGCATGCTTTGATCATATGATCGTCACGTAGGGATATTCCCATTAAAGAAAAATTATCCTATCAGGAACCTGTATTTTGTAGACGTATTATATTGAAGTGATATCATTATCGTGAAAAGTGTTTTGCCCCTTAGAAAATTTTTGTGTAAAGGTATCAACTTTTCATTTTACCTCTTGTCAAGATTCAGGTTAAGGTACATTAAAAATGAGACTATTCACTGGAAACCGAATAAATGCCTCATTTATGATGTAATTACGATCAGCAGACACAGCGAGGACCATTACATTTTACTAAACGACGATCTAAGCAATATCATTTTGGCAAAAATTTAAAAACACTCTTACCAGTGGGAAATCCGACCTAATTAGTTAATGGTCGATTTGGGAAATGTAAAAATTTCGTTCATTGCAATCTAAACTGATCCAAAATTGAAGAGAAGTCTTTCAAGGGACATTTAGATGAAAAAATTCAAATTTGGGCACAGTTTTTTCCATAAATTGATATGGCATTTTAATGTTTGTTTTCAACTTTCCAAGTGAGCTGCTTCCGTTCTTGTCATAATCAGCTCTCAAGGAATAATTTTCAAGTTCTCAACTTTTATCAATAATTGCAATTAAAAACAAACTGAACACAGGCTCTGCTCTAATTATTTCAGGCGCCAAACAACTAAGACACAACTATGAAATAAATTCTAAGAGACTCCAGGCGGCATATAAAGGTTGGTATTCGTTAAAGAAGGAAAAATATCATTTGCTTTAGAAATGACCAGTGATATACGTTTACATAAAAAATTCATCATAAAAAATTCCACTTTCCTAAAATGAAATTTTTTTGCTCTTTAGTACGTTTTCCTTAGTGGTCTGACAAGAAATGTTGAAATGAAATGAGTGTCGGTTTAGTGTTACGAAAACAAAATCAAATCACAAAGGACAAAAAACAAAGACATAAAAATTCTGAGCGAAGGAAGAGGAATGAATTTGATATTTACTACCTCACGGGCAGAAAAACGTCACTGAGCAGATGGGAAAAGGCCTAACTGATTTGCATATGATTGGCTGTAAGGATGACGCAAGTTTCGACCAATCACGGAGCAAATTTCTAATAATGAATTGCTTTAAACTCACACGTCAACACCGCACTATTTTAAGCCAGCGCGGCTTGTTTTTTTTAATTTGTTTCAAGTGTTTAGTAACTGACGATATCATTTAACGAATACCTTTTGCTAAAAATAAGAACAACATTTCCAAAGTGTTATCAATGACGTGTCTAAGATACTTGAAGCTCTCTACGCTGTTGTCATAAATATGGTGTTCCCATTTATGCAATGTCATGATCGTGAAATATCAAAGAATTGGTAAATCATTGAAGAAAATGTATCTTTTTAGTTTTTTTAAGTGTTATTATTTCACGAATACCTTGTGCTAAAAATAAGAACAACATTTGCAAAATGTTATCAATGACGTCTCTAAGATCCTGGTCGCTCTCTAAGCTGCTGTAATGAATATAGTGTTCAAATTTATGCAATGTATCTTTGCTAGCTCCTTCTCATTATTCTTTTTAGTCTAAAGATACCAGCAACGAAAAGTCCTGAGTTACAAAATGCAGTTTTATCATAAATATAATTCATTCAAATAATTATTTATAATTAGTGGAAGTTGCTCTGTTTACGATAGTGTAACTCCTGAAATATCAAAAAATTCTTCTTTCTGTAGTAAGTAACTTTGACTTTTGGAAGTTTCACTTTTTTTGTTGCATTGTGCTGTGCACAATTTTTTCCCGTCTCTAAATGTTCTTTAGCATGTGTTTTATATTTAGCGCTTTGAAACAGGTCAAGTCACTGCGTTGTTTTTATCGGAACAGCGGTCACTGAATTCAAATAGTGACTGTCTAAACTCATTGTGTACATTCACTAGCCTTTCGTCAACAGTCTTTAAGCCAGTAGTTTGTATTACTAACGGTTACAGCAGTGTTAATAGTCGTTTGCAGTCGCTGGAACTCTCATTATTATTTAACTCGATGCCATATCTCTTGAAAAATGTCTCGACAAAGATGAGTTTACAGGGCTGTTTATTGCCATGGTAGTGTAACTCAAAAAGCTTTCGATAAATCTTAAAACCATGGAGCACTCGATACATAACATACAATGTGTTTTTCGATACGATGCAGTTAAAACATAAACAATGACAATAAAAGCAATAGTAATGATACACCAATAATAAGTATAATGACAAGAGTAGCAAGGACTGTAATAACGATAATAATAGTTTAGTTGGATGCCAAACAAGGCAATACAATTTTTATGGCCGCAGAATATGGCGGTTAACTTCAATGAAACTGAAATTTTGATCTTTCATATATACTTACGAAGAATGAGCGGCGCTGAAAGAAGGGAACCCTTAGCTTTTATCTTCAAGTCTTTCTTCAGCTGAGTCATTTACGACGCATTTACTATTAATCGCTGCTATTCACTTGCTGAACACGAATCAAATTGAACAATATCTGAAATAATTCATAGACGGGCGGTTATACAACATATCGAATAGATTTCCACCTCCGGCAATTATTTATATCGAACACTGAGTTTTAATGGAAGTCTGAATCAGCTTAGAGGCGCTAAAAACCGGTATTTTGAGACAAACACTGGGCAGCGGAATATTTTTTATCGTAAAGGAGACTTCATTTGAAAATGATAAACAAAAAATGAACGAGAGTAGCAGACGATGACGAGGAATAGTGCAAGTGCAACGATGGATAAGAAGCTAAATTTTCAGGGTGTATTAACAGCGACAGAGCTCTCAATCAAACTTGAACCAAACTACTTCCTCTCCATTAAGAGGTAATTTCTCGATTATAATAATAAGTTTTCTTTGACGCAAACAGCTTCCTTTAGGATATTATTGACTGTTTATGGTTACCCGACCATTTTATCCTGTTTTTTTGTTACCTTAAAACACTTCGTATAACTAAGGAAATAAAATCTATTTTGTGACAGCAATTTCATTTAGTAAGGAACTAAAGAAAAGCGTGAGTAAAATAAATTTATTTACGAGAAAATTTTTATTTTAAATGGAATTAGATATTCCTCATTCGAATGCTACACTTTAAATGAGAGAAACAAAAGGAATCATCTCTGACTTCCAGTCATTCTTTACACGAAAATTATAGATCTCTTCTCAAACTAGAGGACTGAAAATAGGATTTAAAAAACTTGCTCGAACGTGATGATACACAAATTTTTCACCAGCTGTTTCACATTTTCCTTAATTTTTTGAAACTGTAGAGTTTAAGTCTTTAAAGGCACAGGATTTTGATGAGGAATTTGCGCTAAATAGATCTCCACTGAAACATTAAAAGCCGTGTAAAGTTTACTTTAAGTGTTAAATGTCAATATTGAGATAATCAGTTGGTTTTGTTTTGTTTCCAACCTGTAACAGGAACGTCAACATTGCCAATATATTTCACCTATGCAAGCTTACGTAATAAAATCGGATATTTCAGACCTTTCGCGAAAAGTATTTTTTCCCTGGCTTCGTCTACTCTTGACTTTTGCTTAAAGATCAATTTGCTGAATTCAAATGGCGTTACTACGGTACTACGGGGAAGTCGTAAAAAAGCATCAGAAATATTTAAGAAAACTGTTTACCATCAAAACAAGATAAAACCATAGGACTCTTAGTGAGTTAACATTCAGCTAACGTTCCCAGGTTAAAAAAAGATCTTCAAGTACTGCAACTTGTTGAAATATCGAAATATATCAATGGTTCTGCGGCTGAAAAGTATACTTTATTGATCGTGTAAACATTTCCAATTTACCCTTCCGCTTGTCGTTAGAGATTATTCAGCTAGACTGGCCAGTTTTTCGATACCACTACACATTCAGTTTATTTTTAATCTGAGCGTTTACCAACAACAATTAAGAAAAATAGTAGCATCTAAATAAAAAAATTAGCTGATGCGATGCACGTGTTGAATAAGTGGATTGGAAAGCATCCACGTCCTGATCACGTGCTGCAGACGTATGTCGTGGGAATACGAAATGACTATAAATATAACAATATAAATAAAATGATGCGTGTAAAGATGTTAAAAGTAAGTGGTTGTCCAATCAGAAGCTCCCTTTGCCGAAAGTATATTTCAGTGATATTCTATTCCTAAAAGAAATGAATTGCTAAAAATTCTTTCCTCCGAATAGTTTAGACATAAAAAGGTGATCGGGGCTAGCTTTTCACTGTCCTGTTCCGTAGGAGTTCAATTATAGCGATTCTTACATGCTACAGTGTGAAACAAAGGATTTTTCCTAATTAATTTATGTAAATATTTATATTTATTTTGGTCTATAGTAACCACTTAGAGAGATAAGGAGAGCTCTTATGTCTACAAGTGAGGGCTATTGAATCAATACTATTTTGACAAGAGTTAATGACGTTATGGATATTTTGCAGATGATACTGATCGATTTCGACTCCATAAATTTCGCTGCAACGAAATCAAAAAGCACATTCATAGACACTAGCCAAAGAAAACAGATCCGAAATTGGAGAAGTCTTTTCAAGAAGCGAAGAATTTCAAGTAAGTGAAGAAATTTCAGTTTTAATTTCCAGTCAAGTCAGATAATTTTATATCATAAATTCGTTACGTTACAGCAGCTTCTTTTTCCGTTTTAAGATTTAAAGTTTTATGGTTAATTTGACACTTTCTTTTTTTATTGATAAATAAAATTCATAAGTTTTATGAACATTTCCTTTTGACTCAGTTTTAAAAAAAGATAGCAATACTTTATTAGCTTAGCATCTCGTGAAGATTACTAAACTACATGTTTTTTGAGAAACTCGGATAACATTAGATAACGAGATCGCAAAAATGCAGTAGTTGCAATTTGATGTATCTGTAACTCTCACGACGTTACCACGTCAAAAAAATTTTATTCAAGATCGGTTGTGTTTTATAACCAAACTGAGTTCGTGACTAGCATGGTTTTTAACTCTGCCAACAGTAGAAATTTTTTCTGAATGTTAAACTTCTAGATAATCACACCAAACAAGAATCGGTCCAGAAAACTGATGGAAATTGTAATATTATCAATACTCACCTATCAGTATTTTCCTATCGTCACAAATTCGTGTCATTTTACGCTTAATTTCCAACTTTCCTATCATCAGTCTTAAGTACACGAAAATTACATTCACGAATTCCGAGAAAAGCTTTGTTGAAAAACATTCTCCAATATCTGGCCAAAAAACATCATGTTCACATTAGTTTAACAATTTAATACCTGGCCAAAGAAAAATATGTTAACATTTTTGTAACAATTATATCAAACCCTTCTCAGTTGAAATAGGTTTGGGTATCAGGAAGTCTTGCACTTTTACAGTATAAAGGCATCTTTTCTTGTAGAACTTCGAAGTATATAATAAGCGACAGCGTTCACATCAACCTTTTCTACAAATATATTGTTTTTGCAAACTGTCTGCCGCTGCTCTCTGGAGGAAATGCGATTTTGAAAGCGACATTTTCCGGGGAATTGTATAGTATCCAACCCGAAATTCTTACGAACCGTTTAACTCATGTGCCTGTGCTGAAACTGTCATGCAACGATGATCGTTGCGTAACGATGTAAGGCACGTGCATGTGCCAGACTGATGCGTACTATATCAACTCACGTGCCGTCTCAGTACGCGACTTTCATCTCGTGTATGTGAGACTTTAAGTTGAAAACTCCTCTACCGAATACTCTTTTGCTTTTTTATTGAGGTAAACTGGTTTTTTTTTTATCCAAATGGAAAGAGTACAACATCGATCGTATGTCACAAATTGTGCGATGAAACTGCTCCAAAAATCAGGACAGTGTCGCAGCTGAACATGCGCAGCTCAGTGAATTCATTTTCGAAAGATTTCCATCAAAACGACCAACACTTCCTTGATTTAGAAGTCTCCTTAATTACGCTTCGAAACAAAATCTCCCTTTCTTTGATCTTTGTAGCAAAATAACCTCGACCCCTTAAAGCTGTTCATTTAATATCGTGATAAATAGCTGTTTATATCAAGAACAATATTGTTATACTTTAGAGCCAAATCTCGAGTAATTTGTTTCTCATATGTTGATTAGTCTAATCGGATCATATCTAATTTCAGACCAGTTATAGTGATGTATCTTCTGTGGCTAATTTCTATGATTGGCGCTGTCGCGTGTCAAGGTGAGTTTTCTGCAATAGTTTTTTTACCAATTTTTAACTCTGATATGATATTTCCTTTAACAAGATCTGTTCTGATGTGTTTCACGGCATTATTTTAGAGTGTAGGGCCAACAAATGTGTATTCTTTTTGCCAGATTTGTCCGATTCAACTGTCTAAAAATAATACGTCGACTGAAAACAATCAAGAAAACTCTAAAACTCATTATTACTTGGAATATCGCTGCTATTTAGTTTATAGTGATAAACGCTTTATACTGGGCTGCATTTTCACAAATAGTCAGCATGAAAATGTGATGACCAAATAATGAAGGTGAATCAATATTTACAATGATTTTAAGTGGTCTTGAGAAATATGGAGTTTATCAACTAATACATCAGGGGATAACTACTAATCAAATTCTTTCTACTTCCCAATTAGATTATGCCTACTTGTCTGATCAAAAAGGTAAGGTTACATGGAACCATTAACATCATTTGTATAGACTATGAACAGAAGATTATATGTGGAAAAATTGCAATATCATTTATCCAACTATAAAACCAGGCTTTCGTGTCTTTAAATTGAAAACATCAAGTGACCAAATCATAGATAGACTTTTTTCAATTCTGTCCGATGTCGTAAATAAACCATAGCCAATCACATAGCTCGTTATAAAACAAATGTAAACAAGGGACTATTTTCTTTTCCCAGTCCATTCGTATATTTTGAATACCCGCTGACTGCTAGTATTTCTTTTCATCAGCTCCAGGCCCAGCAAACTGGTCCCAAGTCTTCCCACAATGCGCCGGGCAACTTCAGTCACCTGTCAACATTGAGACAAAGAAAGTGAAGAAGAAAAGCTATCCTGATCTCGAAATCAGTTTTGACAACCCATGTGGCCGAGTAACTGGAAAGCTGCTTAATGGCGGCCATTCTCCTGTTTTCAACATCGACAGCTCAAAGGGGGGCGCTAAACTTAGTGGCGGTCCTTTAGAGTGTGACGAGTACGCTCTTCAACAATTCCATTTTCATTTTGGATGCGAAAACAATCGCGGATCAGAGCACTTGATTGACAACCAGACTTTCCCAGCTCAGGTGTGTAGTAGTTCTTGTAATCAGAGGAAAAATAAAATTACCAAGTGTCGCTATGAATAACGCTCAAGAAGTGCACCAGAAAAAATCGTTTAAAATCGATCTTAAAACTTTATCAGCAGTCACAGAATTCTTTAATTGTTTAAACTGCCTTCACCGTGAGAAAGTCTCACCTTAAAAGTCTCAACAATAGTTTAGATTACTCTAGTTTATTTCAGGCATCAACACAATTTTTATTCTGTCTTTTTCCCGTTTTACCAATCCTGCTAACTAATGTTTCTTTATCTGATTTTCTTCAGCTTCATTTGGTTTTCTATAACAAAAAGTACAACTCCTTCAAGGACGCAGTGGATAAACCGGACGGTTTAGCAGTTTTGGGAATCCTTCTCACGGTATGAACTCATGAGAGTTTCCAACAACATATACTTGTCTAATGATTTGGACTTTTGCATGTTGATAAGTTAAACTAAACACTGGATTAGCTCTACAAACAGCTTGAAAATGCTTTTTTTGTGTATTGTTTTGCAGGCCGCCTGCCCAGGAAACAGGGTTCTAGGAAATTTAGCCAATAAACTGAAAAAAGTGATTGACGAAGGTAAATCGGGAACTTTAATCGAAGAAAACATTTAATCATGGAGTGCAATTAGTTTAAAGTTTTAAAACAGACTTTCTGAAATAAGGCTCATTTGAGATTTACCTTGTATTTTGTTTGAAGTTTTTTCTATATTTGCAGTCTCTTAAGCAATTCTAAGACCACAGGCCCTTTTTACTGAGATTGCAATGATTCGCCTGTGCATCACTTTATCACAATAATTAGATGAATACTATCATCGCCTTAGTTTCGAGTTTAAACTCTTCTCTGTGTTCCATTGACGTCTCTTGATCGTCTTGATCATTTCAAGGTGCCAGCACCAATGTAACCGCTGCGGACGGCATTAAACTGAATTACCTCATGCCCTATAATAACAAACAAGTCGACGAGGATGAAGATGAAGACGAAACCGATGATAATGACGTCGCTAACAGCAAAGAAGATGACGATGAAGAAAGCAAAAAGAAAATACGTTACTACACCTATAAAGGCTCCCTTACCACCCCTCCCTGCTATGAATCTGTCACCTGGATCGTTTTCAAGGACAAAGTCAAAATTTCTAACACTCAGGTTAGTTGCAGGAAGTGTAAACGAAAAAAAAAAACAGATATAATTGGCAAGATGACTAAGAAATGGAAAAAAGAACAAAACTATACTTAGTTACAGAAAAACGGCTGGGATGCAAGTATACTAATTTAAAAGAGTGGCGTCCATACTCGATTTTTAAAAACAATATAAAATGGGAAAAGTGCCATATATAATTTCTTATCATTCCTTGTAGTGGTTTCTGGAGCTGACTCATTTCTGCTTTATTTAATTTGATGGTTCCAACCAACCATGAGTTTTATGCAAGTAACCGTGACTGGTTTCAACTGTTCAATCAACTTTTGTCTTTTACGAGCCAAACCCAAGAGTTCCTCTACATTTTCATGTCGGCCAAAGACACAAAAGTCAACCATTTGCTTTTTGGTTTGTAGTCCAAGCCGTCAAAAAAAAAACTGTAGAGAAGGAAATTGTTGTACTATTTCTGTTCGACAAAGGTCAAAGCGAAAATATTTTTTCTTCTTTCCTCAGCTCAACAAGTTCAGGAAACTGAAGGCTCAGCACGGTGGTGCCCCTGGTTTGATGTGTGACAACATTCGACCGGTACAACCGCTGTACAAACGCAAAGTGTATTCTGTCGTCTCAAGCAGGGACTAAACACCCACAGCAGCTCAGTAACACTTGTAGTGGCCCTGATTGTTCGAAGGGTAGATAATGCTATCTAATGGATAAATCTCTATCAGTGGATAGCAAATTAAAATTACGTTTTGTTAACCTCTACCCGCTGGAGAGCATTATTTAGTTCCTTCGGACAACCGACGGCAGGTCTTGCTTCGAAAAGGAGATTATTGAATAACAATAGTTAATTATCTTAGAAAAATGTGTAAATATTGTTGTAACTGATTTTAAAATATTTCTTTTTTTTTTATCTGAGACTAATTTTTTATTATAGAACGATTTTATCAATATTTAAGAACTTTTTTTCACCGTTAGCATTAGCAAATTATACAAGCTTGATTAAAACTATTTATATTTAGCACTGCGCTACTTTTGTATGAAATTCGAATTCAGCTGTTAGATATCTTTTGCAAAGGATTCTGTTAAATAAAAACAGTTTGACATTCTTAACTGGGTCGTCCTAATTTTCTTTCACCGGGTTAATACATGATTGTACTGTCCATACTCTGACTGAAATTTAAATAACGGTATAAAAACAACATAAAATCCATATATTTGACCTTGCAAATTATAATTTTGACTTTTTCAAGGATCAACAGACGAAATGTAGGATTTGTTACGATGAGTTCAGTGAGACTGAAGGCAGGTTTTTCATCTAAATTTACAAACACTTTAGCAACATAAAATGTATTCACAATTTTCATGTAGGATGGACACCACCACATACATCCATTGCAATTCCATATTAAAAATACATTCCGATACCTTCAGAGATGTAGATAATTCTAGATGAATCATAGTGCTTCCAACCATATGCTAAATCAATTAGGTAATTTTGAACTTAATCAATGTAACTTTTATCTCAAACACTTTCCACCTATAAAAATGATTTTTTTTTCTCCGCATTATTCAAAGTGCTTCTTTCTTCGGTCTCTTCAACTGAACAAAGAATCAATTGGCTTACTGATTCGAAAGAAAGATTCATGGTTTCATTTCTCCCCATCCCCTATCCAATTCTATCTTCGTTGAATGAGCTCCTTTAAGAATAGATACAGACTCCTCAATTCTGTTATTATAATTTAACATTCTGTCATATTTCGCTTTCCCTAGAATGACAACTTAACATTATAATCTGTCACTTGTGAATGGAATGACTAACTGCCTAAATTATAGTGAACTTCCTACCATGACATTCGAAGGTTGCTTTTTTTCAGAAATGAATACCAAACTCCCTTCGGCTCTTCACCTTTAAAACACACTCAGTTACTCCTGTTACATCTTAAGAATCACAAAAAAAACTTTGTATAAAAAGAGAGCAATGAAATTTATTTTATTTAATGTGAATATCTTTCAATTTTTTGCCACCAATCACGTTTTCTTCACTTTTTATTGAATTACTTTGAATTAAAAGCCTGGTCTTCGTCGGCTGAAGTTGGTTTCCTGGGTTTGATATTTAATTGAGGAGCTAGCTTGTTAAATTAAGAGGACTCACCGCCGAACCATGGCGACGCTATTTTGGAACATGGCACCGTGAGAACAGAACAATCTTTGAAGTTCACAACAATATTGTTTTCGCTCACAAGGAAGTTGAAATTGTAAGATACGAATGCTGAAGTACCAGATGAGCGATCAAATTAAACGTTTCATTCAATGATATCGTTAGCTTGTACGCTTGTAATATTAAACTCTACTAAACCTACATATATACATTTATGCATGATTGGCTGCCAGCATGGCGTGAATTTGGACCTGGACCAATCACAGAGCAGAGAAGCTCACATGTAATCATGTCAACACCGTGCTATTCTGGGCCTGAGATGCTTTTTTTTCTAATTTTACGCGTTTAGTAACTAACGCTATCATTTAACGAATAGCTTGTGCTTAAAATAAGACCAACATTGTGACCGTGAGCTGCCGAAATGATTGTAACGGTTCCCTTTTACTCAATGTCATGATCATGAAATATTAGGAAGCTGTACATCATTGAATAACTGAGTAATATTTGAAATGTATCTTTGCTTCTTCTCTTTCATTTTGTTTTGCCAATAAGACCAGCAGCAAAAAAAAAAAAAAAACAGGAGCAAAATGCAGTTTTAACCCAGTATTGTAAAAGATAATTTATCCTTTCTCAAAATAAAATTCATTAGCTGTGTGACCTTGCCGGCTTACAATATTATTGCTCGAATTGAAAAAGTTTCCTCCTCAAATAGTGTATTCTGAAGCTCCTCTGTTCTGCAATAGTTAACTATGAATTTTGGGACATTCATTCATTTCAAACACACCACTATGCTTCACTACACTTGTCTACTCTGTTCTAGTAATTAAAAAAACACCGTCTGCAGTTGTACATTCTCTAAATGTTATTTGGTTTGTGTTTTATCATTAGCGCTTTGATACAGATCAAGCCATGGAGCTGTTTTTATTGGAACAGCGGTCAGTGGATTCAAATAGTGACCGTCTAATCTCGTTGTGTACATTCACCTGGCTTCCGTCAACAGTCTTTAAGCCAACAGTTTGTATCATTAACGGCTGTGGCAGTGGTAAAAGACATCTGCAGTCGCTCGAACTCTCATTACATTTTTTAACTCAATGCAAGTCCAAGTTAACCAAGTCCTGACGTAGGAACTTATATCTTGTCTAAGATGAGCTACGTACGACGGCTGTTTATTACCACGGTAGCACAATTATAAAAGATTTAACACTATCTGAAAACTATGGATCATGTTTATTCGATGGAGTCATAACAACAACAATGATAATAAAAGCGATAATACTGACAATATATGATTTTCATACACATATACAGTCATTTATTCATCACTTCACGGGTTTATTTCGAGCCAAAATTTGGCTTGTTAGCTCAGCTAGTAGGGCGCTGCACCGGTATCGCAGGGTTCAAATCCCGTACAGGCTTGAATTTATTATTTTTTTGGCCTTATTTTCACTATTGCTTAAGTAGAGCTCATTACTGCGAAGATCGCTTCCATTTTCAATGATGATAATAATAGTAATGATAATGACAAGAGCAGCAAGGCTTGTCATAATGTTTATAATAGGTTTAGTGGGATGCCAAGATGTTTATAGCCGAAGAACATGACAGTTAACCGCAATGAATTTGGAAATTTGACTTATAACGGAATGGAACCTCTTCAGTGACTTGACATCTTACTTGGGCTGAGTCATATACGTTGCGTGTAATATCATAAAACTTGCTTTCCACATAGAAATGAATTGTTATGGAGACACAATGTTTATAAACATAACGATATTTTACTCAGTAGAAAACTGTAAAATATACTTGCTAAAATACACATGTAAGAAAGGAAGTTCCTTTAGGAGAGACGTAGGCACCAATTTTAGCGCTCAAAGAATCAACTTGAACAATATCTAGAATAAAGTATGGGCGGGCGGTATAACAGAACATATCGAATAGATTGCCATCTCCAGCGGTTAGCTATATCGCACATTAAGTTTAAACGGTAGTCTGAGGCGCTGAAAAGCGGTCCTTTGAAGAAGCATTCTTTCGTGATGTGCAATATTTTATCAACGTGAAGGGACTTAAAATCGAAATGATGATAAACAAATGAGGAACGAATGTAGCAGAAGATGGAGAAGAATAGCGCGCACTGGAACGATGGCAAAACTCTTAGGATGTACTAACAACGACAGGGTGCTCAATAAAGCTTTAACCAAACTGCTTCGTTTCAGTTAAGAGTTAATTTCCTGACTATTAGAAATCAAGATTTCTTTGACGCAAATAGTTTCCTTTAGGATATTATTGACTGTACATTGGTTCCCGACCATTTTATCTTGTATTTAGTTTCCTGGAAACACCTCCTATAGCTGAGGAAATAAAATCTACCATGTGACAGCAATAAGGAATCGAAAGAAAAACATTAGTATAATAATTAAATCGTTTTATGAAAAAACTTTATCATAAAAGCGACGGATAAAGGAACTAGATATATTGGCTTTCCTCATCCGAATGCTAAACCTTAAGTGAGAGAAAAAAAGTGGATATCTCCGAGTTTTAGTCATTCTTCAGAAAAAAAAGAAAATGCTCTCTTCAATCTAGAATTTAAGTCAAAATTTAAGGCCTTCCTTTTAGACTATAATTAAAATGATTGAACTTATCTGGATATGATGACACAGAAAATTCCTCCAGCTGTTTCACTTTTTCCTTCATTTTTGAAACGGAGAGATCGTTCATTAAAAGACACAGGATTTTTCTGAGAAATTTTGTACAAAATGGAACTCGACCACAACTTTAAAAGTCGTGTAAAGTTTACTTTAAGTGGAAAATGTTGATATTGAAATAATTTGCTGACCTTTTAACAAGAACATCAACATTGCCAATATAATTCACCCATGTAAGCTTACGTAATAAAAATAGATATTTCATATCGATCGGGAAAAGTGTCTTTTCTCAGGTTTTACTCTTGACTTTTGCTTAAAGATCAAATTGAGAAGTCAAAAAAGCGTCAGAAAATTTTAAGAAAACTATTTGCCATCAAAAAAGATAACACCATAGGGCTCCAAGTGGGTTTTTACTCAGCTAACGTTCAGAAGTTGAAAAATATTTTATCAAGTACTGCAAGTTGTCTAAATATAGAAATATACCATTGATTCTGCGGTTGAAAAGTGTACTTTATTGATCATGTAAACATTTCCCATTTCCCTTCCGCTCGTTGTAAGAGCTTATTGAGCTGGACTATCCATTTTTTTTAGAACTATCATTTTTATTTGAAGAATTTAGCAACAACAATAAAAAAAAAAGCTCAAAAGAATCTTCAACAAAAACAAACTAGGGAGATGCACGTGCTGAATTTAAATGGCTTGGAAAACATACACGCCTTGATCACGTGCTGCAGACGCATGTCGTGGCAACTGACTATAAATATAATAACATGAATAAACGATAGGTATAAAGAGTTAAAATTGCATGTTTGTCCAATCAGAAGCTCCCTTTGCTGATAGTATATTACAGTGATATTCTTTTGCTAAAAAATGAATCGCTAAAATGTCTTTTTGCAGTGTTGTTTGAACATCACAAGTTTATGAGGTTTAGCTTTTCACTGTGCTATTCCGTGGGAGTTCAATTTAAAAGATTCTTACATGCTACAGTGTGAAAGAAGGATTTTTTGATTGATGTAAATATTTATATTTATTTTTGTCTATAGTAACCGCTGAGAGACACAGAGAGCTCTTATGTCTACAAGTGAGGAATATTGAATCAATACTATTTTGACAATGATAAATGACGTTATGGATATTTTGCATATGATACTGATCGATTTCGACTCCATAAATTTCGCTGCAACGAAATCAAAAAGCACATTCATAGACACTAGCCAAAGAAAACAGATCCGAAATTGGAGAAGTCTTTTCCAGAAGCGAAGAATTTCAAGTGAGTGGAGAAATTTCAGTTTTTATTTGCTGTCAACTCACATAATTTCATACTTTAGGCTTTTTATGTTGTGGCAGCTTCTTTTTCGATTTTGAGTTTTTGTAGTTTTATGGTTAAATTGACACTTTCTTTTTTTATCAATTTTCTCTGTGTCCATAAATTTTACATACATTTCTTTTTGCCTAAGTGTTAACAAAATATATAGCTAAACTTTATTAGCTTGGCGTCACGTTCAGATAATTTAACTAAATGCCATCGGTAAAAACTTTATAACTAGAGCTAAAAGAATGCTGTAGTCGCCATATGATAAATCTCTTACTCTGATAATGTTACCGCACCAAAAGTTTAAAAAGTTTTATTCAAGATGGTCATGTTTAAGGATCAAACTGAGTTCGAGACTAGCACGGTTTTTGTAAATCTGCCAACAGTCAGAATTTTCTCTGATGTTTAACTTCTAGATTAGCACCTTAAACAAGAAGAAGTCTAAAAACTATAATGATGATAGCAATGTTAGCAATATACACCTATCGGCATTTTTCCCATGGGTTACAATTGGTTGTCGCATTCGGCTTTATTTTCCAACTTTCCCGTCATTGGTTTCACGTAGGTGAACGATGATCACATTTAAAAATTCCCAAAAAGCACTAATGAAAATTTTAAACTAATACTTGGCTACAAAAAACCATGTCCACCTTAGTAAACAATTAAATCAAACTATTCTTGAAACAGGGTAATTTAGTGTTATTTAGTGTCATCGCTCTGACGAAGGGCTAACGCTCAAAACGTCAGTCTTCAAACTCTTTACGGTGGCCAATTTACGTTTTCAACTCAGTTGATAACACAAAATTAGCCTGTTAAACTCTCCCACCAATCTAGTGCCACAGTTTCTTTGGAAACTTACCCCCTTTGTTCTTGAAACAGGTTTCTTTATCAAATCTTAACATTCTAAAGGTTAAAATTTAACATCTTTTCTTAGGAAATTCGAAGTTATTGTAATAAGCAGTAAAACAAGGGTTCACCAAAGCTTTATTGTAAATTTGTTTCGTAAACTCTGTTGCTGGAAAATGTGATTTTGAAAGCGACATTTCTTGGGGAATTTTCTAGGATTCTACATCAAATTATTACGAGCCTTTCAACTCACGTGCCTGTTGCTAAAATATTATGCAACAAGGATTATTGTGTATTATGCACGTGCATATGCTAGACTGATGTCTACCGTATCAACTCACGTGCCAGCAGAGCACAGACCTATATTACGCACGTGAGACATTAAGTTGAACCCCCCTCCACCCCTACAAATACTCTTATGATCATACTTTTTTATTTAGTTAGATTGTCGCTTTCTCTGATTTTTTCGAAATAGAAAGAGTGAATCATCGATCGCTTGTGAGAAATCGTGGAACGAAATTGCTTCTAACAACAGGGCAGTGTCACAGCTGAGCATGCGCAGTTTAGTGATTTCAATTCTGAGAGATTTGTAGAAAGTTCCTCATGCAACTTCCTAGATTTTTAGAGGTTTCGTCAAATTACGTTTCGAAACAAAATCACTCTGCCTTTGAACCTTGAGTCATGAAGCTGTTTCTTCAATATCGGGATAAATGGTCGTGTTTTTCATGAACAATATTGCTATCCTAGTAATAAAATATCAAGTAGCTTGTTTTTCATATGCTGATTAATCTAATCGGGTCATATTTATTTTCAGACCAGTTATAGCGATGTATCTTCTGTGGCTAATTTCTATGATTGGTGCTGTCGCGTGTCAAGGTGGGTTGCCTACCATAATTTTTGAGAAGTTTTTTATTCTGATGCTATTTTGTTTATTGTAACTAAAATTATATATTTTTGCAAAGATGATTAGCAATAGAAAGTGATAGCCAATATTAAGTGGTGACAGTGAATCAATATCCACAACGATTTAAATTAAGTCGCTTTGAGATATGTAGTTTCTGTAGGAATTTACTAATTGTATTCTCTTCACTTTCTCGTTTAGATTATGCCTACCTGTCTGATCAAAAAGGTAAGATTAAATCTAATTCATGAATCTAATTCATGAACAATGAGCAGTCCCTATGTAAAAAATTGCGATATAAGTCATTTAGCCAACTACGAAACTAAGCTTTGCTGCCTTGAATTTGAATAGCTCACATAATCATATCAGTTCAAATCTATTCGATGTCGTAAATAAACTATAGTCAATCGCAATCAGTCAATAAAAAAATAGTAAACAAGAAACATTTTCTTTCCCCAGCCCATTTGTATATTTTGAATACCCGCTGACTGCTAGTGTTTCTTTCCATTAGCTCCAAGCCCAGCAAACTGGTCCCAGATCTTTCCAAAATGCGCAGGGCAACTTCAGTCTCCTGTCAACATTGAGACAAAGAAAGTGAAGAAGAAAAGCTATCCTGATCTTAAAATCAGTTTTGACAACCCATGTGGCCGAGTGACTGGAGAGCTGCTTAATGGCGGCCATTCTCCTGTTTTCAACATCGACAGCTCAAAGGGGGGCGCTAAACTCAGTGGCGGTCCCTTGGAGTGTGACGAGTACGCTCTTCAACAATTCCATTTTCATTTTGGATGCGAAAACAATCGCGGATCAGAGCACTTGATTGACAACCAGACTTTTCCAGCTCAGGTGTGTAGCAGTTTTTGTAATCAAGAGAGAAAGTAAAGTATACTCCTTAATGTATACTCATTAATTTTCATGCCTTTTGATAACGAGAGTGTAAGATTTGTTCTTTAAGGCCATTAATAATAAATGTGCTGGTCAAGACTAGCCATCAATTTTTATTTTCACTTTTCCCATTTTACCAATCCTTCCTTTTAATGTTTCTTTATTTGTTCTTTTTCAGCTTCATTTGGTTTTCTATAACAAAAAGTACAACTCCTTCAAGGATGCAGTGGATAAGCCGGACGGTTTAGCAGTTTTGGGAGTCCTTCTCACGGTATTAACTCATAAGATATTTTTCAACCATATACTAGAAAAAAAAAAGTACTAACTGATCAGATTCCTCCACGGGAAAGAAGGAACCCTCTGAAATGTACCAGGCTCCCATCGTGTGACTTAGTGCTCAGTTGGTAGTGGCGCCCAATCTGTATCTGTTAGGCCTGTTCGAATCCAGTAGATTTCTGAATTTTTTCCAAGCTCCTTATCTGCAGCGCCTAAAATTTCAGCTCACCCGCGAAGATCGTTGCTTTATTTGATACATACTATTGATTTGGACTTTTACATTTTGTAAACGAAAAGTAGATATTGTTTTCGCTCCTAAGAAAAATTAACAATGCTTTTTCGTGTTTTTGCAGGCAACATGCCCAGGGAACAGGGTTCTAGGAAATTTAGCTACTAAACTGAAGAAAGTGATTGACGAAGGTAACTAGAGGGACCTGGTTTTAACAGAGGGAAAATGAGGGAAACATTAATGAAGTGTGATTAGGTTAAAGTTTACGAAATGACCCCTGTTAGAGATAGTACTCGTCTTTTTTTTGACGTCTTCCAATACTTTTAATTGCTTAAGCAACGCAATACCACAAGGACCTTTTGACAAATATTATTTTGATCAACCAGTGAATCATTTTATCTCGATAAGCAGATAAACATTCTTATAGCCTTAGTTCCCAGTTTAAACTCTACTAGATGGTCCACTAACGTTTCTTGATCGTCTTGATCATTTCAAGGTGCCAGCACCAATGTGACCGCTGCGGACGGCATTAAACTGAATTACCTTATGCCCTACAATAACAAACAAGTCGACGAAGATGAAGATGATGATGAAGACGAAACCGATGATGATGACGTCGCTAACAGCGAAGAAGATGACGATGAAGACAGCAAAAAGAAAATACGTTACTACACTTACAAAGGCTCCCTTACCACCCCTCCCTGCTATGAATCTGTCACCTGGATCGTTTTCAAGGACAAAGTCAAGATTTCAAACACTCAGGTTAGTAGCGCATGGTGTGGAATTGCGAAGGGAAAGAAAAAAGATATTAGCATCCAAAACCGATAAAATTAATTTCGAGTGTTTAGTTGAACGCGCTAGAGTTCAAAGTTTTAAAGATCTAATTTAACAAATTCCAACCCACCGCGAGTTTATTGCACGTAATTTTGTCTTGTTTCAGAGAGCTTTTGTGTTTTATAAACTAAGTCTGAGTTTCCTATGAGTTTTTATGTCGGCCTAATCAAAACACCGAAAAGAAAACGTTTGTAGTCCGCATGACTGTCAAAGATGCAAGCGGAGCTTGTTGCACCCTATCTGTTGACAAAGGTAACTAAGAAACCTTTTTTTTCTTCTTTCTTCAGCTCAACAAGTTCAGGAAATTAAAGGCTAAGCATGGTGGTGCTCCTGGTTTGATGTGTGACAACATTAGACCGGTACAACCGCTGTACAAACGCAAGGTGTATTCCGTTATCTCAAGCAAGGACTAAACAACCGAAAGCAGAGTATGAAACTTGTTCTGGTCTCGCTTTGAAAAAAGATAAATTGAAGGCGCAAATGAAAGTTTGTTATTTAAGAAAAAGGTATACTTGAAAATCGTTGCTACGAGTAATTACAAATTTGTTTTAAGCGAGGAATATATAAATATTTAAGAATTCAGTTTTCACCAGGAGCAACTATATATGAATTAATTTTAATTTTAGGTCTTGATAATTAGCACTGTGGTACTTTGAAATGGTTATTGGACTGAGTGGAGCACAATTTATAAATATAACAGGACTAGTTGGAATTTAGTTCGGTCCGTGATCATACTCGTGCATGACAATTTTTTTTTGATGACTCGTATGATTACAGACCGACTTTAATTCCATTTAGTCCTATTATCATTATTAATTGTGCTCCAGTCATCTCTTTAACTATTTCAAAGTACCACGGACGGCACACAGTCCTGTTACCAATTAATCAAAACTATGACAAAATTTGAGAAAGAAACTAGACAATGGTTATATGTTTTCATAGAAAAACGATAGTTAACTCGGCGAAATGCGCGACAACAGCACTGTCCACTTTTGTAAGCATGATGTGTCAACAATTCTATTTCACTGCTTAATCACAAGCATGACACGTACACTCTCCTATTAGTGCTCAAATCGGGCTGGAATGACGAGAATTTTGTTCTAATTTTTTATAAATAATGGTAATAGGACTTCGTGTTGTCCAATTCTGTTGTAATCATACTCGTCCGATTTTGTTATTCACTCGTATTACAGACCGAATTGCACTCCATTTAGTCCTATTACCATTATTTATAAAAAATTATAACAAAATTCTCGAACGTCATTGGTTATCACCAGCCCGATTCGAGCATTAATAGGAGAGTGTACGCGTCATGCTTGTGATTGAGCAGTGAAATAGGATTGTTAACACATCATGCTTACAAAAGTGGACAGTTCGCGTCATGTGCACGCGCTGTTGTCGCGCATTTCGCCGAGTTAACTATCGTTTTTCTATGAAAACATATAACCGTTGTCTAGTTTCTTTCTCAAATTCTGTCATAGTTTTGATTAATTGGTAACAGAACTGTGTTAAAACTATGACAAAATTTGAGATAGAAAATAGACATTGGTTATAAGTTTTCGTAAAAGAAAAGCAACAATTAACTCGGCGAAACGCGAGACAACAGCGTGCGCACATGACTCGTTCTGTCCAGTTACACAAAGATGACGTGTTGACTGTCCCTTCAATTGCCCTATTACATGCACTTTCCAATTACAAGCATGACGCGTACACTGTCCTATTAGCGCTCAAATCGGGCTGGTGATGACCAATCACATTCAAGAATTTTGTCATAGTTTTGATTAGTAATGGTAACAGGACCACGAGGAGTCCAATTCGGTCTGTAATCGAACGAGTGATTAACAAAATCGTACGACCGCGAAGCGGGTGTCCGATTTATTAATCACTCGTACGATTACAGACAGAATTGGACGACACGAAGTCCTGTTACCAATTCATCAAAACTATGACAAAATTTGAAAAAGAAACTAGACATGGGTTGTACGTTTTCATGCACGTGACGCGTTCTATCCACTTTCACAGGGATAACGTGTTAACTGATCAATAATGGTAATAGGACTGAGTGGAGTCCAATTCGTAATGGTAATTGAACTGAGTGGAGTGCAATTTGGGCTAAAATCATACACGTGATTTCAAAATCGAACGAGCGCGCAGTGCGAGTTCAATTTGAAATCACAAGTATGATTTCAGACCAAAATTGCACGACACGAGATTCAATTACCACTTTATTACATCCATTTTGAAATCGCCCAAATACAGGATTTGGTCAGTTCAAATATTTTATTGATGTAGTACTGAGCTGGTTTGAAATTAAATTCATCCTTTTTTTGGGGGGGAAAATAAGAGTTTTAGAAATTTGTTTTTAGTGTAGCCTCCTCATTGACTGGAAAAGGATGCGATTTAAGGCAAAAAATTGGGTGATTCGTGAATAAATCGCACCAATTAGAGCAAATCAGATTACAGGGACCACCAGTGATTTCAAAATGGGTGTAATAAAGTCTGTAATCATACGAGTGATTAACAAAATCTGACGACCGCGAAGCGGGAATCTGATTTGTCAATAACAAGTATGATTACAGACAGAATTGGACAACACAAAGAAAATATTAAAATTTCCGAAAACAACAAATACATTTAGGAGAAATATGTGCAGTAGAGACAATGTCGAAGTAAAAAAAATTTCTCAACTTTGGAAATTTCAAAACTTTTTTAGGATAAGTGGTTGTTGCTTTGGTTAATGTGATCACTTCTGTGATTGGTGGATTTGACCGAAAGGACTAGGTAAGATTGGCTGCTTCAACTGTCCGATTACAGGTGTCTGATTACAGCCAACTGTCTGATTACAACTCTACAGAATGACTAGTGAAAAATAAAGCAGCTACTATATACTGCATCAATCATATTTGAGAAAAATGTAATGATTAAGGAAGTAATCTGCCGAGTGCGTGGCGCGAGGTTTGTTTGAAATCACGGACACGATTACAACTGAATCGTGTGACACAAAGTCCCATTACCAATTAAGTGTGTCTCAATAACGAAATGCGGGAAACTCAGAAATGAAAAATTTAATGTAGGAGCTCATATACGTTTTTTATTTATAAATGACCAACCTACTGTTCAATTTTCTAAAGTTTTCTGTCGTAATCTACACCTGTCAACTTACTCATTTAAGACTTTTTTCTTGATTTTGAGTGGCTAACTTAGGGTAGATAGTCGAATTTCCTTGGCTAAGCCTAAAGTGCTTGGTCTTCGTTGGATGCTTAACTGAGGTTTTAACTGTCCGATTTGGCCTTTCCAACTACAAGAGCTTGTAGTCGACAGGTAAAATTGGACAGTTTAGACCTAAGAGAGCGAATTAAGCCACACATAAGGGCTGCTGGGAACCAATCACATTGGATCATTTTGTTATTGACACAATTATGTATGAAATCCAGCCTTTAGATATGTTGTTGCTAAGGGCTCTGATGAATAAAAAAACAGTTTGACGTTCTTAAATGAGTTCTCCTAAGTTTATTTCAACAGTTTAATGCACAAATGTACTGTCGATGCCCTGATTGATCATGCAGTTAACTGAGCAGACACCTATTCTTTAACAGCCTCCAATTTGACAGTTCCTAAACACGTGCACACGAATTAAATTCAAATAATAAAACATTAAGGAAAAAAAATTAATCAAAGATGATAACAACATTACCCTGGACAAAGAGGCTACGACTACATATCGTCCTCTTTTATATTCTAAAAGAAAATGAGCCTGGAAGGAAAGAGGACGTTGAGGAATTAATTTCTATTCCTTTTTACTAATGAGTACACGATTTTAAATTTAGTAAGGATCTAAATTAAGTATCGGGACTAAAAAAAGTCCTCTGGACCCTTCCAAAAGTCAAGGAATGAATTTTTTGTGTGTTTCGAGGGAAGGCTACCTTAGAGCCATTAAAAGCCTATGGACTGAAAAAAAAAACCCTTTTGGGAAAAAAGGACATTGTAGCATCATATCACCTCGCCAGAATAACTTTAGCCATGACGAGTGTGTTCAGATCCCTGGCCATTTTCACAACTGAAGTGCAAGTGTAACTCCACTAATCTGTAGATGTCTGTAAGCCGACTCCCTTTAAGTCTCGTTGTTCCTTTGTTCTTATCTATAGGAAAACTGGGATAGTTTCCATTGTTTTCCAGGTTCCATAAGACCAGGCCCCCGGGGTTGTCGAATTCTATTTTGAGAGTTAGGGACTGTATGTTCGTCACCGAAGTCGTGTCGATGTTAATCGGCGATTACCACCATATAAATCCCATTTTTTATACCAATCTAATGGACTGGGAAATGCAAAGAAATAGATATCAATGCCTTAATGTAGAATGTTCTTATCAGGGGCCCGTTTCTCGAAAGTCCTGGCCAGTAACTTGACGGGCCCAAAGCCATCTCTTAAAATAAAAATTTAAAGAATAAAGGGCTGGTTCTGTCACCCTAGCCAGTCCATTTTGTTTCATTAGCTGCTAGTTTTATTGTATAATTTTTAAAAATGTTTCAATTCCCGTCTTGCATGAAAACAGATCTTTGAGAAACGGGTCTCAGGAGAGGTAAGTTCCAGAGATTCTCAAAATTTTTTGATATTCATGGAATTTTAATTCTAGCTGCAGCTGCGATTAAAAATTTCAAAGAGTAACGTAACTGCTCGCCTCCTCCTCGCTCTCTTCGTTACACAAACGAAGTATGGAAACGATATAACTTTTCCTTCAGTCGCTGTCTTCTTTCTGTTGGAAATCTAGACTACTCTCAATCTGGCTTTAGAAAGAACCAACTCTGGTACTGATGATTGGGAGTAACTTAATAAGCGATGATTACCCCATAAAATTGATATTTAATTTTATTTAATTGAAAGAGTGTCATTATAATCGATAATAACCTCACAAAACTGATACTTGGCACTATCAGTGCAATATTTGTTATTTGATACTGCAGGTTGTTGGTCACAGAAGGTATACAGAAAATTAATGAGAGCGATATTCTTATGACAAAAAACAAAATAAATATATACTTACTTACTGTATGGACGATAGATGCGGTCGATCAGAATCGTAGGGAAGACTTAGACTGAACGTTAAACCGAAATTGTTCTCACTTTTATCAAGACTCGCATGAAATAACTAACAAAAGATATTTGCCTTTTTATGTTTATTTGTTTTGCTTTTTTGGTTTTTTTTTTCTTCACTGTTAAATGGCAACAACAACCGCTTTTTTAATGTCATGTTTCACCATGACTATCTTACGCACTGGTTTCCTAGAATATGTCAGCAGTTTTTCTGGATTTCGAAGGTTTTCGAAAAATCTCAAAATCCAAGATGGCAAATTCTAAGTTGTGACGCGAGACGACGACACAGACAAAAAAATTTATTTTCTGTAAGCTTTGCAATTACTGAGCTTTTGGCTTTATGATCAACGAGAAGGTGATGAGGCTCAATGTATAGTTGATGAGGGTCAATGAGTAGTTGATGAGGGCAGAGTGGAGAGAACTTCTCATCTTCAGCTTTTAACGAGTAGAATAAAACGTAAAATGGAATAAAAATAACTCGTAATTTTTCAATTCTTGTTGACTTTATTAAACTGTGTAGTTAGTCCGCCAACTGATGAAATTTACAATTTCATTTCATTACTTCAAGTTAGTGACGGAATAAACTCGGCGGCCATTCCGCGGCTGAAGTGGTCTGTAGTTGTCACACATGGCCGGGGGGTCCTTGGGATAACGGCCCTCCAATGTCCTGAACTGCGACAGCTGTAAAAGAACAAAGAGAAACAGATGAAGTTGTTTTACTCGTGTATTTATTGAATTGACCGCATTCTATTCTAAAGAAAATACTGAAGATTTTGTTTGACTCCTAAGAGTTTCTCCCTACAATATTCCCACTGAATCAGACATGAAGGTCACGAGAATATAATGGAAACGATCTGCAACGAAGCTCTTTATCTTTTGTGGAAGTCTCCTTGTCATCTGTAATTGCATTGTTTCAATCATTAGCTGTATATCTATACTCCTCTCAACCAATTAGTTGGAAAGCTAACATATTACTATTCACGACTTTATCACTCTCTTTTTCCCGCCCTTTTATGTTTATTTGGAATATTTCCAAGCTTAGTTTGCACGTCCCCCCCCCCCGCCTTATGAAAAATTTATGGTCCGCCCCTGCTGTTTCATAAATACCTCATAGTCCGTAATAGGAACTCTTGGTTTCAAAATGAACCATGACACATTTTCGCAGCAGGGAGGGGTGGTTAGGGAGCCTTTATAGTAGTAATAGTCTGCCAATATCAAGGTTTTTCGTTGCCGACTTTTGTGTGGTATAAGATCCATCAGAGTAATTCCAATCGCCTTCTTTATTTCCGTAGACTGATCTGTGGAATCAATTTTTAATTTCAATATTTTCATTCCACAAAACTCAAAAGCAGAGAACTGAAAAACTGAGTTTTCCATGAATCAAGAAATGACTACTTTCGTATTTTCAAAGCGCAACATTGGAAGCCGCGAAAAATTGGTTTAAGAAGCTTCTACGAAAACAAATGAAACAGTGTTTAACAAAACAGCTTTAAAACATATTTAATCTTTGGTGTGGATGGAGTATACATTTTAACTCACTTACCGACTTCTTTAATCTTTTCCAGCTGATTTGCAAACCTTCCTAGAATCACGTTTTCTTTCGTAGTAGAATGCTGAACAAGAAAATTAGGTAAGAATACAAACAAAGCGTTACAAAAAATACGTTACAAATTATTAAACCTTCTTTTCCGCCATTCCCATTCATAAATTAGAAAGAGATTTTCGTCTTGTATATTCGGAAAGGCGTTCCGTAATGTAATATTAGATGGAAATAAAAGCTGGGTACGGTATCACTGCCCTTCCTTCGAAAAATCCCCAAGATACCGAATTAAGTTAAAGTAGTAAATGGGCGAATATTCTGCTTTGTCGTGTTACGGCTGGCGAACGTAGACTGAGTCAGAAATGATTTTCCATTCGAAGGTTTTCTGTAGTTTGATGCAGTTTGCCGGGGCGACACCTATTCCTTTCACAACCATCAATTTTACGGTTCCTGGACTAGAAACAAAATTATATATAAATCATGTGATGATCAGTTTTTACCCTGAGCCAAAAGGCTACGACTGCATATCGTCCACTTGGATCTTCAAAGAGAAAATGAACCTGGAAGGAAAGCAGAAGTTCTGCCAATGAGTATTGGAATTTTAACAGAGATCTAAACTGAGCATTGGGACTAAATGAAAGGCCTCTGGTCCCTTCCACAAATCAAAACGTGAATTTTTTGTGCGATTTGAGGGAAGACGCGAAACAAAAAAATTACAAGAAATTCCCCTTTGGAAAGGAAACGAGTGTAGCATCTTATTACCTCGCCAGAATAACGTCGGCCATTACGAGTGTGTTCCGATCCCCGATCGTTTTCGCATCCGAAGTGCACGTGGAACCCTTTCAGTACGTACGTGTCTGTAAGCCGACTTCCTTTAAGTCTCGCTGTTCCTTTGCTCTTATCAACAGAAAAAGTGGGATAGTTTCCATTGTTTTCCAGGTCTCCAGCGACCAGGCCTCCGGAGTTGTCGAATTCTATTTTCAGAGTTCGGTACTTTCTCTCTCTCACCCGAGTCGTGTCGATGTTGATCGGAGATTGCCGATTACCACCACATCGTTCCCATTTTATATACCAATCTGATGGACCAGGAGCTGCGGAGAAATAAAGATCCATGATTTTGAAGGTTTTCATCAGAAAAGAAACGTTTCAGTGATTATACAATTTAGGTATTCAAGGAATTTAAATCCTCGCTGTGATTTAAGATTCCAAGTGTTACTTAACTGCTTTCCTACTCCTCGCTCTCCTTCCCCTGAGGGTATAAATTAGCACCAGAAAACTGGGGGAGAAGGAGGGTTAGGTTAACCCCAGTGGAGTAAAATATATTCTGATCGGAAGTATGTAATGCGGTACAATCCTAACTGATCCATATATATTTTTTTTTTGATAAAGGAGAATTACCTTGTGAGGTAGTATCTCCGTAGCTGAAATCTTCACCATCTTGTACTGTAAGAAAAGGGAGAGGAACTTAGTTAAACATTTGTAATCTTTACAAGTTATCATTCAGAACTAAGTTGAAGGAATTAAGAATTGGATAACCACTGGGCATTGAGATTTGTGGCATCTACCTGAAAACATTAGGAAGAAACAGTCCTATTGGTTTTCATATACTAGGATTTGATCTCCCGTGACTTCGGGGGTAACAGGAACGCACACAATGTAGTTTTTCTTTCTTTCTTTCTTTTGTTGGTTTTTTTTCTTTTTTTCAGGGCTACGAGTTGAAGCAAAAGGTAAATGAACAAAGCATGTCTTTCACAAACAAAGCCTATGCTAATGTGTTTCTCTGTTTGTAATTTACTTTGACGCACAGTTTATGCTTAAATTTTGTTTCGAAATTTAACATCCCGAGTGGTACTCACGATCCGCTTCACACTGTTCGCTCACTGCTACTCCAACGGCCGATAACAACAACAGAAACAGCAACATTCCTTTAAAGAAAATCAACTTCACAATAAAACACTTCCATAGTAAAATTAATTGGGACTTTGAGACAGACCAGTCACAGGCAAAGAATGCTAAAACGAAAGGATTTTTATGGTTATTTTTTGGGTTAAAAATTCGATAAATAACTGTCTGTTGGTGTTGGGTACTATCAACAGAACACCCGCAAACTTGGTTGATGAAACTAGCCACTCTTTTTGGGGAGCGAGTATTCCTGTCTGTCCATCCCTATTTCCCTATTTCTGTTTTCCTGTAAAACTTTTATCATCTGAATATAATTGAAACTTGAGAAAATTACATTTATCTATCTTGGGACAACTCACGCATGAGATTGAAGAAAAAATCTCCATAACATATATCCATCCGCGAACAAAGTTTTTGGAAATTAACAATAAAAGAATCAGCTATTTGATTTACGATTAGTGATCACGAATCAAGATACTTTTTCACCCGTTTTAGCAATTTAAGACTGTTACAGCTTCAAGAAATCAACAGTTTTATCTTCTGTCAGCAAGAGTTACACAAATGAAATTAGAATCTATTTTGGTTCGCCGTCTTCTTTCAGTTAAAAACCTCGACTACTCCCATAGTTTCAATCTGGCTTTAGAAAGGACAATTGTAATAGACTAAACTGTTGGTTTACAGAACATCTTCTTTAAATCTGAACGCGCCCGCAGACAAAGTGAAAAGATTAATCAGTAACGAGGACGGCATTCCATTTTTCAATATCTATCAAAATCACAAAAGACTTACCGAGGTCGAATTTGGTCTTCACTTAGTAATTAAGCTTCGTCTCTGTACCAGAGGTAACTCGGTGAAGTTCAGGGATCAGGGGTGTTTATATATACTTAGCCGAGAGTATTAAAACAGGGGATGGTTACTCTAGTGGCTTATCCTATATTGATCTTAATTAATACTTTTCTGTGGGAGTTTTTAGAATAGGAGATGATTACCGCATAAACAGATATTAACGATATCACTCTAATATAAATTATAATACTATCATTCAAATCTATGATTACCTCATAAAATTGATATTCAACAGTATCAGCTTAATATTTTTTGTTTTCTGCGACTGATCATGCATTATTGATCTTGGTTACAGAAGGTATACAGAAGATTAATGAGATCAATATTATTTAAACAGACAAAAATAGAAATGATATGAGAAGTACAGATATGCTACGTTGTGATTCAATATAAGGTTTGGTTTTTATTCAAGTTCGTCTTGCACGCCTATTCATCGTCTACCACGAGAAACAATGAAACTGGGGGCAGAATTATTAACAGATATGAAAAAAGATGACATAATAATAATCATAATTAATCATAAAAATAATGATAATAATTATAACAATAATAATATAATTATTTGAAAACAAGAATAATATAATTTAAATAATAATGGTAAGTATTTAACAAGTTCATTGTGATTTATAGATAATTTTAGTGTCAGATAACATAACCAATACTTTCTATTGTTTGGAGAACTAAAATAAGAAATCATTGGTCAAGAAACGCTTATATTAGGAACTTCAGTCTGATATTTAATTTGACTAATATCTGTTCACTGTGATATTAAATGGCCGGCCTTTACCATGCAATGTTTAATTTAGAAATTCCCATAAGAAGATTGGCGAATGAAAACAAGGAACTATTCCAGAATGACAAAATGCTCAAGTTTAATTGGATCAATGTACCTCTAATTTAATCTTTTATTATCCGCCCTTTTATTTTTATTCTTTGTCTCTCTCTCATACCCCTTGAGAGCAAAAAGAAAATAGAAAATAAGCCCCAGCTTGAATATCTGTTTTTAGACTTAAATAGGTATCATGAGCGTTTACATTCTATATTATTCCGATTTTCTGGGTAGTTCTTTTTTTGTGATATTTTTAGAATGAAAATAAAAACTATTGTTTATAAATAAGAAAGCTGGTAAGTTTTGAGCTCGGAAAAGAAACAGAGAAAGATGTTTTTCATCTTGTCGTGGGACAAAGAAAAAGTCCCCTTAAGGAATCGAACCTCAGACCTTAAGATTCCGAGCTCGGATGCTCTACCACTGAGCTACAGAGACTCCACGGTGAGCGATGTCTATTACGAAGTTCATATGATACGCGTCCTGCATACTGCTAGTATCAGCAATGTCGACGGCGTAATGTTTGTAGATTTAGAAATAAGAGAGATGGTAAGTTTTGAGCTCGATAAAGAAATGAAAAAGATGATCTTTCTCTAATAAAAACTATTGTCTGTCAGACTGCAAAAATCTTGATTTTAAATTGAAAAGACTTGAGATATTGTGATTTGTAAATACTTTTTGATCAAAGATCACATCAAAGGACAGTGTACAGCGATGATGCACCCCAACGCAGAGCTATAGAAGATAGTTTAAAGTTTAAATTAAATTGAGTTCAGCGCAAGATATGGATTCACAAGTTTGGAAAGCGTCAGAATCCCTCTCTCTTGTTTCATTGGGTGCTTTGGCGATGTTCTTATCTTACGGAGAACTACGCTTAAAAAAGGAGGAGTGCTTTTCTATTCTTTACGCGCCAGGCGGCTTTTAAAACGTTTTAACTTTATCTTTCGAACGTCTATAACCTGCAAAAGGTTTGCGAAATTTAAGTCTTAATAAACTGTTTTATTTTAAAATGTTCAGGGATCCAATATTTACTCGGAGGCTCCTGAAATTTGTAAGATATCCTTCTAACACTGAGGACCAGGAAGGCAGCTTGCTTTTGTAAACAATGAAACAACTTAAACTTGAAACTTCGGAGGAATTTAGCTAAATGCGGAAACATGATTATGGCCAAAATTAACCAAAATTCTCTGATCAAAACATATTTATAAAACACGATATTTTAGGTTTTTCTCCATTGAAATAAAAATGTTTGCGGTCTGCTAGACAGTTTTTTTTTTTCATTTTAAAATTATATAAATTAACCGGAAAATAAGGAAAGTATAAAATTTAAATCTTGTGGAATAATGCTTTAGTCTAAGAGTAGACTCATGGCTTGGGATACCTCAGCATTGATATAGGCATAGATCGATCTAATTAATTTTCTTATTTTGTACTCTCTAATAGTTTCTTGTTTTACGTTCGACAATACTCATTTAGAAGTCTTGAAAACTTTGTATTGTCGAGGCCGGTCATTCAATATCACTTCGAAAAAATATTAGTTAGAGTAAATGACATGATTAGACTGAAGTGCCTAAATATCCACGTACCATGACGTTATGATCGCCTATTTTGGCTTTCCAAATTGAGAAAAAATATCAGTCGTTTCATCTGTTGTTTAAGCTGTATATAAATCACGATGACTCGATTCCATACTTTTCAAATACTTCTTATAATCTAAATGATCAGTTTTGCCAAAGACAAGACGAAGAAAGCAAAGTAAAAATCAAAATTGAAACTTACTTTAAATTACAACATAACATATGCGTATTTCTTTTGTTATTTCCAGTTTGTTCGTTTGTGAATATTGGACTCATCAATTTTTTGTAAAACCTTCTGTAACTATGGTAAACAATTCATGATCAGTATCAGGTAACCACAATGTGAGACTGATATTGCTAAATATCGGTCCTATAAAGTAATCATCGATTATTATGATACCCGCTTTAATCAAAAGTATCAAATAAGTTTAATATTAGACGGGTTCTGCTGGATCTCAGAAAAGTAATTATCGCCTATTTTGATATTCCCGGCTAAGCATATAAACATCCCTGATTCCTGAACTTCATTGAATTGTCTATGATATAGACGAAGCTTAGCTACTGAGTGGAGAACCAAATCTACCTCTGTAAGACATTTGTGATTTTAACTAGTTATTAAGTAATGAAATTCTACCTTTTTTTTCGGCTGACCTTTTCTCTTACGATTTTTAAAAGGAAAATGTTTTGTATCCTGTTAAATGATCTACCAAAAACCAGCAGTTTAGTCTATTTAAGTTTTCCTTTCTAAAGGTAGAGATTTACCTCTTCATGTTTTTTTCTTTCTGACTGATCCATCTAAAAGTTACAACATAATTTGATGCGGAAGCATTTTCCACTGTTCTTGTAAATTTTTGATAGTCTTTAAAGGAATGCTGCTGTTATTGTTATCAGCCATTGGAGTAGCAGAGAGCAAACAATCTGAAGCCAATCGTGAGTACTTGGATGTTAAATTTCGAAATAACATTTTAAGCATAAACTGTGCATCAAAGTGAATTGCAAACAGGGCAACACATTAGCATAGGTTATGCTTGCGAGAGACATGCTTTGTTTATTTACCTTCTGCTTCAATTCGTGGCCCTGGAAAAAAGAGAAAAGCTAAAAAGTCAAAGAGAGAAAGAGAAACTACCTTGCGTGCGTTACTGTTACCCCTGAAGTTATGGGAGATCAAATCCTAGTATGAAAATCAGTGAGACTGTTTCTTCCTGATATGAGATGCTACAAATTTCAATGCCCTGTAGTTATCCAATTCTTATTTCCTTTAACTTTGTTCTGAATGATAATTTGTAAAGATCATGAACGATTAACAAAGTTCCTCTCTCTTTTTTTTGCAGTGTAAGATGGTGAAGATTTCAGCTACGGAGATACTACTTCACAAGGTAATTCTCAAGATTGGAATAGATGTAGGATCAGTTAGAATTGTACCGCATTACATACTTCCGATCAGAATAGATGCTACTCCACCGGGGGTTAACCTAATCCCCCTCTCCTCCCGGTTTTCTGATTCTAATTTTGACTCCCAAGGGGGGGGGGGGGGAAGGAGAGCAGTTAAGTAACACTTCTGAATCTTATATAGCGAGTGGGATCTAATTTCCTTGAATACATAAATTGTACAATCACCAGAACGTTTCTTTCCAGATGAAAAACTTCAAAAATCATGGATCGATCTTTATTTCTCCGCAGCTCCTGGTCCATCAGATTGGTATATAAAATGGGAACGATGCGGTGGTAATCGGCAGTCTCCGATCAACGTCGACACATCGACACATCGACACATCGACACATCGACACATCGACACATCGACACATCGACACATCGACACATCGACACATCGACACATCGACACATCGACACATCGACACATCGACACATCGACACATCGACACATCGACACATCGACACATCGACACATCGACACATCGACACATCGACACATCGACACATCGACACATCGACACATCGACACATCGACACATCGACACATCGACACATCGACACATCGACACATCGACACATCGACACATCGACACATCGACACATCGACACATCGACACATCGACACATCGACACATCGACACATCGACACATCGACACATCGACACATCGACACATCGACACATCGACACATCGACACATCGACACATCGACACATCGACACATCGACACATCGACACATCGACACATCGACACATCGACACATCGACACATCGACACATCGACACATCGACACATCGACACATCGACACATCGACACATCGACACATCGACACATCGACACATCGACACATCGACACATCGACACATCGACACATCGACACATCGACACATCGACACATCGACACATCGACACATCGACACATCGACACATCGACACATCGACACATCGACACATCGACACATCGACACATCGACACATCGACACATCGACACATCGACACATCGACACATCGACACATCGACACATCGACACATCGACACATCGACACATCGACACATCGACACATCGACACATCGACACATCGACACGACTCGGGTGAGAAAGAGACAGTACCGAACTCTGAAAATAGAATTCGACAACTCCGGAGGCCTGGTCGCTGGGGACCTGGAAAATAATGGAAACTATCCCACTTTTTCTGTAGATAAGAGCAAATGAACAGCGAGGTCGGCTTACAGACACGTACGTACTGAAAGGGTTCCACGTGCACTCCGGGTTCGAAAACGAACGGGGATCTGAACACACTCGTAATGGCCGACGTTATTCTGGCGAGGTAATAAGATGCTACGCTCGTTTCCTTTCCTTTCCAAAGGGAAATTTCTTTTGATTTTTTTGTTTTGCTTCTGCTCTCAAATCACACGAAAAATTCACGTTTTGATTTGTGGAAGGGACCAGAGGCCTTTCATTCAGTCCCAATGCTCAGTTTAGATCCCTGTTAAAATTCCAATACTCATCGGCAGAACTTCTGCTTTCCTTCCAGGTTCATTTTCTCTTTGAAGATCCAAGTGGACGATATGCAGTCGTAGCCTTTTGGCTCAGGGTAAATACTGATCATCACATGATTTATATTTATATTTACAGAGTGCACGAGTCCAGGAACTGTCAAATTAATGGTTGTGAAAGGAATGGCTGTCACCCTGGCAAACTACTTCAAGTTACAGAAAGCTTTGGAATAAAAATTCATTTCTGACTCAGTCTACGCCAGCCGTAACATCACAAAGCAGAATAATTGCGCATTTACAGCTTTTATTTCACTCGGTATCTTTGGTGTTTTTCAAAGGAAGGGCAGTGGTACGGTGAAGGCCGTACCCAGCTTTCATTTCCACCTTATATTACATTATCCAACGCTTTTCCGAATATACCGCAACGAAGGTGTCTTTCTAGTATGCGCATAGGAATGGCGGAAAAGGAAGATTAATAATTTGTACCGTATTTTTCAAATAACGCTCTGTTTGTGTTCTTACCTAATTTTCTTCTTCGACATTCTACTACGAAAGAAAACGTGGTTCTAGAAAGGTTTGCGAATCAGCTGGAAAAGGTTAAAGAAGTTGGTACGTGAGTTTAAAATATATACTCCATTCACACCAGTTTTAAAACTGTTCTGTTGAAAACGATTTACTACTTAAACCGATTTTTCTCGACTTCCAATATTGCACTTTGAAAAAACGGAAGTAGCCCTTTCTTGAATTATGGAAAACTTAGTTTTTAAGTTCTCTGCTTTTGAGTTATATTGAATGAAAATACTGAAATTAAAATTGTTTCCACAGATCAGTCAACGGAAATAAAGAAGGCGATTGGAATTACTCTGATGAATCTTATACTACACAATATTCGGCAATGAAAAACTTTGATATCGGCCGACTATTACCACTACAAAGGCTCCCTAACCACCCCTCCCTGCTGCGAAAATGTGGCGTGGTTCATCTTGAAACCAAGAATTCCTATGACGCCGGACTGTGAGGTATTTATGAAACAGCAGGGGCGGATCCAGGAATTTTGGATAAGGAGGGGAGAAGGGGCCGGAGGTGCAAACTAAGCTGGGAAATATTCAAAATAAACCAAATACATATATAAGGGCGGGAAAAAGAGAATGACAAAGTCGTTAATAGTAATTTGTTAGCTTTTTAACTAATTGGTTGAGAAGACTTGAGATACAGCTAATAATTGAAACAATGGAATTACAGATTACTTTCAAAAATAGCTTCACCCTTTACACCCTGACATCAGTATGCTGATGAGGAAGCTTCGATAAACGATCAAGAGCTTCTTCAGTTGTTTGGGCACTTTTCACGAGCGGCCAAGCATAGCAGTTTCGCTTTCCGCATCCAACAACTTTTTGGACGAACCGTGCTGATTCTCTTTGCTCTTCAGGTGCCTTTCAAGCGATGTACAAATCACTTTTTGATAATTTGTGGTGAAAAAATCTCCATTAGTTAACTATATTTTCGTTTAGAGTGAAATTTCTTGAGCAAAGTATCAAGCTCAAACATTTCGTAGTTCTCGATTTTGTTGGCAGTCATCCTCCTCAAGGCGACATTTTTTCCTAAAAACAAAAAAAAAGCAGTGCTTTTTCAGTGTTGTTAGTGTCTCGCCTTAACGCGTGAAAATATTTGCAAAACTAATTTTGATAAATTATTTTAGCATGCACGCGATTCTTGCCTGTTGTCGCTACATAGGCTTTTTGATAAATTATTTTAGCATGCACGCGATTCTTGCCTGTTGTCGCTACATAGGCTGTCTCGAAATTTTTTAATGAATATTATCTATATGTAACCACATGATTTCTTCGTGCAATTTAGAATGAATAGGCACATGTGAATTTTTTTCAAGATTTTCTGATTTTGTTAGTCGCTAGAATTTTCTCGTCAATTATCCCAAATTGCACTCAAAATCCTGTGATCACCTATTCAAAAATTTCTATCGCAGCGAAAACTTCATATCCCAACACAAAACATCCAGTGATGTCACAGTATGGCGGCGCAGTTTCCCCACGGCATACGGCGCAATTTTTCCCGTACTGACGTCCCACTTGGTAAGTAACATATATGTATCCATACTACTTAACATAATGCTACTATATGCTGACTGTGGATGTGGTTGAGTAGAATCTTAGGAAAGGCTTGGATTGAACGTGAAACCGAAAGTGTCCTAACTTTCACAGAGACTTTCATGGAATAATTGACAAGAAATATTTGCCTTTTAAATTCCTTTTCATTCGGGTGTACTTGTTTGACTTGTTTTGTTTTGGTTGTTTGTTTGTTTTTACGTCATTTTAATGTTGTAAATGCAACTGCTCTTCAATGGTAAGATTCACCTGGACTACTTGCACGTTGACTTTCCAAATATATCATCAGTTTTCATGGATTTCGAAGGTTTTCAAAATATCTCAAAATCAAAGATGGCGAATCTTAGCATTGACGCGATATGATGACAGAAAAAACACTTTATTTATTGTACGCTTTATAATTACTGAGCTTTTAAACTCGTGTTTGTGATCAACGAGAAGGTGATGAGGGCCAAAGAGTAGTTGATGAGGCATAGTAGAGGAAACCTCAGGAAAAAGCTCGAGTAAAATGTAACCAAAATACGACGCAATTGTTTATTTCTTGTTGAGTTTATTAGTTTGTTTGTCACTCGGCCAACCAATGATTTTACATGTTCCATTTCAATTTCTTCAAGCCGGTTAATTGATAACAGCATAGACTTTGCGGCCATTCCGCGGCTGAATTGGTCTGAAGTTGTCACACATGTCCGGGGGGTCCTTAGGGAATCGACCTTTTAACTCCCTGAACTGCGACAGCTACAAACGAAACAAGGAAAGAAAGTGAATCTACAGCTCTTTTTTTGAGATACATCTTAAACTAACCCAGACAAAATGCTATCATTTTCCTCACTTATAGCAATATATTAGGCTTTTTAACTCAAAACAATATTTGAGGAAATAAATGAACCTGTCCTATCTACGCATGCAAGCTATTTTGAATTGAGCGTCGACAGTAACTTGCAATTGCATTGGTTCCTTTTTGATTTGCTGTGTCTCTCCTCCCAACAAATCAATAGCAACACTAATTAACAACTTGCTAAAAAAGGTGACAAATTTTGAGCTCTGTCGTGAAATGTTTTTCGTCTTGCGATAAACGTGGGACAAAGAAAAAATTCTGATTCCGAAGGTTTGAAGTTTGATTCCTTATAGGGACTAGGACTTCTTCATTCTCTTTTTCCCGTCCTTTAGTATGGCTTTGGTTTGAGCTCTCACTGTCCACTTGTCATAGTTTATGTTCTTCTCAGAGGCCGTTGTATCAACTTAGGTGAGTTCTAAAGCTGGGTCAAAACCCTTCCCTCCCTCCCCACCCCTAATGAGACTTGTGGGTTTCTTTTTTTATCTGTCTGACATCAAAATTCTCGCATCGATAGGGTTGCTTGAGTCTTACTTGGCTTTGTTGAAAATAAAATTACTATCATGCTTTCTCAAGCAAATTTTGGACCTCCTCAAAAAGTTTGATAAATACCTGATAGTCCGTGATAGGAACTCTATGTTTCAAGACAAACCACGACACGTTTTCGCAGCAGGGAGGGGTAGTTAGGGAGCCCATGTAGTGGTAGTAGTTTGACAGTACCAATGTTTTGTGCTTCCGAGTTTTGCGTGGTATAAGGCGCATCAGGCGAATTCCGACCGACTTCCTTATTTTTGTAGACTCATCTGTAAAGGCAATTTAATTTTTTGATGTTTGTGAATATTTTCTAACACTTTCACGTTTGGTGAAACCACAATCACGACACCAAAATGGATGGTGATTAAACGGATTCAAAGAAGAACTACCATAAACGAGGTTTGTGGAAATATCTTCATCGACATTCTCATTAAAAAGGTGTCCTTCGCCCTCCTTTAAGGTGTTTCATCATTTGATGTCGAGAAGTTCTCAAATGTTGCTTAAGATGGAAGTGAATCGAAGAAAAAAAACTCACAGAGCTACTGATGTTCGCTAAAAGTTAACCATTTCATTCTTAAGATCTCCTTGGTAATTCTCCTTGCTGTCTTCCATACAATTCGGCAAATTTGGTATTGGATCAATTACTAATCCCTTGATGTAAATTTTTCTTGATTCTCAACACTTGTCTGCTTGGTATTGTATTAACATTGTTATGAGAAATTCTGTCCTGGTCACTCTCGGGAGTTAGGAGGTGAAACACCTTTCGCAAAACGCTTAATATATTATCCAGTTTAGCTCACGTACCAACATCGATAATCTTGTGCATCTGATTTGCCAACCTTCCCAAAATAGTGTTTTCATATTTGGAAGCCTGACAACAATATCATGCAAGACAAAAAACAGAGCGTTACTCTTTTCAGCGAACTTGTAAGATACATTATTTTACGAGCATAATAATCAGTTTCATAAAGACGTCTTCGTTTATATTCGGAAAAAAGGTTCTCAATGTTAAAAGAAAATAAAGGAAGAAACGAAGGCTGATTTAGTCTTTTAAAAAGTGGCAAACTTTTGGAAAGTCTTGGGCAGAGTAGATTTTCTTTCATGATCAATAGACACTAAACAGCTCACTGAAATCTGACTGTTCACTTTCCCCTGTTACAATGTATTTCCCTCTCTTTAGAAATACACGTGGATACCGAGTTGAGTTTAAGCCCTACACGCGGTTGTTCCTCGTTTTCATTTTCCAAGCTGGCGTTTATTGGATCGAAAAGAATACGAAAAATCGCTTACAGTAACGCACACAAACAATAAAACACTAATGTAAATATGAAGTATTATTATCAGTATGTTTACCCTGAGCCATACGGCTACTACTGCAATTCGTCCCTTTGAGTTCACAAATACAAAGTGAATCTGGAAGGAAAGCAGAAGTTGATGGGTTAATTTCTTTTAATCTATTAATGAGTGTGGGATTTAAGTAAGGATCTGAGATAAGCACTAAGACAAACTGAAATGAAAGAAGTGTCATTTTTATCTCTCCTTTCTCTTTGAACCCACTCACAAGTCAGAGGACAATTGTTTTTCGTAATCCGATAGAAAGATGCCTCAAAGCTGATAGAGCTTATCGACTCAAAAATAATAATGGTAGAATAAATCCTGTTTGAAAACAATCAAGAGTTACATCTAATTACCTCGGCAGCAAAACGGTGGCCATCACGAGTGTGTTCAGATCCTCGGTTGTTTTTACACCCGAAGTGCACGTGGAACTGATCCAATTTGTAAGTGCCCTTGAGGTGATTCCCTTTTAGTTTCGCTGTTCCTTTGTCCTTGTCTACGAAAAAAGTGGGAGCGTTTCCGTTGTTTTTTAGTTCCCCAGTGACCAGGCCACCCAGTCTGTCGAATTCTATTTTCAAAGTTCGGAAATGTCTGCGCCTCACCCGAGTCGTGACGATGTTGATCGGAGATTGCCGCCTGCCATCACATTGCTCCCATTTTTTATACCAATCTGACGGACCAGGAGCTAAGATAAAATAAAGAACTTTACAAAGATGCCTTGATTTTTGTCTCCGCTGTTACAAATAATTAATATTTTTTGTGTTGAATACATTTTAAGGCTATTTCTAGAGTAACATAATCACTCTAACCCCCCCCCCTCCCCCAAGAATAAAAACGAGTAGCTGAAAAACCGCCACAGAAAACTGAACAAATGGGGAAGGGGAGGTGGGGGCGGGTAACCCTTGATGAAGTACTCTCTCTTCTGATTGGAAGTATGTCATGTTAAATTTCCTGAAATATATTCTAAACTGCATGCTCCAAAATTAATGTCAGTCTTGAAAAAGAAGGAATACCTTCCGAAGTAGTTTCTCCGTAGCTGAAAAATTCATCATCTTGCACTGTAAGAAATAAGAAGGGAAAAGAACTTAGTTTATCATTTAACGATTATTATTATTATTATTATTATTATTATTATTATCATTCCTGATGAGTAAACGTCAATAACAAGTGAAGAGACACGATGTATCTCGTCAAGGAAAAAACGTTTTCAGTAGAGTCCATCTTGGTTTTTCTTTTTTTTCTTCTCTCTTTCTTTCTTTCGGTTCTCCAGAGCTACGAACCGAAGTAAAACAGGGGATGAAACACGTGCGACTCTTTAAGAAATATAACACACGCTATCGAATGTCAGGGTTTGCACTTCACGTTGATGTACGACAAAAGCTGAAAGTTTGTTTATAAACTGTTTTGGTACTCACGTTCCTCGCATTTTGTGCCCATTGTCACACCAAGGACCGATAACAACAGCAGCAACAGCAACATACCTTCAAAGAAAATTTTGATTTATTATGATTGTTTAAAATGTTTTCGTACGGATCGACAGATTTAGATAAATAATTTGATTAGACAAAAGGGTTAAACGTTTTTTTTTATCTGCCTGTCTAACAACAGAACATCAGCAAACTTAATTTTATTTTAACAAAAAGTGACTCCTTTGTGGAGCAAGTGTTTCTGACTGTTTGAACAAATTTCTTAGACTTTAGTTCCCAAGATCCACTCTCTCGAGGTAAATTCAGATTTAGTGATCACCTTTAAATGGAAATACATTTAAAACTTGAGCAAAATACATGTATCTTGCAACAGCTGTGACATGAGATAAAAGGAATATTTCCGTAAAACACATCCATCCACGAACAAAGTTTAGTGAAATAGAAGGAATCGGCTCACTGGATTACGATCAGAGATTAGATCTGTAATCAAGAGAATTTTTTGCCCTTTGATGCAATGAAAGACTATCACAGCTTGTTCTATATTTCCACAAAGTAGCAAAAGTGAAGAAAGGAAAGATATAAGTAAAGTCCATACGTAACTCCTAATGCAATACAGGCAACTCTCATAGCTACAATCGTGGTTTAGAAATGACAACTCTAATACACTTATTCACCTTTCACACCAGCAAAACGTGTTTAGTTAACCTGGATTCAACTAATTGAAAATCAGAAACTGAAGGGAGAAAAAATAAATTTCTAAAAGGATTCAATCAAACTTTAAATTAATTTTTCAATGAACTACATCGAATTCAGCAGCTTCTACGAAGAAAAAACAACATTTAACCGTGTTTAACGAAGAAGCTTTAAGACATGTTTAACCTTTGGTGTGAATGGGGTATTAGTTTCTGGTTTTCGGTGGATTATTCTAAACCACGTATTAAATCTCCTCAGCATCTGAACACACCCGCATGAAAAATGGAAAGAGCATAGCTGATAACGAAGGCAAAATTCTGATCACTTTATAGCAAAATCAAACACGACTTACCGAGGTCGATTTTGGTCTCCACTTAGTAGTTAAGCTTCGTCTTCGTACTAGGAGTAACTCAATGAAGTTCAGGAAATCAGGGATGTTTATATACATAATCGAGAGTATTACAGTGGGCGTTGATTGAGTAGTTTAAATCTAATTTTAGTGGATACTGATAACCGGGAGTATCAAAATAAGCGATGATTTACCTCATAAACGTGATATTTGACAGTTCCATTCTAGTATTTTTGTTCCTTGTTACTAATCATGAATTAGTGACCTTGGTTAAAGAGGTATATGGTAAATTAATGAGATCAATATTGTCTAAACGGAACAATATAGAAATAGTAAAAAGAAGTAAAAATATATTCCGGTGTGATTAAATATATTAAGCTTTACTTTTTATTTCACTTTTTTTTCCTACGCCTGTTCATCGTCTGCCATACCACAAACGGCGAAGCTGGGGGTTAAAGAATAAAAGCTATGTAAAAAGGGTGAAATTGAGTCACGGTGATTTACGGAAAATTTAACAACAGAAAACACAAGTAATATTTGTTTGGAGAGCCGAAGTAGGCCATGCTACGTCATGATAAGGCATCCAGGAATAATCAGTCTGATATTTACTCTAATATTTATTAAATGTGATATGAAATGAACAGCCTTGACAATACAAGGTTTAGAAACTCCAAAGTAAATATCATCGGAAAAAAACAAGGAACTTTTTTTGGGTTACATAACAACAAAAAATAATGCAAAATGCTGAATTTCAATTGAATCGATATATTTCTAGTTCACCATTGAAAAACTCCACCTTTAATATTTTTTTTATCTCTATCAACCACGGTGAGAGCAAAAAGAAAAGAAAAATTGCACCCCTGCATGTGTATCTATTTTCAGACTAAAACAGATATCACGAGATTTTACAATTTAAATTACAATTTTCGCACCTCATTAAAGAATGCGGTCATGCTGGCGACCAATGAAACGCAATATCGAACTCCCTGACGAGTTTCGTGTCAAAGAACTCCTTTGGAACTAGCAGTCATTTCGCTAAAAGTAAGAAAGTAGCAAAGCAAGCTAGGGAAATAGAGAAACTTTACTTTTATTTCTTTGGCTCTGGCTCTTTAATGTACAGATATCAATAGCACACCTCATGCAAATGAGGGTCAATATCTAGTGACAAAGACCTGACATATACTGCCCACACTCAACACTACAGTTGAACCCAGGAAACTTGAATTGCCAAGGGAAATTGAAATTACTTCGTGTAATCCGGGTTTCGAGTTAGAGAGGTTTTGAACAAAAAGACCAGAAACAATTGAGCGATTCCAGAGTACGTGGCATTATTTCTCTTTGCTGGTAAGAGCTGTCAAAAGTGTTTTGTTACGGATATACAAACGTGTGATATCAACAAAGGTCAATTTATCATAACATATAAATAAGATTAAAGGTAATCTTTCGGTGCAAAATGTTAAGGGGTTTCGAGTTATAGGGGTTAAAATTACTGTAAATATATACGGAAAATGCAAGGGAAATCGGTTTTGCTCCGAATTAGCGGGGAATTCGAGTTAATGAGGGTTCGAGTCATCGGGGTTCAACTGTACTTCAATGATTCTTGGAAACAGTGCGTAGTCTCTTTCCGCGTCTAATAAAATGTTTCCTCCGTGACGTGTGCATGTACTCCTTCTTCGTGAGAATCGTCAAAGACTGGAACAGTTTGCCAAACCATCTCTTCACTGACGAAATTAGTGTTAACAAATTTAAAAAAGGCTTAAAAAGATGGATGATGATTTATTAACACAGAAGCTCATATTTTAATTGTATATATTTTCATTTTAAACATCGTTCTTACTATACCATGTTGTACCCGCACTAATGATTTTTACGCGCGTTTTTTATAATTTTTTGATAGTTTAAAAGTTCAGTTGGGGGACCTCTTATAAGAACAACCTCACGGTCCACCTTTTTAAATATGTATCGTGTATCATGTTTATAAGCATATATGTAGTTGAATAAAATATTATTATGAACTATTCTTTCGTAAAGGACACTATAAAGTATCTTCTAGCACAAAAAAATATATCCTAGTACAAAAAATTATTATTCCAGAATATCCTCCAGTACTGAAATGTTTCGAGCATACATATAGATGTATCAAATGTAAGGATTTCGTCACATATACTTTCCTACGGCCGCACCCCTGTTTTGCTCCCTCAAAAATTAAACTTCAAAGTAAGTTATGTCTCCTTCTCCTGTTGGAAATATATAGAAGTATGAAACTTATATACATGTCGATACATTGGTCGCTTTCTATGCCAACAGTCGAGCTTTGTTTGCAAGAGAGCTTTCATAAATAGAAACCAGAGCAGGTTGTGTCGGCATAAATTTTGCATGGCCGACTTACTATCTAAGCATAAGTTCTTGGCAAGTAATGGAGAAAACAATACACTTCTATTGAAGCTAAGGCTTTGTTTCAGTGCAGTATGGGGTTCTGAGGAAATCTTTCCGAAAAATTATCCACAAGAAGATATTGTTTAACAACATATCATCGAAGAAATTTATGACAAACATGCATTATGGCCGGATATTTTATATTAAGATCGTTGGAGTGAAAGGGTAAACTGAAAGTAAGAGAAAGTTTACTTAAAACTCTTGCCCCCCCCCCCCCCCCAAAAAAAAAAAACCTGTTATTCTCGTGACCAATGGCCTCATATCTTCGAGTTCCGTCATTTTTGATATTTCCACAATCTTAAGGCTTCATGGGTGTTATGCAATCACAGCATATCACTCATTCTCATTCCTTTTTAGAAACAATATTGTATATCATAAGTATTTTCCCCTAGTATAAGTACGCCAGTGTCTTTCAAGGAGACATCTCAAAAGGTACGAGGTGAATTCAGCGTGTTGAAATTCAAAGTAGTCGTGGGCCACTGAACTCGGAAATTAATTATGAAGGGGTTAAACACCGACTTCATATCTCAACTTTTTATCCACTTACTTCTCCCCGTTCTTTTCATGCGGAACGTCACCTTCTCTCATCAGAAATCGGCATTCGAAACGCTCAGCGTATTTTTTCTTTTTCCCCTTTAGAAAAAAGGTAGATTTCAATCTTTTTAGAATACAGTTCATCGATATTGTGTTTTCTGGCGATCGAGTGTTCAAATTCCGGATCGACAATGTTTGAAAACAAGGCTTATAAATAGGAAAGTATATTAATCAGTTGAGCCCCATATATTCAATTGAACATGCGAAAGCCTTTTACGTTAGCAGACTAACCAAATAGTTAGCAGGAGTGGAAACAAGAGTGATTGAATGATGGATGCAAGGAGTGAATTTTGGGTCATAAAAACAACTCGGAAATTTTCCTCCAACCATTTTCCCAAATAAATTACTCTAACGTTTGCATGCGTAGGGCCGCTGCGAATGATGAAAACGATCACGGACGGACTTACTGCACGATTACAGGGAGTCTTCATTGCCTTGGGCACCCTAGACTCAAAAATTATATCTTTGGATCCACTGGGAATAATTTGCTGATTAAAACGGTAAAGCACTCTCGAAGTAAAACAACCGTTTAACACGCAGCCAATGATGTAACAACAGTATGGCAGCCAATGATGGGCCGGTGTCATATTCCCGTTTTAAGAGAGCTATGAGGATCGAAATCATCGACCATTTTTTAAAATTCATCTCCCATTTTAGTAATAAATGATTCTTATCGAGAGCCCATCACTTATCAGTATATTGAGCAATGAAGAAAAACGGGAAATAGCGGACTACAAGACAGCCAGGGATTTACCTACCACGTGCAACGCAAGCGGAAAAAAACGACCTACCGGCTTTGCTCTGCACGAATAAATGAAAATGCTTGCAAGGCGTCAACCATTGAGAAAGACGGGACCTTTAATGGTGGCAAAAATACGCACAATCACACTGTAGAGGGTGAATGCAACAGTAAGGACTCAGAAGTTGACTACGCACCGGGTTCAGCGCATGAGGTAAATTGTACTTGAAGTATGATGACACTAAAATAATGTTGACTTCGATATTGCCAGGGAGCAAATAATAATGGCGTGTACCTGTATTTAGGACAGAAAACAGGATCTTCTTGTTTAAGGAAATGCATAATCATATTCTGCGTACATTGTTCAATAATTTTTTTGCCTGACTAATCTGTGAAGTAAATACCTGTCTTATTACGTTTGTGAAGGTTCATATTTAGCTTATTTACCAAACAACACCCAAACAAAAATAACTATCAGATCCAGACCTTGTGCTGGTGACATCTGAGGTCGTTTTGACGAAAGCCCAATACTTCGCGAGACCCCATATCAGAAAAGTTAATGACAAAAAGGACATGAGTTGTTTCTTATTGATTCGAACAATCCCATACTTTGCAATCAGGGTTTGAGCTGCAAGCTGGAAGGTGAAAAATTAGCACTACCTTGTATGAAAAATCTATGCAAGGTAGATTCAATTAATATCGAGTAATTCAATATCTTGACGCTGCGGTGCACTTGGAAATGAAAAATATTTTGCACAGATATTGGACGTTGATGCGTCATGCCTATGTTCCACGGAATCATTATTTTTTAGCTCTTTCATTTTGTAATATTTTCATATTTCCTTCCATTTAGGCTCTATGAATTTTATACACTCACTGTATAGTTTAACAAATTTTCATTAAGCAATTTTTTTTAATAAATATCAATGATTTTTATATTGATACAAATAAGCCAAGATCCTCAAAGTGGGTATTACAAGGGTATACGACCAATTCAAATGAACGATTCCCTTAGGAAACGAAAAATGATGTCGTAGCCGCGATAATTTACATTAAATTTTCGTGCGAACATTTACAACACCCAAATTAATAACTTTGGAAGCAAAAGACTTATCTGGAGGTTTGAACAGTACCAACGTAATCCTTAAGTTTCTGTCACTCGAATCTGATGTGCTAGCTCGAAGGAGAAACAGGATCGATGTTGAGCGCTTGATAACCGCCCTATATCCGACTTGGGTTGCGCGGGCTCAATCAACGTTTTTAACGGCTTCCGAAAAAGTGCGCCGAATATTA